TTATAGATAGACTATACGTATAAGACTAATAAATGGAAGATACCCCTACTAAATATTATAGGAGTATCTTTTATTAGGAAGACCTTCTATATTGCCTATACTTTTTTAAGTAGTGAGAAGGAAGCTACTTATAATCGGGTACTTAGCTAGCTACGGGATATTTATATAGCTATTAGTAGTAGTGCGAGTATATTAATACTTATCCGTACTACTATAGCTAATCCCCTAGAGTTAGAGTCTTTAGTAGCTAGTCCCCTAATACCCTATATTCTATAAAGTATACTCGAAAATAGCTATCTATCTAGCTTTATATTAATATATAACTTTAAGGATACCACTCTAGCTACTCTAGTTACTACCTCTTACTTTAGCCCGTATACTATCTTAATAGATAAGGAGTAGGCTTTACGAAATATAGTTAAAAATATTAGTATTTTAACTATTATATAGTTTATATACTAACTACTAGCTATTTTACTAGGTTTTTCCTATAACTAATACTATCCTATACCTTTAGTATATTACTTATAACGTCGAGTTATACGCTAGGCCCTTTATCCGTCGTTATATCCTTAATAATATCGCCGAAGACGATACCTAAATATACCCTATAGTTAATAATATTATATATATAATCACTATATACTAGGAAATAATAAAAAAGGACTAGTATTTTATTATCTTCGCGTATATAGTTAATAATATAGAGACTCGGTAGGCTACCTTTAAGGATAAGTATTAGCACTATCTAGGTCTACTAGTATATATTAATAAAGAATAGATCCGCGGTTACGGTCCCTATTTTTTACGATACTATACTAGTAGGTTTCTCTATCTTAATAAAAGCTCTATATCCCGCGTAGAATCTACCTATCGTTACCTTAAACTCGATATATAATCGGGTACGAAGGACCTCTTCGCTCTTTATATCTAGTTCGGAAATATAACTAAGCGTCTCGGTATTAAGATCTAATAGGAGCTCGTCTCGTAGAGAGCTAGTCGGGAGATTGATAGTAGCCCTCTATTTATAGGAGTTAAGACGCTAGTTACTTACTATATAATTAAAAAGGTACGATTAGTATTTGATTACTATCTACTATCCTATAACGAGAAACCTCCGATCCTACTACTATACTTAGGTATTATAATACTAATACGGGGGTATCCGTATATTCACCGTATTAACGAGGCCTAGATAAGGGGTAAGAGCCTTACCTAGGCCGACTTTCACCCTTACTACTAGATCTAGCGAGACCTAGCGTATACTAATATAATTAATTACCCCCGGGTAATAGAACTCCGTATAGTAAACCCTTATATTATACGAGGGCGTAGTCGCTTACTATAGTTATCTTAATAGTTATCTTAATAGTTATCTTAATAGTTATCTTAGTAGACAATCTTATTATCGCGAGTATCTTAACGCTTTAAGAGCTTAACCCGTCGTGAGCTATCACGATTCGAGATTATACGAAGGGACGAGGAGGTAGCTATTCGTCGGTCGGGTCGGTAGAGGATAGCTAGTGGGAGATATAATAATAATTAGACCATATAGGGGGAGATAACGGAGTCTAATAATCAGATCGTAGTTAGTAGTGTCATAACTAGGCGGGGAAGGGGACGTGGACGTAGACGTAGACGTAGAAGAGGGGGCCCTTAATAATATTGATATCTAGTTTATATATTAGAAATATAACTAAAATCAGTCGAAATAACTTATTAAAGATAGAAGTTTTGCTATATAGGATAGTAGGAAACTAGCGTTAATAGCTATACTATCTTAACTATAGTGAGAAAACTCGATTAGCACTATCTTTGAAAAACAGCCTCTATTTTGCGATCACGTGACCGATTAAACCCTATCTCCCTAAACCCCTTTCTCGGTAGGAAAAAACTCGATTAAATCAGTATCTACGAATAGCCTCATTTTTACACTAAACCCCTTTTCAGTAGGAAAAAACTCCATTTTTGCACTAGAACTTAATCAAATCAGTATCTACGAATAGCCTTATTTTTGCACCAAACCCCTTTTTCAGTAGGAAAAAACTCCATTTTTGCACTAGAACTTAATCAAATCAGCATCTAGGAATAGCTTCATTTTTGCACTAAACCCCTTTTTAGTAGGAAAAAACTCCATTTTTGCACTAGAACTTGATCAAATCAGCATCTAGGAATAGCTTCATTTTTGCACCAAACCCCTTTTTAGTAGGAAAAAACTCCATTTTTGCACTAGAACTTGATCAAATCAGTATCTAGGAATAGCTTCATTTTTGCACCAAACCCCTTTTCAGTAGGAAAAAACTTGATCAAATCAGCATCTAGGAATAGCTTCATTTTTGCACCAAACCCCTTTTCAGTAGGAAAAAACTTGATCAAATCAGCATCTACAAATAGCCTCATTTTTGCACCAAACCCCCTTTTCAGTAGGAAAAAACTCCATTTTTGCACTAGAACTTGATCAAATCAGCATCTAGGAATAGCTTCATTTTTGCATGATAGTATAGATGGCGTGCAAGATTCTACATTCGCGATAGGGTGCCCAGATAAGATTCGGGTACTGTCCGAAATACTAAGGGAGTACCATATTAAATACGACAAGCTGTGAATAAATTATGGCCAGTGGGAAGTAAATCGTAAAAGGCTTAGCGCCCTGGGTGCCCGTAGTAATTTTGGGTGCCCATAGTAGTTCTCTTATTTTTTTATATAATATTAGTAAGAGATAGACCTAGTAGCTTTAAATTTATATTTAATCTTAAGAGATTTATTAGTAACTTACTTTTTCTTAGCTATATATAAATAAATAATATACTAATTTAGATAATATTAGATAAAACAATTTTATTTTAAATATATAAAAAAACTAGAGTTTTAAATATAATAAGTAATCTTAATAAGATCTATATAAAAAGAAGTCGATAGCGGATTAATATCGGAAGGGTTATAAACTTTAAATACTACTTTAGAAATAACTAAGGGAGAAAAAAGTATAGATTAGTTTATAAATAAATTATTAATAGGATTTATATTATAACTATAACTATAACTATAACTATAATTATAGCTATAATCTTATATTATAATAAAGAAAGATTTATATAAAAATAAATAGAACTTATAAAAAATAAAATAATAAGATAAAAAAGGATTATTTATAAAATATATAAAGAACTATATATAAATAATAATAAAATAATATAAGGAAAGAAGAATTATAGTTAGAAAATTAAGATAACTTCTTTTTTATTTTAAACTACTTTTATTATAAGAAAGGAATTATATATATAGTACTTTCTCTCTTTATTAAGAAGAATAAATTATAAACCTTATATATTTATTTATCCTAAAAGTATTAAATAGGATTATTTCTATAGTTTCTTTAAATATAGCTATAAAAGTATTAAAAATAGACTTTAAATACCTCTATTTTATAATAGTCTAATAAATATATTCTATATCCTTAGGGAGTAGACTTAAAAATCTATCCTAATCTAACTAAATTAAACTATAATTATTAAATATAATCTATATATCTATTTAATAATTATTTATAAATTTATTATAACTTATCTAAAATAACTATAGGGCTTCTAAGAAACAAACGTAGTTCTCTACTATTATTCTACTAGTAATTTATTATTTATCGCTATATTAAATTATAAGATTTTATACTATATAGCCCGTCTATATTTCTCAATCACTTCTTATACCCGCCGCGGCATTAGATATAATAGGCTTTCTAGAATACTAAATAGTAATATGTCCTATCCTTATTGTATATTATATATTAGATTATGATTTCGAGAATCAGAGGGGTATTAGTCCGATATATATTCTTTTAGCTAGTTCTAGAGGTTCTCCTATAATATATAGTAATAATAGGGGGCGGTATATAATTTAGTTAATAGGCGGTGAAAAAGAACTACGTTTATTTCTTAGAAGCCCTATAGACTATTATTAAAAAGTAAATTATTAATAAAATAGTTATAAAATACTTATAGTTTATATTTTCTTTATATTTACTAAATTCTAATATAAATAGTAACTAATAATTATTATATTAAATATCTATACTAAATTATATAAACTTTTAGTAATTTTATATAAATCTACTCTAATAACTCTATATTATTATTTTAAAGAACTTTTAAAAATTTTAAGATAGTAGAAAAATCCTAAATATCTTTTATTATACTAATAGATATCTATATAAAATAAATATAAATCTATTATAATTAAAGCCTAAAAATATACTATATTATAAATCTTTTTATTTATATAATATCATTTATAAAAGATAAATATAATTATATTATATTAGTAAAAAATAAAGAAAACTTCTCTCTTAGTAGTATTAAAAGACTTTAAGTTAGAATATAGATAGTTTAAGTATTAGACTAGTTTTAGTTCCGGTACTAGATCGCTAATATCCCGCCCGTTAGCTACTACTATAGCTATACTAATAAGGCTCTAAAAGATAGAGAAAAGGATAAACTTAATAGGAACCCTTCTTATCTTATAACTTATACTTCCCTTTATTTAACCTAAAACTCTAAGACGGGTTTTATAGAGAAGGGGGATAGTTCTTATAGTATTTCTTTATTATACTATTTTACCTTAGGCCCCCTTTCTCTTAGATAGAGGAGACTCTTCCGAATACCCTACGATAACGGGATAGAACTAAGATAATCCGGTTCCGAGAAGCGGGGAAACTAAATCATAAAAGGAAGACATCTATATAGATAGGGAAGGCAAGATTTAGTCTTATAACTAATATAGAATCGAATACCCTTCGTTCTAACTACGTATCCCTCTCGTATCATTATTCACCTAGTCAACAAGTACTACCTTAATAAACAGTTACCTTAATAGCTAATATGTAGTAAATTATAAATGGTTTAGTGCCTATAGTCAAATTTTAGGTGTCTATAGATATTCTCATTATGATTCATCTATAGCAGCAGGTAAGGTAACAGATAAAAGACTAGTTAGCAGTTTATATATCATGAATTTTGCGCTAGCCGGGACAGATAGACCTTGGAGTTCTCGTATACCAGGAACGTAACCCATGTGCTTGGAAGTACCCGGAAGAGATTTGGACCAAGACCCTTGTAGAAACCCGCGATGCCCTCCTGGGCCCATATCCGCGAGACGACGTCATTGGCTCCGCGGTAAATGATATGAGCCTCATAGGTTTGTAACCGAGACCTAATTACCTGGTAAGGATACGTCACACTGCCAGCGAAGACTTTAGAGAGACTAGAAATGGCAAAAAAATCCAGATTACCCAGGACCCGTTCGGCACCTAAATGCTCTTTGACAAGAGAGCCTTCAGTATTTATCGCTTGGGATCTGAAAAGCTTCAGCTTTTCATACGCCATGAATTGAAGGGCACCATGGCTGACACCGAACAGAGCCGGTATGAGACCTCGATAAAAGCCAGGTATCCCTTCTGCGTGGTATATCTGTTTTGCTCCAGCTGTGAATGTTGAATACGCCCCCGGAGCTTGGGATCCCGTGGACAACATGCGAGTTTTGATCACCCAAATTGGATTCGTGAGAATCGACGTAAAGGCACCTATGAAAGCTCATAGGTCAGTTGAAGAAATGACACACGATGTTGACTGTGAAACAATATACATACCTGCAGTTCCAGATGCTAGAAGATAATCAGACGATATGAGAACCTGCTCCCTCTTCTCGCGATAGACTCGAATGACATCCTTCAAACTGCTATAGCATAAGAAGTATAAACCCCAGCTTGTGGAATTGCCGATGAGATTCGGGGTAAGCCCGCGGTAAAAAGCGGCACAGCCACCCTCGTGATAAAAGATCTTATGGATAACTCGAAGAGAACCCCCAACTCGGGAAGATGATTGATCGACTATAGATACATAATGACTTAAGTTAGTCAATATATGCACCAAAAGGAGAATGCAACCTGCCCTGTAGTCTGGTCTTGATCATGTCAAGAGGATGTAGCGACAAAGTCGACATGATTCCTGCTGTGAAACCTGCTAGGGTCTCCACAAAGGATGACGAGATGCCATCTTGACTAGTCATGAAGCCAGGACAAAGATGACAGAGTTGGAGTGTGAGAGGGGTTGGAGAAAAGTGACCAGGTGGGTGTCCGGGACAGAGCAATTTGGATGAACGGCAAAAAGAAAAAGCAGATTAGGACGCTTGTGACCGCATGTACATCAAAACCTTTCGAGATAATCCTCTTCTTTCCCTCCCCTTCCTGTCCCGAAGAGAAAATTCTACAATGTCAGATGTTGATCACAAATGGTCAGACTATAAATTGAGACTTTTGGTATCGAAGAAGATAAATATTTGGTGAAAAAAGACTTAAAAATACAAGGTCACCTAGCTCTGGCAAGCTTCCAAAGTGACAATATCCAAATATTCAACTCCTAGCGTACGCGAATAATCGAGTAGTCATTCGATTCTTGGGCTATTGCCATCCCATCCACATAGCTCATCTCGTGCTTCCAGGCGTCGATGTGTACATATAGTTTAGGCAAGAGGCGAGAACAATCTGGTCATCCTGTAAGCTATGATTGCTGAAACGTAGCCCAAGGGTTGGGTGAAGTACCTGAAAAGAGTCGGCTTGGGGTCGCTATAGGTATAGCCTGTTATTTGTTGGGGAATTGATTAGCCGATTCTGTTGCGATCATGCAACAGGCATTTCCATACCCAGATAGATAATCAGAGGCAAGTATCCACTAGAGGGTTATCGCTGGTCAGCTTGGTTTTGATAGATGCTTCGGATGAGACTCACTAGTGAATAGCAATCCGAGAAACATCAATGACCTTTGAGACACGTTCCTGAAGGGGAGGAAAGGAAGAGAGAGAGAGTCAGAAAGCGCATTGCAAGTAGTTGTTGCCAGGGCTGCTACAAACCTTGGTCTCCTCAGACAGTTGAACCATTGTGATTTTGAAAGGCGAAATTGAGTGTTTAGAGAGATTAAACGGAAAAACAACCAGTTGTGAAATGTTCGGAGGAGTGGGAGAGGTGGCTGATAGACAAAGTGGAAACAGGGAGATGGCGGAATTGAAAGTTTTCGGGAGTCACTGATCGTCCTCCCAGCTCCAATCTTCTTCACTACGACACTTCAAACGCCTTTTTGTTTCTCTACCTTCTCCCCTTCAAGTAGTTTATTCATACACTTCCAAAAGAAAAAAATTGAACACAACAAAAATCGCAAATATCAGCACTATCGCCTGTTTATCTCGCTCGTGGATCTCTCGGACAGCTGTTTTCTTTGATTTTTTTTTTCAATTAGTCCAACGGCGCCATGTCCGGCGCAAGGCATTGGTAAATCTCTCTTTCCTCACCATAGCGCCGTGATTCTAATTCCATACAGGGAACAAGACAAAGAGGCCACTGTGTACATTGGAAATCTTGATGAACGGGCCTCAGACAGCCTAGTATGGGAGCTAATGCTACAGGCTGGGCGCATCGTTAATGTCCATCTGCCCAAAGACCGAGTCACACAGCTACACCAAGGGTATGGTTTTGTCGAGTTCATCAGCGAGGAGGATGCGGAATATGCGGCAAAGATCATGAATGGGATCCGTCTATATGGAAAACCCATTCGTGTGAACAAGGCCTCCGCTGACAAACAGAAGACTGTGGACATTGGGGCTGAGCTTTTCATCGGTAATCTTGATCCAATGGTTACTGAGCAAGTGCTCTATGATACATTCAACCGGTTTGGCAATCTTGTCAATCTACCTAAAGTGAGATCCTTCCCAATGAAAACAAAATGCAGACTACTAACAGAGCTTTCTCTGCTCTACAACAGATTGCTCGTGATGACAACAATCTCTCTAAGGGATATGGCTTTGTTTCATTCGCCGACTTTGAATCCTCAGATGCAGCTATCTCTAACATGAATGGCCAGTACCTGATGAACAAACAGGTCTCAGTACAGTACGCATACAAGAAAGATGGCAAAGGAGAGAGACATGGTGATGAAGCAGAACGCATGCTGGCAGCTCAGGCTCGCAAGCATAATGTACAGCCACCAACCCAGCAAACTTTGCAGTTCCCTGGTGCTGGCCAGGGTGTATCAGCAACCCCGGCTGTCATGTCGAATGGCGACGGCTCTCGACATTTGAGCGCAGCACTATCACAAACGCCGGACCTAGCCATGAGTCGGGGTATGCCACCAGCCATGTCATACCACAATGTTCCCCCACCAAACCGACATATTGCAAACCCCGTCCCTTCACTCAATACCCCACCACCTGGGCTTCCAGCCCGACCCCCGCCTTCCCAAGCTGGTTATGGGGGCCCGCAATCTTTCTTGCCACCTGGATTTAATGGTGCAGGCCAGGCGCCTTTCGTCCCACAAGGTGCACCTCCTCCTAGCTTTGGACCACCTGGATTTGGACCTCCAGCTGGAGCTCCTTCAATGCCACCAGGCTTTCAGCAACCCGGATATGGAAATTCTCGGTGATCCCGGGTAGTCTACTCTCTAGACAGTCTTTCCTCTCCCAAAGCTATACCCATGTAATCATGAGGGGGGTTTGTCCCTTAATACACCAAAGCGCTGATTTATGTGTTTCACACCCTGCCTTGGTTCCATTAAGTATTCTGATGAGACTGTCCAACTGCGCCCTGGAGCTGGCTGGCTGGCTGGCGACACTGCCTGATTATGTGTAACAGTTGCCTGTCTGACACGAACAAACCGCAAACACGGTGGGATTTGAATAACATAGGAATCTATGTACTATGGATGTTTCACTTGAAACAGACACCGCCAAGTATCTATCTACCGCAGACACAAGAAATCTCTTGGCCAAAGTGATGAATCGTATCCATTCCGACAGACAGTAGCAATCAGACAGAGCAAGTTTCATTTCGGTTTGTGTGGATACGCCGCCGAATTTGATAATTATCCCTATCTGCATTAAAAGGAAAGGAAAGGAAACATAGGGCTGGTGATATGATTGTAGGCAAATCAGGAAAATGAGACAAACTTGGGGTCCCTTGGGCGGCCATCTGGTCCAATATTATTCTTTGCAAATCGTTGCTCTGTGAAGATTCGACGTGCTTCATCAAAATTGACATGTTGACTCTTCATAATTTTCCTCACTTCCCTCTTCGCTTGTTGGTCCAGCCCGGCTCTCGAATCTCCGTTTGCAACATTGGCCGTAATATCAAATTGTGATGAGCTTAAACCAGCCTCTAGGTCAGCAGTGAAGCTCGATGGAAGGCGGTGATAGAAGTAGTCAGGCACTTGGACCAACGGCATCCATCGTGACCGACTGAGATATAAGGCTAATGAGTAGTTAGGACCATTTATTATGCATGGTTGATTTCTGTCAGAATGACAGCCGACATACCTGTCCCACCTATGATCACCGTGAAAAGTAGGAAATAAAAGAGAATGTAGGTCATGATGATGAGTAAGACTGATGAGAACGCCGGCGTGTAGTAGTAAAGTACAGAGCTGTGTGATATTGTGATGTAAGGAAAATGGGCGCTCTTAGTAAAAGATGATATCTTCCTCGCTAGTGGGGAGGATATCTCGGAATCAATCCAGAAGGTGTGAGAAGATTAGCTGTGAGAGTAATTGTGGTCAAGGAAGGATCTAGAGGGGACAACGTCAGCATCGCATTGATTTGGTGGCCTAGGAGGTCGCCGGAAGCTCTGGGTATTTGCCCCATTAAACAGGCAACAAGGCACCAATGGATGACATGAGACGTTACGGACTTCAGGCACTCAGGCAGCACCCCTATTCCTAAAGGAGCCGCCTTAGCGAGACCCGTCCAGTCTGAGGTCTTGGCATTCAACACGCACAATTTGATCGACGTGAAGACGGTTTGATAGCGACTTTGATCTTTCAATCCCCTAACTCAACATCCTCTCTCATCAAAATGGCCACAAACATCTCCAACGATCTGGTCTGGCAAATCACCCGTACGTCCGGCCCTCCGCATTTGTTATTTCGAATTTTTATGTCAAAGCTTCGTGGAAGCACCCGAACTCTAGCTCATTCTCTGGAACAGGCCGCCAGAACTCCTTCCTGGTTAACCGCAACTCCGGCGGTGGCTCCCAGTTCTCCCGGGACCCCCTGAACGTGCTGAACAAGCACTCTTTCAAGGTACGGCCTCGGATGATTAGACGGAATGGATGATTCCTCTCGGGAATGAAACGGCTAACAGTGGTCTTTTTTTTTGGCGCCTGATAGTATGCTGGTTATGCCAACAACAAGGTAATTTCGCCCTGCACTGCCACGGGGGAATTTCTCCTGTTTTGAAGATTCGTGGCACTAACCTTGTTACTCTCAGGCTATTGGTGTCCAGGCCACTGAGAACGGTGTCGCTGTGATCACTAAGAAGCCCAGCAACACCCAGCAGCCCGCTAAGAACCTGGTCACTGTGACTTACGGTCCCAGCACCTCCAACCGCAAGTGAGTAAAATTGACATCCCAGTTTGAATAGACATGGTGGGTTTCTCGTGAACCAGTACTAATTTTGAACACTCTAGGATTTACAAGGGTGTCGCCGACAAGACTGCCAAGCACGGTTACCGTGCTGATATCCGCGAGGAGGCTGTCGCCCGTGTGAGCGCCGTGCGCCGCTCGCAGCTCCCCAAGAAGGATGCCCCCGCCCAGAAGCTCCGTGGTGTCAAGGCTCGCAAGGCCGCTGAGGAGTCGGAGTAAATTAGTCTCTGAAATGAGACTGTTCTGTGGACCATGAGAGGTCGGGGTTGGAAGGGAGACATGATAGGTGTATGTGAAACGCCGTGCTGGACTTGGAAACAAAGTAATCTAGCGATCTTGCTCCAGGGCATGAAAAAGAAATGATGCCCTCCCGGACTGTTCTAGGAAAGAGAATTCCCCTCCAAACAAAATAAAGAACAAGAACAAGCAAAGACAACCATACCAACCTCCATGACCTCCCAACGGAGCGGGAAAGAGATCAGCTCAGAGCTTGTAAGACAGTATGTAGTACATCTGGCTATATTCAGAACCGAGCGGCCGGCCCGAGCCACAATGCTGTGGATGCAAAAGGTCCGCCTTTTCCCGATAGAACAACCCGGTAGCCCGAGGAAGTGTGGAACGTCTCTTTTCAGGCACGAGAACTGCCGGAGAAAAACCCAGAGAGCGCTGAGAAGAGGGAACAGGAAGTGGTATGTGTTGAGAAGCTATGGTGCCTCGGTCGGAAGTAGGTAGCAATGACTATCAGCAGATGGTAGAATATCCCGTTTAATTGCGATTTATGAATAAATCCACCCCGATGTAAACGAGAGCGAAAAGAAGAAACATCCAAAACACATCCAAATCGGCTTCGTCGTCATATCCCTTCACATGTCATCAGAAGACGTAAATGGGCCCTGGTGTTTTCCGGGGTTGCCCCTCAAATGCCCCTCCTATAAATCACCCCCCGTCCCCTCCTCACTCGAGAAGCTTCTCCTTCCTCTCTATCTTCTTTCCCTACACGCATACATTCTATCATCATGGTTAAGGCTGGTATGTTTGTCGCCTCATGCTGGTCGGTCTTTTGCTGATTCATTATTAGTTGTTCTCGGAGCTTCTGGTGGCATTGGCCAGGTCAGATCTGTCCTTGCTTTTTGAGTCGCATTGCAGCTAATTTTTGTAGCCTCTCTCCCTCCTCCTGAAGGCCTGCCCTCTTGTTGATGAGCTTGCCCTCTATGATGTTGTCAACACTCCCGGTGTGACTGCGGATCTTTCTCACATCTCCTCGGTTGCCGTATGTATAACCTGTCCTGGATCCTGAGACCCGTGCTAACGACTAACCAGAAAATCACTGGCTACCTTCCCAAGGATGATGGATTGAAGCTCGCCCTGACTGGTGCTGATGTCGTTGTCATTCCTGCTGGAATTCCCCGTTAGTAGATCGCATAGCAACATATGGGGGTGGTGTGTTGACTGACCTATTTTGTATTAGGCAAGCCTGGTATGACCCGTGACGACCTTTTCAAGGTCAATGCTGGAATTGTGAAGGGTCTCGTTGAGGGCATCGCCGAGTTTGCTCCCAAGGCTTTCACTCTTATTATTTCTAACCCGGTGAACTCTACCGTCCCTATTGCTGCCGAGGTCCTCAAGGCTGCCGGTGTCTTCGACCCCAAGCGCCTGTTCGGTGTGACCACCCTGGACGTCGTTCGTGCCGAGACCTTTACCCAGGAGTTCTCTGGTGTGAAAAACGCCTCTGATGCCACCGTTCCCGTGATTGGTGGCCACTCTGGGGAGACAATTGTCCCTCTGTTCAGCAAGGTGTCCCCCAGCTTCCAGATTCCTGCGGACCGTTACGATGCGCTTGTCAACCGTATGTGAATACTCTTTTGCATTGACGGCATTCGCTGACATTTAGCAGGTGTTCAGTTTGGTGGTGACGAGGTCGTCAAGGCTAAGGACGGCGCTGGCTCCGCTACCTTGTCGATGGCTTTCGCCGGCTTCAGGTTTGTTTCATCCCGCCAATTTGGAGCTATCTTAGTGACTTATAATTATTAGATTCGCCGAGGCTGTCATCAAGGCCTCCAAGGGCGAGAAGGGCATTGTTGAGCCTACTTTCGTCTATCTGCCCGGTGTTACTGGTGGTGATGAAATTGCCAAGGCTACCGGTCTTGACTTCTTCTCCACTCCCGTGGAACTCGGTGTAAGTGGTCAAATTCCCAAAGTGTTAAAACAACTAACTGACATTTCCCATACAGCCCAATGGCGCTGAGAAGGCCATTAACATCCTAGATGGTGTGACGGAGCAGGAGAAGAAGCTCCTTGAGGCTTGCATCAAGGGACTTAAGGGGAACATCGAGAAGGGCGTCGAGTTCGCCAAGAACTCCTCACCAAAGTAAGAGATCCTCCTCCCCGTTCGTTCATTGTTATGCGGAGTATATCGATCGAGTGGGTCCTTTATGTGGGCGCATCTCACGCCAATTGGTCAACTTCGTTCATGGCTGCGATGCCCCCGGAAACTAGCAGAGCGTTGCTAATCAATATTCTCCCGGAAAGATAGGCTTTGAACGTGAGACCACGAGATTATGAACAATGACCAGATGGGAGTAGTGTACGGACCTCGGTCAGATGAGGATGTAGGTTTGGCACACAAATAGCAACAAACCTTGAATGGAAAGAAATACCGATTCCCTATTCATATTTGCGTGTCTGGTATGATGTCTCAGATAGCTGAGAGATCCCAAATGGTGGAAGAATTCCTGTAGCAAATCGAGGAACCACAATAGAATGCCGTTTGAGACGAAACGGTCGGGAATCATATGGGCGTAAATTGACTATGGGACTAATCCAGCCCCAGGCGCAAATATTTCCATGCTCAAGGTCGGGGCTGGAGAGTTTTGATCTGGAAAGTTGCACCTGGTAGATCCGACGTCTCGGCCTGGACGGTCGTATTAATGCCCAAATTTGCTAACGCGCCTCGGATGATACCGCAGGGAAACCAAAGGTACTGTGTCAATTTCTAAGCTGATGGCCCCGTTTAATATATTGAAGTGAGTGCTTACCGCTTGCGCCATGGATATTGCTTCATTCCGGACAGCCATACTCATTCTGCCAAACGGCCGAAATGCGCTATCGGTCAAAACATATACCCCCTAATTATTGGCTGAATTAGTGTCATAGCCATCATTGAGCAAGTATGTAAGTGGGGATGTCGCTTTCTCTCGACACCATTATCTCTGTTTTGACATACTCGATGGTTTGTTTTCAAATTATCAATCTGTTTTTTGAACAGAACTGTCCACAGATCCTTGCAAAGGAACTTGATCACATCGAGATTATCGGTAAATCGAGGACGGTCTCGAGCAAAGCTACAGATATTGATACGAATTAGCACATTGCGTCGGAGAATTCCCCGATAAGGTATTGCGTTGGGTGTGAAAGGAGATCCGTCCATGCTTACCGCTCCGCGAGACCTTGCCCAACGCGATATCCTAGAGCCTCTAGACGGAAAAAAGTCGTCTCTCTAACTTCTTCATCTTCGGTTTGCTTTCCTTGTGTTGCAAGTTCCTTGGCCATACGCTCGGCCATAGGCACCAGCTCTATGAGAAGGAAATCGAAGCATGAGGAGCTGAAGACGCGGGCATTTGGATCCGCAGTATGTAATGATGGGGAGGTTGAATCAAATGACATGATGGATTAATAAAGTACAATCAGACTGAATGGGAGTGTGAGAATGAACAATGCGCAATTAGACCGAGTGTTGGAGGAAGGAAGAGGATAAAGGTGTTGATGGAAGAATGAAACCTGGCAGAACGGGATCGAGATGGGGGGTCCAAACTACTCCCCCGAATCCGCTGGATATTTCTGGCTGGGATTTACAGCATCTACTGAGACACAGTATTTATTTTACTCTTCAAATAAAACCTGAAGGCAATATATCCACTGACCGTCTGGCCAATTGATTAACTGAACCTACCAAAATTAGAATAATACAATCCTTCTCTACCTACAGGTACATAGGTAGCTAGATACATAGCCGGTCGTGGTATTCTGAAGACCCCCCAGACCCGATCACATCGCGCCAGAAACTCCATGTAAATATGCATCGGAAGATAAAAAGACCCGTATTCAATCCACACACGCTGGACCGGGACAGGAGTCTAAGTTCGTGATGGGTATGACCCGCCATTCAAAGGGCTGCTGGCAGATGGGATGTGATAGTCCTGCAGGGGAAAAGCTCGGGACGGCAAATTTGGAGCTGGCCGTTTACAAGGCGGGGCGGGGGACACATCTTCTTCGTCGCCGCTTTCGGTGAGATCGATAACATGGGAGATAGGTCGCTTTTTGCTTGACAAGCGCATCGTAGAGGATGGGGTTGATGCCTCCCGTGATTGCGACTGCGCAGGGGTTCGTTCCAAGGTAATATTCAGGTGTCCAGGTTCTTGCTTTACCACGGGGAGCCCCGGTTCGCTGATCTCGATCAAGTCGTCGTCGTCGTCGTCTGACGTGGGCGTCATTCCGCCCAACTTTCTTGCATCTGAATCCGTAGGACTTGACCAAACTCCGTCTGGCTCGACAGTAACTTGATCTATGTCCGGCGAGGTTGTTTTAAGAATGTCATCCACATACCTGAATAATTAGTCGGAAGAATCAAGATAGGCAATTTCATCAACAGGATATTGACTTACTGGTCAACTTGCAGAGACTCAAAGCTGGTTGATTTAGAACAAACAGGGCAGGTCCAGGTCGGAGCTTGCTTCTGTAATTCAAGAAATGAAGATGCATCAAAGCATTGGTTGTGCGTGCAAATAATGGAACGGCAAGGCACTTGGATGCGAAGGGTAGATAGAGGGCATTTGAGGGACATGACACTTGATGTCGCAACAATTTCCGAGTCTTTTGCGCGGTTTTGCACTAGAAAAACATATTAGAACTATCTTTTGAGGGGACATGCATTTCTCTTACTTTCGCGTATCACTTGCTCCTTTGAGATGAGTTTTCGCGTCTTCAACTGTGAGACAAGATCATCAGTCGGGTGCTGCTTCACGAGATTTGCGAGCGTGAAGAATTTCTGCGTAGGCAAGCGTTAGTCAACAAATCTAACACATCAATGCTCTACTAGGTGAGTAGAACTGTAACGAGTTCAACCTTTTGCGTCAATGCATAAGTCATGACAATATTATTCGGGTAATTGGGCTTTTTGCGGATCCAGTTGGTTATATCTGCAGGCTGCGTAGTACCTGGCCTATTCTTCAGACCCCTGAGATTGGCTTTGACTTCATCAAGATTCACTTTGAGCTCCACCTGATGGGGAAATGTGATATCCGACTTGGTGTACTGTGTGAGACCCGAGTCACCAGCACAATAAACCATGACTCGAATATTCGGGTCACTTTGCAGCCTATAAGCGATTTGCTGGGAAAGCATGACCTTTAATTCGACACTATCCCGTGTTTGTTCGCGAACTTGACAGAATTAGATATGAATATTCAACGGGCTCCCCAAAACGTTCCATAGCGACATACCTTTACACTCCACAACTGGAGTCAAAGGCTCCAGAATAGTAAAGAATGGGCTTTCCTTGAATACCAGAGGACCTGGGGATGTATGAGCGGACGCGGGAGGTTTCATGAGAGGAGCACTCGGACCAGAAGGGTGTGGGTGAGGTGACATAGAGATCCCGTGGGCCGTAGATCGACTCTGGGCAGGAGATTGAGAGACAGGCGGTGGTTGATATCGTGGTCCAGAGGGTGATTGATATGGCGCAGTATTTGGAAAAGCAGTAGCACGGATGCGCCTGGCTAGGGCATCGAAACTGACAGCGTCAGATTCCGAGAGAAGTTGGAGTCCTGTTTTGTTGGTTAGTATGCTTGTTTCAACAATACCGATTTGTAGGAAAGAGGGTCCAGGCAAACAATGCAAAGCCATAGATATGGAGGGCATAGATGGGCAAGACATAACAAAAGTATTGGCGGGGAGGGTTGACAAACGTTCGATTATACGGAACTGAAGAGTCGCCTTCAGTCCGGACACTGGGAGACTCTCATATCTCAACAAGTCTTTAAGTTGTGGATTTGTGAGAGTTTTTATGAAAGCTATCAGTGTTGTAACCTCTGATGATATATTTGTGGTCGACATGATTGCTTCACTTTCAGATAAGAGAAGTGCGAAAGCAATCAAGGTGGACTTGGTCTAGGGTTCCTCGAAAGACAAAGGTCCGATTCAGCCAGGCCAATTGTAATGGTTCTGCATCGATGCATATCTTGGCCACAGTGATATCTGAGAGAAAGGCCACAAACTCTAGTCATAAAAGGTGAGGTCAAGTCGACAGTGATGCCTCGGAGGTGAAGTGCGGCCTCCGGATGACATAAGACGAGTCTATCGCGATTTGGGAAAAAAAAGTTGATTGTGTTATCAGTCGCCGTTTTATTTCCCACCGACATCAATTCTACATTGCTGGTCCATTCCCTACGTCCTATTTTCTCAAGTCTTGCTATATTCTTCTCATACTTGCACAATGGCGAAAAGTGTTCGAGCCAGTGTTTCCAAGCGCAACAGAGCCAATCTGCGCAAGAAGGTGTTTGGCCCGGTGGTCGATGCCAGAACCGAGAGACTTGCAGCCAAACTACAGGAGCTTGCATCACAGCCACGGCCTGAGGCCCCCGAGAAATCAAAGATGGACCTAGGCGAAGACGAGGCTGGTATGTTCTCGCACATTCATTCCTTCGGGATATCGGCTGACCGCATATTTCTTATTAGATAAAATAACCAAGCCTCAAAGCTGCGACGAAGGTTAGTCTGTTGCAGTTCAATTTCTGAGCTGCTATTTCTTGAACCGCAGAGCACTGATCCGCTACAGATATGGATATCGATACAATCAAGAGCTCCAAGAAGAAGCCTGCGCGTGTGCAAAAGCGCAACCAAAAGCCACGCAACTCGATTGTTTTCCAAAAGCGACCATCCTCAACCAAGAAGAGTCACAAGAAAAAGTGAGCTGTCTGCCGCACGGGCAGCGAATGGATTATTGACGAGACGTTGTGGCGGAGAAGAAAAAGGCGTTTGGGAGTCCACGATTACACCTGCAGTCCACGTACATATGTTTCATACTTTGTGCTTTCCATACTCTGTGCCTGATATACCATACCTTTCATGAAAAAAAAGTTTTGAGTCAATGGCTGGATTCTGCTGAGTGGAAGAAAAATACGTCCCAAGTGTGCCCATCAGCCGATATAGGATGTTCCATGAAGTGACCAATAAACAGTCCTACAAAATATCGAGGCCGAAACCAGATAGATTGATTTATACCTTCATCCAGCAGGAACAACCTAACTCTAGGTTATAGAAGCTGTCAAATCGCGAAGTACAGCGAAGTACGGAGTACTCCGTCCCTAGTTGTGCACTAAAGGCGGCGTGGCTATGCGCGTCGATCATCAACACAATTCTGCCCCCCCCCGGTCTCCTTTGAATCCCGCGGACAATTCGACATGTCCGTCTGTATTCGAGGAGTTACTTCGCGTAAAATCTGATCTGCCACAACTCATACTGGCCAATTATCAAAATGGCGGGTTTTCGAAATTGGGCGATGATTATTGCCAATCTACTAATACCCATGGGCATACTCATCTTCTCTTCAGGATTCTTCCCTTATAAACCGTTGATTCATGGACTGGCGACTTTCGATGACACAAAAGAGGATGCCATTGTACCCGCCATCTTTGATAAAGTCATTTTTATGGTCGTCGATGCGCTACGGAGGTATAATGGGAACAATTCACACTAAGCTACATGATGAAGGAACTAACCCGGCATAGCGACTTTGTATATTCAAACGACTCGGGATTTTTGTTTACACAGAGGTAACTGTCATTGTTACACTCCGGAATATGTCTGTTGATAAGTGACTGACTGGGTAATAGCTTGATCCGATCCGGTGCTGCGTTGCCATTTACTGCCTATGCAGGCGCCCCAACTGTTACTATGCCTCGATTAAAAGCCATCACGACTGGTTCAGTTCCATCTTTCTTGGATGTTATTTTAAATATTGCCGAGTCAGATACTTCATCAACACTGGCGTCCCAGGACACATGGTTGGCACAGTTAAAGGCCACGGGAGGACGTCTCGTGATGTATGGAGATGATACTTGGCTTAAGCTCTTCCCAGGGATGTTTGACCGAGCTGAGGGGACAACAAGCTTTTTCGTGTCGGTCAGTTGTATTTAGAGACCTGGATATCTCCAGAATTAGGATTGAAACTGAGATTCTTCACGCAGGACTTCACGGAGGTAGATCATAATGTGACTCGACATGTCCCCAGTGAGCTTGTCCGAGATGACTGGACTGCCCTAATCATGCATTACCTGGGTCTTGATCATATAGGACATAAGGCTGGCCCAAAAAGGTATCTACGCCCTTCTGCTTCATTCTCAGCTAGTCTCTGACCCTCTAGTCCCTTCATGATACCAAAACAGCAGGAGATGGATTCTGTGGTGACTGAGATCTATACTGCAATGCAGCAAGAGGACCATCTTCAATCTACACTCTTCGTCTTGTGTGGAGATCATGGCATGAACGAAGCTGGAAACCATGGCGGGTCCTCTCCTGGTGAAACATCGCCCGCTTTGCTTTTCATGTCACCCAAGTTTGAAGCCTTGGGCCGGAGAAAAAGCCCCATGGAACCCGCAGGGGATATGCAGTACTATCAGACAGTTCAGCAAGCCGACATCGCTCCAACTTTGGCAGGACTTCTTGGTGTTCCAATCCCCATAAACAGTCTCGGTGTGTTCATCCCAGACTTTCTAGGGATGTGGAATCATGGTATGTGGTTCATCTTTACTGACGGTAAATCCAAAGAAAACTAGGGACTGACCTGGAAATAGGTTCCCATAAATTCCGAATCCTATTTCAAAATGCTGAACAGCTGCTGAACACGCTGACAACAACGTTCCCTAATTCTGTCTTCGGCCTCGATAGCATTGAAACCTGTGATTCCTCGGATAGATCGGGAATCGAGGGGGCTCAATGTGCATGGTCTCAAGTACAGCAGCTTCTCGCTGAGGGAGCCGACGCCGAGGACTCTTACTCTACGGCCGGTCCCGCCCTGTTGCGGTTTTCAAGAATTGCGCAGGATGTGATGAGTCGCACTGCCAGTAACTACGATGTCTCCCGACTCGCCTTGGGTCTGCTGATCACAGGCATTGCAAGCCTCATTGTACTCCCAGCCACGTACAAGCAATGCTCACGGCACACATCTTCTGGTTTGTTTTTGATGTTTTTGGTCATTACCTATGGAATGATGATGTTTGCGAGTAGTTATGTGGAAGAGGAACAGCAGTTCTGGTATTGGATTTGTTCGGGGTGGACTTTCTACCTGCATATCAAATCGGAGTCAACTGCAAGTCCTGTTTCACGTAGGGGCCTTGCATCCTTAGCATCTCGGCCTGACAAATGTGCCATTCTGGTGCTCGTGATTACTCAAAGGATCTTGCGGCGGTGGAACCAAACAGGACAGAAATTCGCAGCCGAGCCTGATATTGCTCACACCTTCTTCACACGCCATCCAACGATTTTCTGGTGTCTTCTTATCCTAACATACGTGGATGCCGGCCGTCATCTTCTCAAGAACGTCCCAATATCTGGAATGCCTAGGGTAGGTGCCGTGGTCGTTACCATGTTGGCCTTTACGTTCAAATTGCACTTTGTTGCATCCGAATCCCCCGAACTGCTAGATGGGACATTTATCTTCCAATTCATGAAGAAGTGGCCTTGCAGTCTGTCATTGGTTCTGCATGCTAGACTGGTATTTTATGGACTCGCTGCCATCATCATACTAGTACGGTTTATCGGAAAACGATCTAAAACTGCCCATGGTAAGATCACACATGCCCTCACATCTTGATCCTGGAGTCATTGACCAGAATTTATAGCCTCGACAGACACCATTCATGAGGCTCTGCACATCTTCCTGATGACACAGACCCGTGCCACTAACGTTCCCTTGTTTCTGATTTTCCGGATCCAGGCCGGCATTCTCTCTTCGATTGATCTCACAGGAGTTGAAGGGACAATCACAACCTTGATCTTCCAGTATATGACGTTCTTCGCATTTGGGGGCTCAAATGCGATTTCCTCTGTAGACCTTACCAGTGGATACAACGGTGTTGGTAGCTACAACGTGATGCTAGTGGGAGTGCTCACCTTTGTGAGCAACTGGGCAGGACCCATCTGGTGGGCTTCACGAAGTCACCATTTCCGAAAGAATCGCGCGGAACAAGATCCCTCATCACTGTTCACTTTCCATGTTGCCATGTCCTTGGTTTCTGTCATGGCCGCCTGCACTGTGCTCCGGACTCATCTTTTCATCTGGACCGTGTTTTCTCCCAAATATCTCTACAGTATGGCGTGGGCTACTGTCAACCATGTCGCCGTGAATCTATTGAGCGAGGTCATTTTTTCCCGATCTCAATAGCATGGCTTATTCATAATATGATGTTTGATTCGAAGAATGCACGGCATATCCCTTGAAATCCGTGAACCATGCTCTGCAGAAAGGGTATAAGATGATTCAAAATAGACCGCTGAACAAATCATCAATAGCATTCTTCTTTTTCTTCCTTTTCACACTTTTTCCAGCCCCGTCTCTCTCCGGCTTCTCGGAGACAGAGGCATTGGGATTAGAAACCTTGACCGGTCGCGGCGCATCAGCTCGGCGAACGCATTCCCCGATATCTTCTTTTGTGACAACTGGAGTGGCTGTTTTGGATTTCCTTGCAGGTTGCATCTTCATCTGATGACTGGTCCCAGTTATTTTGGACAGTCGCGCCAATGCAGCTAGCAGCACGATTCCAAGCGTAGAAAACTGGTTATCGGCAACGACAGTTGAAAATGCCCTGGACATAGGGTTAGCCAAGCTCGAGATCTCGGGCATCATTCCATACATGTAACATCTCGGAATTATATATGTGGCCAGGTGCTTCTGGCATTCTACCGCGTTTGGTCCGGTAAGATCCAATGTGGCGCGCTTCAGAATAGATAGCCATTTCCACCATTTAGTTCGGTGATGCTGGTTCTTATTGCGATGAAAAATCAAATGAAGCGTTGAGTGAACTGCCAGGATATCTTTGGAATCCATTGTGTTACGCTGTCAGTCACTCAGGAGCTGGTGAAGGATGGGAAAATGGGGGAAATGGGAAAATGGATTTTGCCCGAAATCCCCCAACTACATATCTACACTTCGATCTCTGCTACTGCTTTCGCATCAATCAATTCAGTTCATAAGTATTGTATTCATTGCCAAATTCTCCTTTCCCCCGGGGGGTTTTTTTGTGGGATTTTTGAAATTTCGAAAATAAATCGAGGCGCAAAACAGCTCAGAACGCAGAAACGAGAGCGAAAAAGAAAAAGAAAAGCACCGCAAAAGCAAAAGCAAAAGCAAAAGCAAAAAAATAAAAAATAAAAAATAGCAAACCGTAGTGAAAGAACGAACAAGGAAAGAAGAAGAGAAATAAAAAAGCTTGAGTCATCGCCAGAGAACAAGGTGAGGATGCCAACGGCAACAGTAGTGACTCGGAATTGATGATCATTTCGGGTCACGACGGTGGACCGGCCGGACAAGGGACACTTCATAGTTATTAAGGTGTCAGGGGGGTGATCTCAAGACTGGCATGATGTTCAAAGGCAATGGATCGAAATCTCAATCATGTCGCATGAGGCGGGATCATTGAATTCGCTTGCACGGAAGGGAAACAATAGGACTCAGGATATTCCACAAATAAAGATTGCGGCGGAATGAATATCTCTTGAAAAGGGTCATGAAGAGATGAGGAAAGAGAGATATCGAAAGATAATGTCCAGGGGCGAAAAAAAAAAAAAAAAAAAACCGATCAAGACGCAGAGAAACCATTTGCAGACTGCAAAGTGTTGAGGATAGACATTCCTGGTTGCTGTCATGCCGGAGGCTTAGTTTCTATTCTGGAAGACCCGATGGTCATCCGCTCGCATCAAAGAGAGTTCGCCAGGGGCATGCTGCAATGATCGTCCACCAGAATGCCGCGGAGTACGGCCCGGGGCTCGGGAACGAGGAGTCTGGGAGAAAGACTGGGATTGAGCCCGTGTGCGGTTGGTACGGGGAGTAGTGGCAGTTCGATTCCGAGGCGCAAATAGACCTGTGGAAGGGTCAGTGGAGGTTCATGGCATGAAAGGCGCAAGATCTTACCTTGTTGGGTTGTGCTAGCAACTGAACGGCGCAACTTGCTGGCATCATTGGGACCGGGGAAGATCGCTTCAGTGCCTGCGCGCGGACCGCTGATGTAGAAGAGCTGCATTCAGTTAGTATCGGCACTAGACCAGGGCAACAAGAGGTTCAAACGTACGCGTGGTCGTTCCTCGGCGGGACGGGTCATGACATTGCTGTTCCGGAACTTATTGACAAGAGCTTCTTTTCCTTGGAGCGCTATCGGGACCTGTCAGTTATCACGCATGCTGGCGATAGATGGGAGACGAACTAGCATAGGAAATTTCAGCCTTCTTCTCTGAGATACAGTCGGGCCTATGTATATAGACACATTTGGGTCAGCGAACGTGTACGAGTCTGCAAATTTGGGAACAAACATACCAAGTCTTGCCCTGTCGAGCATGAACGAGCTAAGAGAAACAGACAGGTAAGCAGATATCACAAACACTTAACCGCATTCAAAACCAACATTCACAATATCAATCGCCTATACACCGTGTCAGTGGAAGACTGGAAAAACAGGGAGTCAACAGAATCATTTACATCACCGAAGTTCATGAACGCATAACCAACGCTAGCAGAAGTAGTGTGAGTAACCTCAAAGACTTGCCGACGAACAAAAATTACTTACTTGCAGCCATGGGTGAAGTCTGTGATAATGTTAGTCCCCAGTCCTGTGGATCGGATCAGTCGTCGAGGACGACTTACCCATGCGTAGGTAAAGAAAATCATATTTCCCATAGCTAGATTCATCCAGGATATCCTTCAATTGGTCCTATCAAATGGGAACATGGCATCAGCAGTCACGACATTGAAAAGAGATGAAAACCAGCATACAGAAGTGATCTTATTGGGAATGTTGCGGATCATGACCTACAACGACGAGATATGTGAGACAGCGGCCTTAGTAACGGATCGGAGAAGACTTACAGTGCTGCGAACATCCAATCCTTGCCTGATTCGCTCGAGGCTGATTGCATGTTCTGGACTTGTCTGGCTTCCCTCCGAAGTCGGAGAAATTTCGACCTTCCTTTCATTATCATATTCCCCACTGCAGTTCTTCTTGGAGACGGAAGAGAGGCGATGCGGAGTCACAGGGCTCTGGGGGGAGCCATAGTTAGGAATGTGAAGGCGGGGGTATAAGTAAATATCCTCCTGTCTATCATCGTTGACTTTGAATTGAAGAGACTGCATGGAAGAAAGATCAGCATTGCACTTTCAAAAGCACACGAACAACTAAATACTTCGACCTTGTAACCATCGAGACAAGAGAACGCGTAAGTTGCATGATGGATGTTGTAGTATTCAACATGGTATTTGCGCCAGCACATCCCTTCTTCGATAGCCTCAAGAGAACGAGTTGACCCGAAGGAAGTGATAACACTCTCAACAACCACGCTCAAATGCTCCACGATATTTGTCCATTCAACTGGATCGGCGTAAGCAGTGACCACGAATTCATCATCCCGAGGAATGGAGAAGTGTTTGGTGGCTCCCGTAAAAGTGGAAATCTCATGAGCAGTGGCAGGGGTAACCTGCCATCCAGGACGACTTTGGCGGATCTTGTTCATAGCCTCGATGGCCTCCCGAATATCGGCAAATGTAACCGAGAACATGCCCCTGTGCTCAATATGCTTCAAGTAAGCATTTGCGAGGGAAGGATATTCATGGATCTTGATATAGGTCAGCTTAATTGTGTCTCAAGGGCAAGTTTGTTCTGCGATTTACAGGCAACATCAAAGAAATGGAACAGTGGGGTGTATCGTGAGGAACACCGTGCACGATAAAGCTGCGGCACTTTCCATTGTGATCAATAGCTCTGTGGGAGATGGATGGCAACTCTGAATTATGGCCAGAGTCAGAAGCAGCCTCCTTAGTGATCGAAAGTGCATCAATGGGAACTTGGGCAATGGCGCGAGCATAACCGTTGCTGGTAGCAGGGTAGGCATCAGTTTGAGGTGCGTCGTCAGTGGTGGCTAACAAACGAGAACCGAAGACTGGGGTCGGGCTGTATTCATAGCTGAGTTCTTCATGGGACGGTGAGTACCGAGCGTTGGAGATGGTCGTCTGGATCGGAGAGATCGAATATTGAGATGCTCTCAAATGAGTCCGATCGTGAGATGGAGAATAGGGAGAGTATTGCCATTGCTCCTGGGTTCCTGAAGTTTGGACATGAGAAGGCGAATATCGCATTCCACCAGGAACAGCGCTTGTAGAAGACAGTTGAGCAGACGCAGAAGAGCACCCCAGGGACGTATGAGAACCAGAAGTGGCGATTTGAGCTGGGTCAGCCCAAGTCCGGAAGAGTTGGTTTGGAATGTATGACTGAGTGGCATAGCCAGAAGTGGAAGTTGAGACAGCTACCTGGGATGCAGAAACATTAGGTACCGAACCAACTCCATCGAGCCAACCGGCAAACGGGTCGCTGCGGCAAAGTTTTTAGCATTGTTATATGAATTATGCCAATTAGAAGCTTGGATGTTTTACCCCGCGGAGCGGACTGTACCCAATCCAGAGAAAGAGTCTCCATTTCCACGATGCACAACAGCCTCCAATCCCATGGGATTAAATGCAACAAGTTGCTCCGAGGGTGGTGAGCCTTGGGCTTGAGAAGTCCCTTCCATTTTCGAGGGGAAGCTATTCAATAGTCCTCGACTGCCGCTGAAACAACGAGAAGGTGAGTAGGGGAGCGAAGCAAAAAGAAGAGTCCACATACAAGGTGTGCTGTATTTGGTGTAACTCTGGTAGTTGGTGTAGTCAGAATAGAGCTGATGCAGCGCTTGGGACGATTGAAGTGTCTGAGCGGCGAAAGCAGGCGGGGGAGGGAAGAGGAAAGAGAAAGGAAACGTTGGGAGGGAAGACTGTCTTTATATAGTTTCGTCGCGACTCATAGTTCGCATCGAGGGAGCGATTTTGTCGCGGCTCATAGTTGGCATTGAGGGGGCCAATGAGACAACATAGAACTCGACAGCTCGATGAGTCGGCCAATCGGCAGTCGGGACTTCTCGAAAAGCAAACGAAGGACAGAGAAGACCTTTGTTAAGATAACCAATGTGAATAGAGGAACCTCAACCTTGCGTGCTACTCATCTTGAGTCATTCGATCAGAATCGACCTTCCACGGGGCCAGTGAGATAGTTTGACTTGCCAAACAGAACATATATTAACTTGGAGTTTAATTAATCACTCAGTGTGACTTACTTATGTGAATATAGGCATATAGATGTACTATGGATGCCAGCGAGGTTCCCCAACTATTCTCAGAGTAATAGTGCCTCCTTCTTTGAAATTGGATCACTTAGAATTACATCGTGACATTCCTCTTTAGAGAAGTAGTATTAGCATGTCACGGAGTTATGGTGGGTACTAGAGCTCATTCACAGTTTTACGATCCAGTCATCTAGAAACTCACCATGGTCTTTATGTCTTCCATAGGCGGCTTGCTGGACCGGTGTCCCCCTGCCATAGATTATATGGAATTGAAGGAGTAGACATTTGGAATTTAGCCCAGGGGTTATGTCAAGCATAGCAATCATACATGGATAGACCTAACCAAGGTGACCTAGATCGTGATCATAAATTTTGGTCATGAACGGTGTCCCAGCTCCTCAGATGCCACAGAATCCGTGAGTTTCAATAGAATGTTGTGTAGACAAGAAAATGCAGGTAATGAGGCCACAATTACGACCGAAGTTCTGTCCAGGTGAGTTGGTGAGTTAGGAGCAAGAAGAGAGAAGCAAACATTTGGGCCCTGGCAGATCTTATACATCGGAGGTTGGGCAAGGTTTACGCTAATGGATGTGCTAGCACATAAATGGATTAGCCTACCAAGGGCGGTCACGCTACTTGTGGCAGAACCGATGCCTGACCGCTTGTGGGGGACGTCAATGAGTGTACTCCGTACATCATATCTATATGGGCTCCGGATTATCTGCCGTGGATAAGTTTCAAGCTTGGCAAGTGTGAGATTTGACTATTAGTTTTCCTTTTGGCTATGAATGTGAGCCACCATGCCACCCATGGCTCCAATGCATAATGAGCCACATGTCTTGAACCAAGTGAGCAACAGACACCTTGAACAATATACCTGTACGAAAGACTTACCTCCTATCTTTAGATTATCATTTCACCCTCAGATACAGATTATCTAGATCAGCTCATTCCTTCGATCCGAGATTACAGCGTTGGAAATCGCACTCCTCAACTACTGCAGTCGCTGTCACGGTTCGCAGGCGACAAGGAGTCCGAGATCGAAAGCATATGCAATACAAATCATCAGGAGTTTGTTTCATCAGTCAATTCACTGCTCCGGATTCGAGAAGGAACAGTGAGCTTGACGGCAGAGATCCTAGACTTGAACCAATCTATTCAAACCAGTACTGAGCGCCTAGCCGAGCAGAAGAAGGCGCTGGTAGAATCGCGTGGCCACCGGCAAAATATTGATGAGACTAGTCGCGCCATTCAGGATTGCTTAGAGGTGTTGCGTCTAGCTAATCAAGTCCATGACCTCTTGGCAAAGAAGAACCACTATGCCGCGCTGCGCGCGCTTGAAGAATTGCAAAATGTTCATTTGAAGGGCGTGACGCAATACAAGATTGCGGTCATGATCCAACGCTCAGTTCCAGCGACACAAAGGGCCATTGCTGAAGCAGTCATGTCGGATCTGAATACCTGGCTTTATCGCATCCGAGAAATGTCTCAATACCTCGGGGAGATTGCGCTCTTCCACACAGACCAGCGGAAATCAAGACAAAAGCAAAGAGCGGAAAGAATACCATATCTCGAGCATTTCAATTTGAACTCCGCCATTGAATTAGTATCGGATGAAGATGAAGAGTATGATTTGCTTCATAATGAAGACCTTCAAGTTGACTTTACACCGCTGTTCGAGTGTTTGCATATTCATCAATCTTTGGGACATATGGATAAATTTCGGATTGAGTACGCGACCACTCGCCGAAGACAAAAAGAGCTTTTGCTTCCGTCCTCTATCACACTGGTTGATGAGGATGGCTCCAGCCTCCACAATCTCCTGGAAGAAATGGCCGGGTTTGCCATTGTTGAACGAGCTACAATGAAAAGAGCCCCTGACCTCAGGTCGTCGGTCGATGTAAGAACCCAATCCCCGTATTTTGGCCTCTCTGACGAGAAGCCTTCTATGATTGATCTGACCAGTGCTTCCAAAATAGATCGATGAGTTGTGGGATTCGATGTGCCAAAGCGCTGTAATATTGATATCGAAGGCACTGCATGAAGTCGATAACGCCGAGAGCATTCTCAATATCAAGAATCTGATTGCTCTATTCATGCAGACGATGAACGTAGGTGGGCTCATCCTTATTATACTGGGTTCAAATAGCTGATCCCCGTACAACAGACATGGAGCTTTACTGTGCGGGTCTTCGATGACTTGTTGTTGACACTATTTGGGAAATATGCTGAGCTTCTCAAGAAAAGGTTCAGTGACGATTTCCAGGAGGTAAGGCAACTTCCCATTATCAATCCATCTAAAATGCTGACAGTGCCAGATTGTATCAACGGATGATTACATGCCCATGCCGATACAGACCCAAGAGGAGCATGACAAAGTCCTCAACGTGAGTTGGTACAGCCCTGAAAAGTCTCGTGAGGAGCAAGTGTAAGTTCTGAAGCAGCCTGTGTCAATTCTTCCTTATTCGAATCTCACTAATTGCTGGCTTAGCTTCCCATGCATATTGCCATTCTCCCGAATGTATCCTTTATGTTGCATTGATATCCAGAATTTCTTGAATCAGTTTTACTTCTTCGCAAATGACGGCTTCGCAGATACAAACGTGATTGATGAAACATTGAAAAATGTAGGTTTTCAACATATCCCGGGTCCATAAGTTAATTACTGATTTCACAGGATCTGGATGACCTACTCTCACAGAAAGTCTGTGACACCCTAGTGGAGCGTCTCTCCTCGCAATATCTGGGTCAAATTGTCCAAATTCTTATCAATCTGGAACACTTCGAGCTGGCTTGCCGCGAGCTGGAGCTCTTATTGGCGGCGGCCCGATCACAAAACTCCACCGGCATCTCAATCACGTTGAGGGCCACTGAAAAGTTCAGGAGCAACAAGAAGGCAGCCGAGAAGCGTATCTTTGAGGTAGTCAATTCCAAGATTGATGATCTTATCGAAACAGCAGAATACGAGTGGATGACTCCTACACCACCCACAGAACCCAGCAATTACATGCAGACCTTGACACGGTTCTTGTCCAATATCATGAACTCCACATTGTTGGGTTTGCCGACAGAAATTAAAGAGCTCATCTATTTCGATGCTCTTAGCCATGCTGCCAACATGATTCTGGTGGGTTTTTTTAAGATGCTTATCCACTAGAAGGAAGCTATACTGACTAGAACTTCAGGCGCAACCACTTTCCCCAGATGTGAAGAAAATCAATCCCAACGGAGTGACAGCATTAGCAAAGGATGTTGAATATCTCGCCCAGTTCGTCGACAGTTTGAATGTACCAATTCTTCGAGAAAACCTGGACGAGTTACAACAGACTGTGCAGTTGATGCAAGCGGATAGCGCAGATGAGTTCTACGATATTTCTACAAGGAACAAGAAATATGGACGTGTTGATGCCATGCAAGGGCCGATCCTGCTGGAAAAGTATGGTTGAATCTTCTTTTTCATTGCTATGAAGTAATTACTAACTGCTTACCACTACATATAGGCTCACACGCACGGTTCAAGCTCCCACGAAGGTGGATAAGTTTGCAACTCTCTCCTCGCGATTTAAGAAATCCGGATGAATTATATCATGCTTAATACAATGTTTTGCTATCACAATGAAGTGGCTCTTGGACGTACAAAACCGGGAGCATGAGTACATAGACAACTTTGCAAGAAAAACATCATACTATGTAGCGGTAAAAGCATCCCACGAGACAACATCGGACTGTTGGCAGATATCCCTTTTGTCTCCACACAGTTACCATCGGCCTGTTTGCATACCAGACTCCAAGTATTATGCTTGACCGAATCATTCTGCTGATGAAATGAGCAAACTTCCAACCCTTGCAAAATGAATAAGGCTGATTGATCGCCCGATACGTAGGAACATGCATGGCCCAGGTCTAGCAACCAACTAAGTAGATCATTCAAGACCTTGAAAATGCCGCATGTAGTTTCCTCTTTTCGGACCAGCATCACAACCTGCACCCATTCCGCACATAGAGGAATTCCCAATGAGCAGCAGTCACTCAATTACCACCTCATCATTGTCTCTGCTTTGTGTGGGGAAAATAAAACAAGCAATACGAAACACACAGGATGAAAACCAAAATACGCCTCGGAACGCGCAAGAACTAGGAAAACAACGAAGAGGAACATGCGGTGACCCGTTCACTTTAAACACAAGATTAGCGTGTCTACTGAAAATTGGACATTTAGCAGGTACGTACCTGCTGGGGAGGGAGATGTGGGTAGGCGTACATCCCCTCAAACATTTGGGATTGAGGCTGACCATATGCCGTAGTCGGGTCTGATGGAACAGCTCCAGGGTACATGGCAGGTTGCGGGCGGTACTCCTGGTCTTGCGGCATACCATGCTGGCCAAGGGATCCATAGTCGGCAGGGCCCATGTGCTGGTGTGGTTGAACTCCATGCGGAGCAGGGGGTAGCTGGCCTGGGGCAGCAGGAGGGCCTGAAGCGGCACCGGCAGCCTGACTTGACCGCTTGGCATGAGAGGTCGCCTCTTCGCGGGGAACTATATCAATCAGGAAGTCAAACATATCCGATTTAGATAAAGCGGCGGCAATGTCAGATCGCTGCAAAGTACGACGCTTGTTGTCTTCGGCATGGATCCATGCACGCATAGTTAGCTCAGTGATAAATATATCACAACCCTTAGCAAACAAGATGGGCGCCTCTGCGGAGATCATCTTGACCTCCGGATCTGCCTTCATCACCTTCTTGATACGGGCCAAGGGCAACTGGTGGATCTTGTAATCATGATTGTCTGATTCCAGGTGGTTGATGACATGCTGCCAATATGTTGTCAGGATATCACGAGCGGTTCCTTGAAGGCCTTGGTTCACCTGGTTCTGGTGAGTACTAGGATTCAATACGCCTGGAGTCATTTTGAAGAGCTTACGTTGGCCCAAGTACCTGTGTATAACTCGGCAACTGGTGCATAACCTTGTGCCGAGAGCTAAAAAATAATCCCCATTCTAGTTAGTTGTTGCTCCAGATACATCGCGCGATCATTGTACAGTCAGGGCATGTCTCTCGTGGCTCGGCGTGATATACGTACCGCTGCGCTAGCACCTAGATATTATCGACTTGTCAGTTTTCATTCAAACTAGTTTTTGTGATCGAGTTACGTAGAGTGGTTCTGAATGAACATCGGTGTAGAGGTAGCTTGGTGAGCTTGGAGCGTAATTACCGTAATGTCCCCCATTCCTGATGTCATAAATAGGCTGCGGCTGCTGTCTGCCCTGCTGCGCAGTGCCTTGAGGAGATTGCTCCATAGTTCTTCTGCCGCCTGATTTGTGTTGGGTAGGTAGTGCTATTGACGTGGAATGCGACGCGACCGGGGGAGATGCGGCGAGGTAGGGCGTTAGAGCACCCTAGAACAAAGGACAATTAAACGCGATACGCGAGCAGTGGTTCGAGTCGTAGCACTCTTCAGTATACAATCAAAGAGTTGTGTTCCAGATCAGGGCGCGTTGGGTGCCAAGCTAGAGGTGTTCAGCTGTCTGACGTTCCCGGACCACCCCTCCGAGCTCTACAGGTAATACCCATCATGTACGGAGTACGGAGTACGGAGTTACGGAATATGAGATACCTCATTCTTATGACTCGGTTAGGCATGAAACTTCGGGGTTTTTTTTAAGGACCGAAAGAGGGTTGTAAGGGATTGTATCACTTCATGAGAGAAAAGATATATCCTTGTATACAACCTGGGGAGATGTTGACCAATACCTCTGATAGGTGAATACTCCGGGGCATTGCACTTCCAATACATGAGCTGTACTATTCTGGAGTACGGAGTACGAAGTACTGTACTCTGTTGGTCAGTACCAGTACCATGTTTTTGCCGACCAATAGACTGATTTTCTTGTACCGGATACACCGTATCGAGGTACTGGCCTGTCACATGACAACCATCCACTCTCGCACGAAGCAGAAATTTCTCATAAACGTTTGTCCGGTTCCGACAAGCAACGACCAGAGCTCGAAAAAAAATATAAATTCTTTCCACCCGCCTCCAACTTTTTGAAGCTTTTGCTATCCACCCTATTCAGCAGGGATGGCTGACTCAACATGCGTGGATGCCCAGGAGGATCTGACTGATGATCAAATCCAGCAGCTCCTCCTTGAAGCAGAAACTCGTCTGCGAGGTTCTAATGCATTGGGCACTCAAACTGAGGAGACATCACTGAGGTACGAAACACCATTGTTTCCTTTCGCTAGGGCTTGGGCTAAAATTTCATAGGATTCCCAAACTGTCACCTGGCTCCACGTTGGAACCATACGTTCGCCAGGGAGATGGTGTTGCCACTGTCGATGCTGCAAAGATCGTCAACCAACAACAGAAGGAGTTGTCCAACTCTCTTCGCTCGGTTGGGGTCAAGAAAGAGAATAAAGTAAGCCACTTAACCTTGCCGTTCTTTGCCCTTCGCCTCCCCCCTTTTTTTTTATTGCAATGAGGAAAATATTCCCAACGCAAAGCGCTTGATGTAGCGTAACCAGTCCGTCTTGGGCTGTGCTGCACCAGTGAGAGTCTTTTTATTCATAGTTACTCTGAGCAATCATTACAACCTCCATATTTTCTTGTTGTGCGATGTGTGGTCAATTGCTGACAACATTGACCTTCAATAGGACAAGCCTACTGCTGGGCCCGAGTGGTTCAACCTCCCGAAGACAGAAATGACGCCAGAGCTTAAGCGAGATCTACAGCTCATTCGGATGCGTTCTGTGCTTGATCCCAAGCGTCACTACAAGAAAGAAAATGGCAAGGCCAAACCACCAGAGTACTCCCAGGTTGGAACCATCATTGAAGGTCCCACCGAGTTCTTCAGCAATCGGATTACCAAGAAGGATCGCAAGAAGAACTTTGTCGAGGAAACGTTGGCGCTTGAGCGTGGCACCAAGCGCTTCCAGTCCAAATACAGAGATATTCAGGCCAGCAAATCAAGCGGAAAGAAGTCCTTTTATAAGGATTTGCAGGCTAAGAGAAGCCGAAAGAACAAGTGAAACCTCGGTCTCGATTTTCGAACTATCTCAGCGAACTATACCAGGAATGAAAGCATTCAGCTGCTGGCTATGGTTGGCTTCTGAACAGAGAAACCTCTGCTAAGATCCCATCAAGTGGGCCCCCAGTCCATCACGACCTGAGATCATCATATACATGCAGACGTGTCAAAACCCCAGTCCTAGGCCGGGCCGAAAACATTCACAAGGGTTTGAACAACCAGTTTCTGGCATCAATGTCAAAACCGTGGTCTTTCAAGGATGGATGCATTTGACCTTACCTGCATATCAATGGCCGCTGCACGGCCAGCTTCAAGAACCTCTTCGTGCCCTGCTTTCCCTTCTTCCAGAAGAGCGCTCAGCTCACCTGCTGCTTTGTTTTGAAGCACATCTTCATCGCCCCGAGGCACAGGAGACAGCACGGCCTGATTGGTCACCAAGCTGAACGCTAGCACTCGCAGGCCACAGTGTCTGGCGGTAACAATCTCGGGTACTGTGGACATCCCAACCACATCGGCACCAAGCATTCGAAGCATTCGGCTTTCAGCTCTTGTCTCGTACCTTGGTGCTGTCAGCTGCATATTCTAATAAATCGATGGGGATTTGCCTACGTGGGACCCCCAGCGAATGCATACACGCCCTCGTGCAACTTTCTGTTACTTTCCGGTGACATGATTGTTTTCCATGCTTGGTGCACGTGGCGACGGAGCTCAAGGTCATAAGCGTCAGAGAGGGGTGGGAATCGCACCCCAAACTCTTCTTCATTGGCTCCTCTCAGTGGATGAGTTCCTGCTAGGCCCGCTAGGAAGAGATGCTGCCAATCGATGTTAGCAATGGTTCTCGACCTACTCTCATGGAAGTTTTTCTTGCATCATTCAATAACACAAGATCCCCCACAGCATATTCGGAATTCAAACCTCCGGCCGCATTGGTCACTACCAAGAATGGTCAATGTCTGGTTGTTTAAAAGCCTTGAAAATTCCGTAGAACGTACAGACAACCGTATTCACGTCCAGCTGCTTGAACACTCGAATTGGGAATGCCACCTGATCAATCGAATGCCCCTCGTAATAACTAGGCTAGGGTCAGGCTACGAGCTTCGGAAGTAGATCGAGGGCTAGGCTCACTGAGCACGGCCAACCATCAACACCGCAGGGATCTTCTCGCCAATCAGCCCAAAAACCAACTTCCCAGCATGTCCAGCGACTGTATGTTGTTAGAATTTCTTTTCTGATCGGAAGAAGACGACTGACCTGTTGAACGAGGGAAGTGAGGGATGGACGCATAGTCGTACTCAATCCGTGATTCGGGTTGAATAGTCTCTGCAAGCCCTCCTAGTCCTGAGCCACATACAATTGCGACCTGGGGCTTTTGTAGGCTCTCTGGCAAGCTGGTTCTGAGATAAGAAACCGCCTCATTGGCCCGCTGGAACGCAGACAGGTCTATCTTGGTCATTTTCGCTGCAGTGTATCAGTTGGGAACTCGGCACCTGGGTTGATGAGTAGGATGAAAGTTAGTGCAAAGTAGTCATTTGAGCAAAAAGGCGACGTTTCCAAGTGCGGAGTCACATGGTACCATCGGCTAGTTTGGCGGGGGTTGCGAAAGATCCGATTAAGGATCTAACGAGATACAAACGATGATCATGTCTCGTGTCGATTGGACTCAAAACTCAGCATCTAGAGGCCTGGGAGTGCAAGCAACTTAGCCACCCGGGACATCTATGGACTGCAACATATGTAGGGCACGTATAGTGTTTAGATCAACTTGTTTATCATGGATTGGCCCGATCACGTATGCAATGGTTTCCATGGCCTATCGTCGTATATATGGAGCTGTGTTCTGGGGAGGGGTTGATCGATATTCAATTGGTAGCCAGCATACCTTATGTATGTAGGTTATTTAGGTATATAGGTAATAGCCCAGGGGGATCTAGTTGTACATGCAGTTAACATACTCCGTGCTCCGTACTCCGTATACTGACCCGATTCCCTACTCACCGCCCTGAGGCTCGCTCCCCAAAAAAACCCATCCGCCAACAACGGATCTTCCTTAGAATCACGATTCACAATGTTCTCATACACATCGCGCTCCTTAGCTGGAGTGGGCAAGCGCCTCATGGTAAATTCTCATGCTGACTTGCAATTCTTCGCGCTAACTATCCAAAAGGCGCCTGTGCCATTCCGGTCTCTATCATCCCAAACCCAGCCAACTCCGCCGGAGCAAACACCGGTTCGAGATCCAACCTCGACACCTATACCGATTGCTCCCACAGAAGCTCCCGCCGTGGCCCCTTCTTCCGTCGATACTCCTGTTACCTCCGCTTCTGCATCGACCGTTCCTGTGGTGTAAGATGTCCTTCCACTATAGTATGATTTGGGTTTATGGCTGATTGGGATAATATAGGCCGACGGAAGCTGAGCAGTCATCTGAACCTGCTGTGAAAGAATGGTGAGTATCCGAGGCGATATGTATCAACATTTATACAAGACCACTGCTCACAATTTGTCTAGGTCCGAACGGTTAGGAGCATTCGGTGAGGAGAGCCGACTGCCGCGCAGTGTGCAAGCCATATATCTACGACCCTTGCGGAGGAAGGCGGAGTACGGCCTCCCAGTTTGCGATCTTCAATTGCGATCCTACAGCGTCCGTAACGTAGAGTTCTTCACGGACTTCGCCATCCGTGCCGCTTACTACCTCAATCTCCCCGTGTCCGGCCCTGTACCTCTCCCTCGCATTGTCGAACGGTGGACCGTCCCCCGAAGCAACTTCGTGCACAAGAAGAGCCAGGAGAACTTCGAGCGAATCACGCTTCGTCGATTGGTTCAAATTAAGGATGGAAACCCACAAGCGGTGCAGGCCTGGCTGGCGTTCCTCCGGAAGCATGCCTTTTACGGAGTCGGCATGAAGGCAAACGTCTGGGAACATGATAGTCTTGGTACGATTACAATTCTTACCTGGATAGCGTATTCAATGGTCAAGACACTAATCTTTGATTCTACAACAGATGCTGGCAAGGCTATGGATGCGTCCGTCGCCGAGGTTGAAGAAATTCTTCGCCCCGAGCTTGAGCAATTTGGTCAGCGGAAAGACAACTCAGCACCCGGCACGATATTCGATACTTTGAACAATGAGCGTTTCACAGAGCGCAAGAGTCTCTAGATGGAATGGTGATCTACGTTGAACTTGTATACCCGTGAACATCTGGACTTGGTGTCTTTGCTGCATGCGCTGTCTTTTTTTATATTCGAAAGCCTTTTTGGTCTAGGCCATCTGTATTCTACTGTTTTACTATTCTCATTGAACCCAGACGGGTGGAAGTCTACATATTCCGAAGGAGACTGCTTACTACAACCCACAACCGGGTCCCCAGTCGACGTACTGCCACGCAGACATTCTCGGTAAGAAGTGATATGTTCTGTGATGTAGATATGTAAAACATAAGTAAAGAATGAAGATGGAATATGTTCAGATGTATATCTAGGTAGTTTTCTGTCTGCGGCGTATTGCACGATATTGATCACGTGAGAGATGTCGCTTTTTTGTTTTTCGAGGCCAACAACGACTGCGCCAGTACGAGGTGACTGCGCTTGACAATAATTTATTGTTACGCCGATTAAGGGCTCACTAGAGATGCCTGTCCACACCTTTCGTCATGAATTGTCTTTGCTGAGGTCATCTGGTGGGAGATACCTCCATCTTCGTCCCAGCGGGCTCTCCCTTCTCCCAAGGAGAGGCTATCGATGGAGCAGCTCATGCGCCAAGTCGCCAGTACAAGATCCCATTATATTTTCAGGCATTCAGCCCACTGCAGTTCCACATTTGGGTAATTATCTAGGAGCCTTACATCAATGGGTGAAGCTCCAGCAAGACGCAACCGAAGGAACCAAGCTGTTTTTCTCTATTGTTGATCTGCATGCATTGACGGTGCCCCAAGATCCAGCCCAACTAAGGCGATGGAGGAGGGAGGCATTTGCAACATTGCTTGCTGTGGGGCTGGATCCTAAGCGCTCTACAATATTTTACCAGTCCGGTGTATGTTCCATCATGGATATGACAGACAAGCCCAGTATGACTAGATACTGACATTGACCAGGTGCCAGCACATACTGAGCTCATGTGGATCCTTAGCACCGTGGCTTCTATGGGATATCTATCGCGCATGACACAGTGGAAGGTGAGTGGCCGTACAGCTGCACACACGCTGGCATTTTGTTGACATCCCTCAGAGTAAACTACAGCTGCCCGACAGTGCAACGTTGGATGATTCAACGGCACGGGCACAGCTGCGCCTGGGTCTTTTCTCATATCCCGTACTCCAAGCTGCTGATATCCTCGTGCATAGGTATGTTGCCTGTCTAGGACACCTTAGTCGCTTTTCACTAATGATCACCAGAGCTACCCATGTCCCAGTTGGGGAAGATCAGAGACAACATCTAGAGTTTTCCAGATACACCGCAAATAGCTTCAATCACGTCTACGGACCTATCTTCCCCATCCCCGAGGCATTGATATGTAAGAGATAGTCGCGCGTGCCAAAATGAACAGACACTAACTTGACTAGCCCCTGCCAAACGAGTGATGTCGCTGAAGGATCCCACGTCAAAGATGTCCAAGTCGCATGCTGACGAGAAGTCACGGATCATCCTTACCGACTCGCCGGCAGAGATTCGCCGGAAAGTCAAGGTGGCTCTGACAGATTCGGAACCGAGTATCACCTATGACCCGGAACGTCGACCAGGCGTATCAAATTTGATTGAGATCCTTAGCCACCTGGAAGGTGTATCGTGTGGGGATATTGTGTCTGAGTTCCACGATGCAAGTCTTCGGTCACTCAAGGAGCACGTTGCGGACCGGATTGCCTATCATTTGCAGGAGATCCGAGATCGGTACACTACAATCATAGAGGATAAGACTGGGTACCTGGATTCGGTGGCTGAGGAGGGTGCAGAGGCGGCGCGCGCCAATACTCGGGGGACCATGCAGCAGGTTCGGGATGCGATGGGTCTGTGAGTGGCAAGTTGCAGGCTGTACAGTTTTGATGTGAGGACACACTATGACAGTGTTGTGTATTATACGTGTAAAAAAAAGAATGAGAATCCGGTTGCCTGTACGAGACGACCAATGAGTGAAGGTAGGGACCTACATCTCCTACGTAGGTATATGGAGGTGATATTGGTACAACATATTCCACGCACACATATATATCGAGAGAGGTAGATATATATATATATATCTCTCTCTCTCTATATCTCCCCATTCCATGTATATGTTCACGCGCTGGGTACTCCGCGGAAAGAGTACAGGAAGTGGAGCATCCGCGTCATCCGTGTCGCGCATAGTACCCTTTCAGGCTTCCCTCTCGAATGACTGTAACGGTATACAGAGTCGAAGGAACGATTACGACCTGGGAATCAATGTGACTGACATGTCTAAGTCGAAACAGGAGCTCGGAACGGACCGGTAAAGAATCTAGTATGCTTGGTGACGACAGCACTTTGCAACCATCGAATGGAGCATAATGGAGAGAAGAAATATTCGAAAATAATGAATTCCGGTTGAACCGAATCGATTTCGTGGGCACTTCACACTCTTCCCATCTCTACTCTTTCTCATTCCTCTCTCCTCTCGGCGTTTGCTTTGACTGGGTTCGACTAGATTGTAGCCTGTTCCCATTCAATATCCAACAGCTAACAACGCCTTTTCCCCAAGTCATAGGTATCTGGTCCTCCACATTCCAGCCTGAACTCGGGGCAGACGATCGGCGCAATGAAAAATACATTGATTCTATTGGCCACGGTCCTGGTGCTGCCTACCTGGGGGTTGACTCTTCACCGGAGAGACAATCCTGCGGTGGTGCAAATGGATCTCCAACGCAAAGAAGTCTTGAATCCTATCACAAGAGATCGAGCCAGGCGAAAACGTTCTTCGACGGTCAACCAGGCATTGGACAATGAGGTAAGATCTGTTCTGATATATATCACCGGCCTGATGTTCATAGTCATGCCTAGGAAACCCTATACTTCTGCAATGTCACCTTGGGTACCCCAAAGCAGAGCGTGCGACTGGTTCTTGATACTGGAAGTAGTGATTTATGGTGCAATACGCCAAATTCCACTCTTTGTGAACCCCCCAAAGATGAATGTAATGCATCCGGCACTTACGATCCCAGCTCCTCTTCTTCGTATTCCTTTGTGAGCTCGGATTTTAATATCACCTATGCCGATGGATCCGGCGCCTCCGGGGACTATGTCACCGATACGTTCACCATCGGCGGCACAACTATCAAAGACTTTCAGTTCGGCCTTGGATTTTCGTCAGGTTCTAGGGGTGAGTGACCTGTAACCTAGTACTCAGTACCCCCGAGCTAACCGATATGGTTATCTGCAGAGGGCGTGCTGGGCATCGGATATGCTATAAACGAGGTCCAAGTGGGCAGAAATGGAGACTTGGCATATGCCAACCTGCCCAAGGCGATGGTCGACAACGGCGTGATTCGATCTAATGCTTACAGTCTCTGGCTTAATGACCTGGACGCGAATACCGGCTCCATTCTGTTTGGTGGAGTCAACACCAAGAAGTACCATGGCACCCTGCAGACAGTCCCTGTTCAGAAAGTCGGGGGAGTGTATTCGGAGTTCATTATTGCACTCACTGAACTCACCCTCACCAATTCCTCGGGTGAAACTACCTACTCATCGAGTTCTCTTCCTGTAGGCGTGTTACTAGATTCGGGAAGCTCTCTCACCTACCTCCCCGACGCCCTTGTCCAGAAAATCTACAACGATCTCGAGGTCGTTTACGTGCCGGAGACTGGAATTGGCTATGTTGAATGTAGCATAGCCGAAAAGAGCATCACCATCGGCTACACGTTCTCATCCCCGACGATTAACGTGGGCATCCGAGAGATGATCATCGATGTTGGTGACCTCTATTTCCAGAACGGCAAGCGGGCCTGCGTCTTCGGTATTGTCCCAGCTGGAAGCAGCACGTCGGTCTTGGGAGACACGTTTCTCCGCAGTGCATATGTGGTATATGACCTTGACAACAACGAAATATCCCTCGCAAATACCAACTTTAACTCCACCGAGAATGATATCCTGGAGATTGGGACGGGCACCGACTCTGTCCCCGGTGCAACTGCCGTCTCCAACCCAGTAACTACCGCACCGGTTGGTGGAACCGTTGCGCGGATTGGAAGTCCACATGGAGGATCCGACATATTTGGCTCTGCCTCTGCCACTGGGAACAAGGCTATACCCAGGGCGACCGCTATGCCGAAGCACTTCGCCGTTGGCCTTGCCGGAGCGGGAGCTTTCCTGGTTTTGTAAAAATTTTCTTGGATGGCCTGCTATATATATATATATATTTTTCCTTTCCTGTTCAGGTTCATATTTTACATACCGAGGCGTACCTGAGAGTCCCCTGTTGATTTTGGCAAGAGTTAGTCTGAGCACAAGATAATGCAGTCCATTCTCCTCATATCACACTATCGTATGTTACGTAGATCTAGCCAATTGGAATTATGCCTGAGAACTGTATACTCTTACATATTCCCGTAACTTGTACCATAAAGGTACTTTCTGACGACGGTTAGGAATAGAGGTGAACATACTATATATCATAGTACCCGGGTGATTTCTTAGAATGAAACAGCATTTTTAGACACCCTAGCATGGCTCGATTAGGAAAATGATATAGCCACTGGTTACGGGTCAGGTAATTGAGTCTACCTCAATCCCTACCTCCATCCCTACATTTAGCTATCAGGCTGCGCGTTTGGGTCCCAAGGTTGTGGCCTCTGAGGGGGTTGACTTCTCTTACCCATTCTAGGGGTTTGGCGGAGAATAGACCTCGCAATATCTCTGAACAATTTCTCATTATACACAGCGAGAAGAGAGCCTACGAGTACAATATTTCGTCTTGGCATTCTGAAAGCACAATCCTGACTCATTTCGCCTTTCAAAAGTTCGCAGCTACCTTCCAATGCATCGGAGCTTCCGTTTCCACCACCGGGCTCTGGCGTCTGGCGTGTACCATGTCGAGCCAATTCTCTTCTTAGCGCGTTGCTCCTACGCCATGGAGCAGGGCATAGTGATAGCCGCCGCGGCAATTTCCATCTCCTTCACTATGTTTAGTACCGAAGCCGCGCTAGCTGATGGTTTTATCACATCATACGGTTCTGAATCATTGAGGCCATGACAGCACGAGAGTGAGTGACCACTTGATTCATGTAGTCGGGGATGAATCGGACCCAGGATAAGGAAAAGCCCGCCCTATCATTAGGTTCGCCCTCAATTAACTGCAGTTGTTTGCTCATCGCTTCGATGATTTCCTCGAATTTCTCGGTAATATCCTCCCGAGGTCATCATTGAGGTGCTCAAACACAAGTATCTAATCCAAATCGGGAGAGGAATGCCATCGGCGTCAGCACAAGACTAAAAATCACAAAAGACAACGAAAGCGCACACGGATCGAGATCAAGTGTACGCTTCTCTATTTTGAAGGGAATGAGTTGCAAATATTAATGCTCGTGCCATGCGAATGACCGAAATAGCCCGAGAACGTTGCGACTTCAGGGCAAACGAGAAATCGTGGGAAGCTCACAATAAACCACTTGCGACCACAGTCCACTCTGAAGAATGGAATAAATTCTGGGAGAAACCTTGACTTTTGTCCCCCCGACTTCGGTCCCTAGATCCTCATCCTCCTGAGGAGCGTCCCGTAAGTCGAACCATTGCACATCAAGCACGATTACGTGGGCCATGGACTGTCGGGTGTCAGAACCCTCCCATCCAGCTGGTGATTTTCCTTGACAGAGTCCAATGCCTCTTCGTCCACGACGATAGGGAATCCATGGCTAGGATAGCATGATAATCTCCGTAAAGGGACCTCATCGGCCCCAAATGGCGTCTAGTTAAGACAGTCAGTGTGCGATTTCCCCTAGATTCCAAAATAGAATATTTCTCTGCATTAGAACCCATACCGTCAGATCTCCTGCTTTGAGCAGCCCTCCAGCGAGGGCTCAGACTGAATATTCCATTTAAGTTGGCTGTAGATCGCTTGTCCGTCCCCGTTACCTGTTGTGTGTGCGTGGGTTAAATAGAATTCTTTGTACAAACCCCTGCATCCACTCGAGCAGAATCTCCCACCGTACGTCGTCGTTGTAATAACAGGTTCAGCAGATGAAGAAGCCCCATGTCTGATCACCGTCTTTGGTCAATTCGTCTCGGGTGTAGGTGGCATCTGACCTGAGGATAGCCACTTCTACCACGAGTTGAATGACGAAGGGAATCCGATTTTACAGGCTCAGGCTCGGGAGAAAGGATCTTGAGTGCCAGGCATGATCTGGAACATATATCGTAGGAGTATACCGTTGGCGTGCGAAACGAGTGATCGCCGAAAAAGATCTCTTGGCGCAAAACTTATATTCGCGACTCCCCTGTTGACCTGTTGCGAACGCCCCAAATGCCCCGAATTCCCTTTTCCGTGATCCGGAAAGCTCAATGGGAAAATTCTCTTCTACCTATACTTCTCAAAGAATGCCGTACTCTCGATTCGGCTCGCAATGAGCTTCGTTGGCTACGCGAGCGAGCAGTTCAGGATAGCCAGTCACTTTCGAGATCAAAGATAGGATGGAGAAGCCGATTGGAATCCATGTGTCAGATGCGATCTCGAGGATATCCTCTTCAATATATCCTTGGGGATCAACCATTCGGCAATTTGGAAATTCTCTGCCAAAGGGGCGTTCTAATTCCAAGGTCTGCCCATCGGATCTTCAAAATGACAACCTGGCTTATTGACCAAGCTTTTGCAGGCCAGAGACTGAATCATATACATATCAAGCAGCAAAATTAGTTCGTCAAATGGCTCTAGATCAAAATGATAAGCTCAAGGCTCCTCACAAGGCGAGACCTTTGCGCGTGATTGACCTCTGTACTGGCACAGGATGCATACCACTTCTGCTGCATGCACTACTTGCTCCTCATTTTCAATTGGAAATTACAGGGGTGGACATCAGTCTTCCGGCATTAAGGCTAGCTCAGAAGAATCTCGAGCATAATCTGCAACTGGGCCAATTGACACACAGCGCGGCGACAAGTATCTGCTTCCACCGCGCTGACGTCCTGGGACATGAAGACGATGATTTAATACCGTCGGTCGAGACAATATTGAAGACCCAGTCGATCAGATCACCGCCAGACCAACACAGTGGGTATGATCTGTTAATATCCAACCCGCCATACATATCCCAAATGGAGTTCTGCAACGGCACTACTGCACGTAGTGTACGGCGGTTTGAGCCCAAATTGGCGCTTGTTCCCCCACACTTGGGCTTCGAGAAGGAAGACTGCAGACCGGAAGATATCTTCTACCACCGTATTCTCACTCTGGCAATCAAGCTGAGGGCTAAGATCACGGTGGTTGAATGTGGTGATATTTCCCAGGCAAATCGGGTTGTTGCTCTTCATAAGCGAATTGCTTCTGGAGAATCCGGTCAGTTCAGTGCGGAAGTTTGGCCAAGCCAAGAGCGGGATTTGGCTCAAAATGGATTTCATGTTACTGATGGATCGCGAGGTGTTATTATACAGAGATTGCCCTAGCAACAATCCGATCTTTCTGCTTTGCATAGACCAACACAGGGAAACTGGATTAGTTAGAAATTCAAGATCGAAACAGTCAATGATAATTCTTGTTTCATAGATGTTAAGCTGGTATCATACATATATGTACGATTTCCTTTAAGGCCTTCTTGGGTTGCCACATGAACCTGCCCATACATAAAAAGATACATGGAAATGCACAAGTGCCAATCGAGTGCATTATAAGCCTCCACAACATAGAGACAAAAAAGAGGAAAAGGAAAAAAAGGAAAAAAAGGGGGGAAAGACCATTATGTACAAAATGGAGCAGACCACCAGTACTTCATGGCAGTGGTGGTCAATTTTAGAGTATTAAAACAGGTAAAGGGATGCACCAAGGCGAATTAATGTACTAGAATGGCAAAAAGAAAATTGGCAGGAACAACAGGGATGTGCAAATCTCCAAACCCGAACCCCAACTCAAGAGAGCCAAATGATGGGTGTAGTTGAGCCCTGCATGCAAAAGAGAGCCAGTAAGCATTGTGAAGTCGTGACGGATGTGATAATCCCGCTGTCGTTTCAAAGGTTCTTCTTCTTGTCGGAGGAGTAGCTGCGATCGTCTTCGCCCTCGACATGCTTGAGAATGGACTCCATCTCCTTGGCTTGTCGCTTCCACTCCTCGTCTCCCATCTTCGTTTCCCGACGGAAAAGTTCCTCATTGGGCTTGCGGTAGCTGCCACCCAGACGGTCCCACAGAGTGGTGAACTGTCCGTAGTTGTAGTTGAAGTACAAGTGGTGCATTGTGTGGCAGGCTGCACCGTTCACAATAGGGCTGTTGGCGACGTACTCGCCATCATGAATGAAGACTGTCCAGAGGTTGATGAAGCCGAACAAGAAAACATAGGCGACCTTCTGCAAGGGGAAGAGGAAGGGGAAGACGTGGTATGGGACACTCTGGGACCAGCCATCGAGTGGGTGGAAGGCGTGCGAAGCATAAGGGCTTGGCATGATCCATTTGTGGTGAGGCTTGTGTAGGGTCTTGTAGACGCGAGGGTGATGTAGGCCACGGTGAATCCAGTAGATGAAGAAATCGGTAAAGCAGATGAAGAAGGGAATCTGGATCAAGCTATAGTACGCGAAGGGCTCTTCGGCAGTGGTGTCATAGAGTTTAGCGAATCCGCGAACCTCAAGAACGAAGAAAGGAGCTGTCAATAGAGACATCAAGGGCATTGCGCCCATGGCCTGCCTGATTTCCAAGCTAATCTGGTTCTTGAGGAATTTGGGGTGGTTGTAGGTTGTCTTATCCCAAATAAAGATATATGACAGCGTTGCGATCAAAAAGTAGACCAGTAGGCCGAATAGCCTAATTGAGTGTTAGCTTGGATGTCGAGGCGGAAAAGGGTGGCGATGTGAAATCTCAGAGGAATTGGCGCATTACCAGGTGATCAAAAAGAAGCTTATGAATTGACGATAGATATTATTTCGGGGCCAGGCACTCAAGTATGCATATTTCGAGGGTTCCAGGTAGATCATCTGTGTAGCCTGCTCGTAGACATAAGGTTCCGCAGGCCCAAACAGGGCCATCGAAGTGTTGGCGGCGGCATTGACAATGGCTGGCAACGAGACGGATGACAGCGAGACGGGGAGGAGTGCTGAATAGAGGCGATCACCAACAAAGGTGTCCCATAATTCGAGAATGATATCCATGATTGATGGGCTCACGGATAGGGAGAAAGGGAGAGTGGGCGAGTACTTGTAGGAACAAAAAAGGAGATTGCGGCGAATAATACTCACAATCACACCAGCACGGAACCACTAAAGCCGTTGCAATGCCACCTTTTTTTTCTCCCTTGTCTTAATAAGCTAATTGATCCACCGGGGCAGGGGTACCTATAAAGTGGTCTGATGTGGGATAACTATCTTATGGGGTGGACAGATTGTTATGAGGTCTAGATTGTATATAGGTAGATATATTATGTAGATAGGCCCAATTCCTTGCCATTCGCTGGGATAAGAGGTTCTGCTGAAGAGCCAACTGGAAGAACCATGAGAAAAGACGAGACACAAAACGCAAGACGGGAGAACCGTGGAAATGACCCCTTTGTTGTCATGGCTGCCTTGCTGCCTGAGTGCCTTGTGAGCCCAGGAGGTGCCTGATAGATCAGGCAATACACATTCCCGGCAAGAAAAAGAATACCGGGACGGTATTTCAGTACCCGACTGGTACTGCACAGACCAGTTCCACTTGGACTACCCGTACTCACAGGTTTCCTCCACTGCCCGCACTTGCGGGTGTAGATCCAAGTATGTATGTATTCGTATTATGGGTACGGAGTATATGGAATATTACGTCGGTACAAATGAAAAGGGGTGACTTCGGGAACCTTGCGATCTGGACCCATGCATCTAGTCCGAGTAGGTAGTATATGTATGGAGTAGAGAAAATCATGTACTTTGAGACAAGGGGAAAAAAAAAAAAAAAAAAAAAAGAGAGAGAGAGACTGAGAATGGTATAGCAGAACTCCAATCATTGGTCTGCGAACGTCACAGAATTCTCCTGACTCGTCCGTTGTCCTCTGTCCTTAGTCTTTGTGATCTCTCCCAAGTGGGAACTTCTCCCGAAGGACCAGAAAGCGTACGATAGCCGCGCTTCTCGCCTAGTAAGTCGCTTCTCGCGTCAAAACGGCTGCCGCCTTCCCCCCAAACTCAAACCTTCCCGCTTTAAAGTGTCATCTGCCAGCCTCTTCCACCCCTCTTACCGCTACACCCTCATCTCATCTTCCAACTTATATTGTATCGCCCACTATCGCTGTGGCTAGCTGCGTGGTGCTATCCACCAAGCATTGAAGCCTCAGTGATCGAGATCATTGAGTCCAGGTCGGAAACCTTGGTTGCGACCCCCATTCGCCAACCCAGAGCTGTCATCTGAACTACCTTTTTTTCCCTGACTTGTGAACCAAAAAATATTGCGCCATGTACAACGCTCATCGCGGCATGGTGCCTGCCCCCAACTCCCGTCTGACGGAGCTATTGGATCAACTGCGCCAGGAGTTCGAAAGCCAGTCGCGCAACACCGGTGAATTCGAACATCAGTGTATGTGTTCTGTTCCTTCCTATTCTGTCTTACCCCTCACTTGTGCTCCGGCTCATTGAGTTCTTGGAGCTTCTCCTGTCCCATCGTTTTCCACAAGCAGCTGTCTGCTCATCCCTCCCCCGATGATTGTACCTCCATGGGTTCTGACATTCGCTGAAATGTTATCTAACTGACAGATCATGCAGTGACTGGTCAACTCCAAGAGATGGAGATGATCCGTCAAAAGGTCTATCAATTGGAACAGGCTCAGATCAAGATCAAGCAAGAGTTCGCCCTCCTGCCTCCTTGAAAGTCCTACGCACCTCATATCTGACATCGCATTTCTTCTCCCGTTCTTTAGCTACGAAGCCGAAATCCGAATGCTGCGACACGAACTTGAGTCGCGCGGCGTGCAAACCATCCCTTCCCACATCGGCGGACCCGCTGCGGCTCACACGGCTCCTTCTCAGGCTCCTCCACCCGCATTGGGCCACGGTCCCAGCAATCTGTTTGGTGGTATCATGACCAACGCTCCAGGTAGTGGCCCCGGTCTTGCCCCTCCCCCTCCCCAGGATCAGCAGCCTCCCCAGCATGCCCTTCAACAGCCTGCTTCGGTCGCCCAACCCGGCGCGCCGCAACCGCCGCAGAGCTCCTTTGGAGGATATCAAGCTGGCGCTGCTGTGAACGGTATGTCGTTATGTTTATGAAGATTGTTTTCCCGCTCCTAGTCGCTGACCCGTTGAATCATTGATTCTCTAGGCTACGGACCGCCTCCACCTCCCACTGCCTCCCCGGGGCCCGGCAAGGGCCGTGGTCGTGTTCCTCCGGGCCCGGCTACCCCCCAGCAAACCCACATTGCTTACCCGGATCCTCGCGCGTCGCCTCAAATCCCCCGCCCTACCCCTCCGAACCCTCCTATCGGCGGCGGCCGCACAGCCGAACGCCCGGGAAACATGTTGGCCAACTGGAACCCAGATGATTTGCCTCCTTCGCAAAAGCGGGAGGGCTCTGACTGGTACGCGGTGTTCAACCCCGAGGTCCAGCGTGTCCTTGATGTGGAACTGGTGCATCATTTGAACCATGACAGTGTGGTTTGCTGTGTGCGCTTCAGCCGCGATGGCAAATATCTAGCTACGGGCTGCAACCGCTCAGCTCAAATCTTCGACGTCACTACTGGCCAGAACGTGGCTACTCTCCAGGACGAAAATGTGGACAAAGACGGCGATCTTTACATTCGCAGTGTTTGTTTCAGTCCAGATGGCAAGTACCTTGCGACTGGTGCCGAGGATAAGCAGATTCGAGTAAGTTTCTTTTTTCGATCCTGTGAACAGGCAGCATGCGTGAATATACCACTGACGAAATGCGATTGATTCTAGGTTTGGGATATCAACCAGCGCACCATCAAGCATATTTTCAGTGGACACGAGCAGGATATCTACTCCTTGGACTTTGCGGGCAACGGCCGCTTCATCGCTTCCGGAAGTGGAGATAAGACCGTGCGCCTGTGGGATATTCTCGATGGCAAACTTGTCTACACTCTTAGCATTGAGGATGGTGTCACTACTGTGGCCATGTCTCCGGACGGCCGTTACGTGGCTGCTGGTTCATTGGACAAGAGCGTGCGCGTCTGGGATACGACCACTGGATACCTGGTGGAGCGTCTGGAGAACCCCGATGGCCACAAGGACAGCGTGTATTCAGTTGCATTCGCGCCCAACGGCCGTGACCTTGTCAGTGGCAGTCTGGACAAGACGATCAAGCTCTGGGAGCTTACCGTCCCCGAGGCATGCACCCTCACAGTGCCGTCAAGGGTGGCAAGTGCATTCGTACATTCGAAGGCCACAAGGTTAGCTCCGAGATCCCGGAGATCATGTGCAGAAGCTAATTTCGACTTACTAGGACTTTGTTCTCAGCGTTTGTCTGACACCTGACGGTGCTTGGGTGATGAGTGGTTCTAAAGACCGCGGTGTGCAGTTCTGGGATCCAGTGACTGGAAATGCCCAGATGATGCTCCAGGGTCACAAGAACTCCGGTATCTTAAATCCTTCGTCTACGGTCCTCTGGCTCTTTGCTAACTGCTTTTGTTTTCTTCTGAATAGTCATCTCGGTTGCGCCCAGCCCCACTGGCAACCTGTTCGCGACTGGTAGTGGAGACATGCGTGCACGAATCTGGAGGTGAGTGTTTTTTTGGGGGTTAATTTCCCTGGTGTTTCAAGATCATAAGCTGACTCTGTTAGATACTCACCGTACACTGGACGATGAAAGGTTTGATACCGATGCCTTTGGCGCAATGTGATGTTTTTCTTTTGCTTGGATTAGTCGGTTCTTGTTCTTGGGCTTGATTTTTATCGAATTTGAAAATTATATTTTTTTCCCCCCCTACCCACTGTTGGGAGTATACGTGAACCGGCATTTCCCCCCTCCCGGTCAGTTGTGATAGCAGACACACTCGTAGGGTAACACGGGTTGGGAACGAGCTGAAATCCCAGGAACGTCAGTAATCCCAACAACATCATCATCCCTGTCCGTCTGAATCATCACAGAGCCTCCGTATGATGCTCTGTTTTAAGGTACATTTTGATCTGTAAGTCGATGGGGGGAACTCCTGAGGACTCGGGTTTCCACTGCTAACTCCACCTACATATGTAGGCTTGTGGCGTATCCCTCGCCCATTCAGGAAGTAGTTCATGAAGACTAGTCGCATCCCTGCAGGAACCATTCTCGAGGATCCCGATACCTCATCTCGACGCAGGACGTGCAGGGGTTGCCACTCGTGTCAGATGGCGCCCTTTCCTTGTTTCGCCCGTGGACTAAGACCACTCGGGGCGATGATCGACTCCATTCGACTAGCCATGACAGTCTGAGACCCCGAAAGCCCGTGCTGACTGTTCCAGGGGCCAAATTGCCCAGTTTCCCCAGTTCTCCCAAGACAGATCGCACTGGAACCCCATTTGATTGGTTCGAAAGGAAATTCAGATCACCGGATCACCAGATCACCTATTTCCAAGGCCTTGGGCGGCTAACTGGGATATTCGATGGGCTGAGATCGGACACTATTGGCGACTATCGGGATGGCGCATTCTGGTACTCGTAATTACGGCCCAGCTGGCCATTGAGAGATTGCTGACTCCGAGATCGACTGAATAATCTACATGTCGACTGCAGGTCGATCACGGTCCACTTGGGAATTCCGCGATTTGAAGGCCCGGCCCGTCTCCTCGAGGGGAGACGCACAGCACGATGAGGGTTTGGTGCGTGTTTCCTTTCTTTTCTGGTCCTTTTTGCCATGGGATCATGAGTCTAATCGATACTAGTGCTATATTCCGGAATCTCGGGGTCTGCAGTTACAAAGACACACACACATACAGGTATATATGAGGAATTGTGAGGCGTTCGTCGCCAGTCGCGGCTGCGAGTATTTTCTGACTGGCACACTGTTCACACCGGATGTGTCAAAATACATTACCACTAATGAGACTAATTCCTCGTGGTACAGGAATTGGATGCGTCCAAAGCAAACTTTGAACTGCATCTCATGGAATATGCAATGCACCTGTATGCTCCAAGGCTCCCCCAGTGCTCCAATGACTGGAGGAAGGCCAAAAAACCCCCAGGAACTCCAGTTCGTCTTTGATTATTCGTCTTATATTATCCCCTGGTGGAGCCAGCTCGCCTCAATCATCCAGGATCCCCGGCCCACGAAGATCATCGAATCAAACTGGTGTACTTCGTACATTACGGAGTACATTGCATGGTATCTCTGGCCTTGAATTGCTTCTCCCCCCCCCCTTTTTCCCTCCCTTTTCTTCTGTTTTGTCAATTCCAAACGTCATACAGACAAGCGAAATGGGGCTTTTGGACTCTCTTCTCACCGGCTGACTCCATCCCCCCCCCCCCTGTCACCCCCGCCATTGCATTGGGGGCCCTGGTATATCTAGATCGGGAGGCGCCACGGTCGATGCGGATGATCATCACTAGTTGTCAATCATTCTATCCTCACTCTTCACGGCATGACCTGCATATATTTGCTATTTCCTTCCCCTCCATTCCATCTGTACACATAGATCCAGATCTATAGACTGAGTGCGCTTGGGCCGGTCTGTTTGTCTATTTTCCCTGTCCTTGCTTCTTTCTGAAAAGCAACTCGCTACCAGCCAGAACCCAAATACCACCGGAGGTTGGGTTTCGGAACAGTCAAAGACTGCCCAGGAAAAGGGAGCATCCGAGAAGGTATACATTGGGATACGCAGGTATCTCGTGGAAGATTCCGAGAGAGAAGCTATCCGTGCCTCTCTGAAAGATTTTGAGGAGAAAGAGCGCGAACAGTGGAAATGATGGAGACTGCAGAACCCGTATCTTACGAGTTCCCTAGCCATGCCGTGGGGCCATTTACACACAGGCGTCCGATGGACTCGAGCTTGAGCCAGAACTTCCCCTTCTATTCACATCAAACAGCGGCACCATACTCGCTGCCTTACCAAGCCCCGAGTAACTTGCCTTACACCTTCGGGCACTCCGTGGGCCACACACATGCACCCTCCAATTCATATCAGCCGTACTTTGTCCCCAGTCAGCACCCGATACAGCCGCAGCCACTACGCATCACAGCGGAACAACCGCTACAATCTCTTCCAGAGATTCGCCCGGCAAAGAACGCCATCAGCCAGGCAGCAAAAGCTATTCCCGATCATGGCCCGCGAATACAGCCCTTGACTAGCCACAGTCCCCTTGGCGGAACAACACGCGAGACGAAGCAAACCCCGGCTGACATCGCTTTCTCGACCAACGTGGATGTTCTGATGAAGGCAATCCAGGCCAAACACGCTGCGTCATTAAACCAACAGTCGTTGCCACCACTCCAACACCTGCCCCCGCCAGCATCACAGGCCTATCCCACATCCTACGCAGTTGCATCACCCACACCACCGCGCTACCACTCAGCAAACGAAGGCCAACTATCGCGTTCAGGCAAAAGGCGCAAATATAACTGCAATCTCCCAGGCTGTGGCAAGAGCTTCGCTCAGAAGACCCACCTGGATATACACATCAGGGCACATACAGGCGACAAGCCATTCGTGAGTGCACACCTCAAACGGATTTTACATCTGTCGAACCGGACCTGGTGGGGGATCAGCGACTAATAGTTCCGATTTGGCAGGTCTGCAAGGAGCCCTCGTGCGGGCAACGCTTCTCGCAGCAAGGCAACCTCAAGGTATGCACATTGCTCCTCCCCCCCCCTCCAACAAGCTGCAGCGCCATCCAACCGCTACTACACAAAGCAACCGCTAACATGTGATTTACAATTCAGACGCATCAGCGCCGGCACACGGGCGAGAAGCCCTTCCAGTGTGAAATCTGCCAGAAACGATTCGCCCAACGAGGCAATGTCCGTGCTCATAAGCTCACCCATGATCAATCCAAGAGGTTTGATTGTCGCCTAGATGAATGCGGCAAACAGTTCACGCAGCTAGGCAATCTTAAGGTAAGGGCTGGTCATTCCTCTTCCCGCCTCCACATCCCGCCTACACACAACATGCTTTATCCCGAACCAAGCTAACCAACCACTCTCTGCACCAGTCTCACCAAAACAAATTCCACGCGGCAACACTGCATAGCCTGACAGTCCGCTTTTCACAAATCGGCGAAAGTGGGCCGATGAACATGAGCACAGCAGACCGCGAGCTGTGGATATACTTCGCCGGACTATATAAGAACAGCAACAAGGGCATCAAGGGTCGTGGCAAAGACCGGCGGATCTCGACGACGAAGCGGTCTGATGCGCAGAGTAGCTGCGACTCGATGGGTCGAATACAGTCTGTGGAGTCCGAAGAGGGCGCCCCGAAGATGCAGATGCGCCGCGGGAGCTTCGAGGATGGCTTCTCTGCCTATAACGCCTCTAGCAGCGATGGCGATGATGGAGAGCCATATTATATTGACCGCAGGGCTCATCTCCATGGGCCTTGATTGGAGTTGGACTTGGTATCCCTTTCGTTCTTTTCTTATTTTTATTTTTACTTTTGGCATCTTCTTGTTTTTGTATCCTCTGCACATCCACTTTGATATCCCCAGGTCTTTACTTTTGTGCTCTTGTACTTCCCATTTAATCTGTGATTCCCACTGGTACTCTCTTCGTCGTGTTTTCCTCTCCTGTTTCTGTTTCCTCTCTCTCTCTCTCTTTCGCTGCGCATCCGCAAGAATTCGCTGTACACCGAAGGGGACACAGCCCTCGACTACCGTCTTTGCTTTCTCGCTGTTTTGTCTTTCTATGTATTCCAGCTGCTTTTGGGATATCCCAGTGCTAGGATTGTACTACGGCTGAATCAACAGGGTCTCGGGTAGTATCTGTCTTTTTCTCTTTCTTTTCCTTTTTGGGAGTGCGCAGGTAGTCAGGCGCAGAGAGAGAGAGATATTGGCGTGGCATATATCACTTACGTCGTCTCCCCAAAGTCGAGAAAGGGTAATATTCTTGTTATTTCGTACTCAACGATGAGGCCATACAGTCGAATATCGGAGAGATTTTTTTTTATTTCTGTAGTTGGGCTGATTTAAAGACCCGGAGATAAGTGTACAACAAAGAGGAGAAAAGATAAAGAAAAAGCTCTCCGGGGCATAAATCATTTAATGAAACAGTTCAAAGAGATCAAATGTGAAAAAGCATGCCTACGTTGATCCGGGGGTTATCCACGTGTTTGACGACCTTATTGCGCATCTGCGTCGGCGATATCCAAATCTGCGTCCGCAGGACCCTCGGGCTCAGGAACATGCGGGGCTTGCGTGCCAAGGGGGGTGGCATTAGCAAGGGCATCAGAGATGAATGATTCTTCGACGGCAGCCTTTCGCCGGAACACGCGGAGCCAGCGACGACCCCATTGGCGGATAATGGCATCCTCAGGCAGATTGCCGCTGCCATCCCCACGCTCCATCTGCTCGTCGTTGCTTCCCGCAGCAACGGAGACGATAGAATCCTCAATGTACTTGAAGAGGGCTTGCATGTCGGTGCGTTCGCGAGCGAGGGTCTCGTCGATCACGCTGAGCTGGGGCTCATACAGGCTGGGCTGGGCGCGGGCGGCAACAATCTGGCGCATACGGTTGGTGACCTTGCCAACAGTAGCGGAGATCATCTCAAAGACGTGAGGTTTCGAGAGGATGGTACCTGCTGCAACGGATTCGGAGAGGGCCCACTCGAGGACCGAGAGCGGGGTGAGGATGGTGTAGTTGAGCAGTTTGTCGATGATGTTGATGGCAATGCCGGGCTGGTCGACCCAGTAGTCCATGACGGAGGTGATAATTTGGCAGCGCGCATGTTGAGATTCCGTGCCAATGGCCAGGAGGCGATCTTTGCTCCGTTCGATGCATGACAGAACGTGAGAGAGTGATTTGGATCCGACGTAGCAGAGCGAAGTTACAAATGCGTCCGTGGATGGGATTTTGGGGTCATCAACGCCTTGACTCTTGGCCTGTTCTTCAATGGCCGTAATTACAGGCTGGATTTCTTCGTCACTAGCCTTCTTCCGAATAAGCTGCATGAGTTCTTGCCCTTCCTTGGAGTAAGGAGCCACTAAAATCTCAAGTTAGCGACAATTATCTCGGATGATGCACGACAAAGCTTACTCTCAGACGAATATTTGAACTCGGGAGTGTCTTTCTCTTTGCCTTCTGTGATTAAGCTTGGGTAAGGCTCCGGGAGAGTTCCCTTAATGCGCTGAGCGAAGCTCAATCGAATCTCCTTGTCCAAAGCACCGTGAATGAACGCCATTCGTGGATCAATGGCAGGTAACTCAAGATCATGGGTCCTGGACTTGTGTTAGAGGATGGACTCATATTAACCGCAGCTGGCATTTCAGACTTACCACTCGCTCCATTTCCAAGTAAACCCAAAGTTGCTCAAATGGTGAGCGAACCAGTCCAGGAAACGGTTGCTGAGCTCCAAATCCATTGTTTCCAGGCTGTTATACAAGAACCGGATTGCACGGCCTAAACTCGGCGCAATCGCTGCCGGGGCAATCTTGCAGCACTCCGTGAGAACGGAGTGGTAATAGACGAGCTTGTGCTCCGACGCCGGCAGTTGGAATAGCTGCGAAAATACTGCGTCTACTGCCACATCCTCCGGTTTCCAGGCTTGAACGTCAGGTGCGAAGTCGCGCATGCGGTCAAAAGGCGTGGCACGTTTGACGAATGTGTTGGGAGTGAAATAGCAATCGATATCAATGAGAAACTTGGCTGTAGCAACGCGGTTGAAATCAAGGAGATTGATAGTATCGACAAGTACATCCCGAATAAGCGATGAGGAGATATCTTTGGTTGAAGGAACAGTGTCTATTTCTTGGTCGGCATACACCGAAAGATAGACCTCTGGAAAGAGAGCACGTGCGCCGTTCGGTACAGGGTTAGGCACGACAATCTGGGGGAAGGGGACCTTGGTAACCGATTCAAATGATTTTGGCTCCTCTGCCTCAGCATCCTGTACATCATTCCAGGGACGAGGGAGACACTTGAGGTCCCAACCCTGGTTGGCCTCCCCCTGAAGTTGTGTCTGCATCAAACTGATGACACTTTGACCAGCTGCCTCCTGATTCTCTTCGGGGCTGAATGTATTCACAAGGTCGACAAGAGCGTGCGGCGTAGACGCAATAATGTCGGTCTTCTCCAGAAGCGCAGAAGCCTGGGCCTCAAAGCCAGAGGCGGGGGATAACATGATGTAAGGAATGGTGAATTGGATAATCTTCACCAATTCAAGACCAAGAAGCTGAGGGAAGCTGTTAGAAGAGTTTTAGAATCCCAGGTCAAGGAACAAACTTACATCTTCCGAAGAGGCAGTCTGGAGATCGACAGCACGGGCGAACAGCTCCTCCAAAAGAGGGAAGATGCCGTCACCTTCGTAGATTGGCTGGAGAATACCCAAAAAGCGAACAAGGAGTTTGACTTCACGCCATGCCCCCGTATCAATGTACTTTTGCAAGGCCTCGGCAGCCTTGCCCAAAACCTCAACTCCAAGCTCGGGCTTGAGACCATGTGCGACAAGGACCGTGCCGGCAATAAAGGGAATTTTCATCGGTTGTTCAAGGACACTGTATGGTGCCGGTTAGCAGGAGTCCATGTCACAGAGTGTATGTATATCGGCACGTACAGATCAAGGGCGATGTTGACAAAGTCGCGACGGATCTCCTCATCCTCATAGTTCTCCGTGACGGTCTTCGCGATACCCTGGACGTCATCTTCTGCTCTACGGGCAGCCTGAAAAGTACCCGCTCCGATGTTAGTTCAGATCAATTGATAGTGGAGCGCAATGCGCGCGGAGGGGGAGAAAAAAACAACGTCCGTACCGATTCCGCAATGGTCAACAACTGCCGTCGGACTTGAACAAACAATGGCTCCTCGTATCTGCGCCTCTGAGGGCGTCGATCGAAGTCATCATCATCTGTGAAAGACACAGAGTTAGCAAGTTGTCCGGAAAGCTTGTCGGATCCGCATCTCTCACCTCTGTAGCGGCGTTTGCGCCCACCCCTGTAGCTTTGGTTTCGACGATCGTTTTCGGTCATTTTGCTTTGAAATCAACCACCGGGCCAGTAAGATACTGGATTTTATCGTAGAGACCGGGACCTTGGGGAAGCAGAAAGGTGTTCTGGGAGCTCGAGGTAATTGGGAGCTCGGAAGGGGGAAATTGAAGTTCCGGCCCCGGAGCCCCTGCGTGCAACGTCCTTTGGACGACACAGGTACTTCTCATGTAACTACACACAGGTATATATAGACATATGTAGACATTATATACATAATGTATGCTTACCCTGTCAGTCAAGGTGGAGGGAAAAGGGATCTACTCAATTACTTTCCTTCCCAGTGATTCCCAGTTACATATCACTACATCTACAAAGACAAGAAGATCGTGTGCTTGAGAACTGGAATGACATATAGCTCATGGCTGGTAAGTCGGAGGACCGGGGAACCAGCCGAGCCCGATGAATCTGATACAAGGATATTGCGAACAAAAAGGGAGGGAAAAAAAAGAAAAAAAAAAGAAGAAAAAAAAGCAAGGACGTGAAGGGAAGAACGAACGGGGTTTCTAGCGCTGCAAGACAGGAGATTGACCATAATAGCAGAAGGGTTCTCCCGCAACGTGTATCCAAAGAAATCTTCAAGATCTCCGATGCATCGGTGGGAGATTCACCCCTCCATCCGGGGTCAAGATCGGCTTGCTGCGTCTGGGGGTTCTTCCCCTCGACCGATGAAACTATGCAGTCTCCGACCCACAAAGGCAGACCATGCACAGAAAGGGTATCACTTTTTCCTCCCAAGAGCTGTCTCAGACACCTCAAAATAAACTCCAGGCCATGACCTCCCATTGCGTGAAAAACCATCAGCCCCTACCGCCCCGAGGAAACGTGGTTTCCGCTTCCCAGCCATTAAAAGGATGCACTTTTCACACTTCATACTATCCCTGTCCAGTCACCAGTTCCCAACTCCCACCATGTCCGTCGGGGGTTGAGTCGTACGAACCAAGTCAAGAAGAAAGACAAGGCAGAGCACTCTCGATTCAGACTTTACGCGAGCACACGATGGAACTTGATGGTAGATCATTCAATCCTCTCTCTTTCACACACACGCAGTGCATATGGCGGCGCAACGAACAGAAATATCCCTCGCGGAGGGCACACACTGGTCAACTCAGTCGAGGTGTGCAAGCATTTCCTCCTTGGCAAGAGGTTTGAAGGTATCAAGGCCGAGGCCGCGGGCTTCAAGGGCTGGACGAGCGTGAGGGGGAATCATCTTGTTGTTGAGTTCAGGGGCGATCGACAATTCTACAGATCGAGTGGTTAGCGAAATTTCATTCTAGGGAGTGAGTTGTGGAGGATTTACCATGTCGTGAAAAATCGAAAAGAGCGGGGAGATCCTTGGAGGGGTTGTTGTGGTGGCGCGAGTCTGGAAGGCGGGTATTCGGGTCACGGAGCTCATCGAAGAAAGGGTGGCACATCGCTTCCACTGCGGACAACCGTTGTGTCGGGGTGTATTCCAGAAGGGCAGAGATGAGATCAATGGCCTCTGGTGGGGCCTTACGGAAGACCTAGTTTGGTCAGTGTGATTGATCAGCTATAGGGGACCAGCGAAATATACCTTATTGAAGGGATGGGGTTTGATTTGTGGGAACTTGTGCTCCATGTAGTTGGGATTCATGGTGCGGATTTGTTCCCGAGTGGGAGTGCCCAAGACCTTGATGATTTCCACCAGTTGGTCAATGCCTGATTCGCCAGGGAACAGGGGTTGTCCAAGCATCAGTTCAGCCATCACACAGCCAGTCGACCAAACATCTAGTACAAAAGACATGTCAGAGGTGGATAATATTGATGGAGGAAGGAGGGATATGTACCAATCTTCGTTGTGTAGTTGGTCGCACCAAAGATCAATTCAGGCGCCCGGTAGTAGCGAGAGCAGATGTATGACACGTTGGGCTCATTCTCGATGAGAATCTTGGCCGAACCGAAATCGCACAGCTTCAAGATCCCAGTGGCGGGATCCAAAAGAAGATTCTGTGGTTTAATATCACGGTGACAGATACCCTGTGAGTGGATGTAGGCCAGCGACCGGAACAGTTGGTAGATGTAGAGCTTGACCTCCAGCATGGGCATCGTGGTCTTGAGTTTATTGAAGTAGCGGGATGCGCGATAGACGGTCTCTGGGACATACTCGAGAACGAGGTTGAGATAGACTTCATCTTTCTATTGAGAGGGGAATATCATCGGTCAGCCCACGGGGACAGGGACGGGGTCAGGGACGGGGACGGGGGACAGAAAGACGGTTGGGCGGGACACCCAGGGGACACATACCCTATCGCCGTTGGAGTAGTAGAAGGCTTTCAGCTCCACGATGTTAGGATGGCGCACAATCCGCATGATCTGCAGCTCACGGTTCTAGAGACGCAAGGGTTAGTGACACCACCACCGATTGAACGTCGAGATCCCATACCTTAAACCGCTTATCCTGGAGGACTCGCTTGATTGCAGCATCCTCGCCGCTCGGAGCCATCTTGGTCTGAAACACGACACCGAATGAGCCATTGCCCACGATCTTACACTGGGTGTAGGAGATCTCCTTGGCCTCGCCGGTCAGTCCATCTTGGACCTTCTCCCGGATCACCTCTGGGAAAGGTCAGTTTCACCGCAATTGAAATCCGAGGAGGACATCTTACCACCCATGCGCAAACTCGGGAACAACCCGGGTCGACTTTGTGACATCACGAAGGGAAGAGGTGATGTATGTGGGAGATGTCGAGGAGTGAAGTTAGAAAGGCCGTTTTGGGGTGGTAAACCGGGGTGGAGTAGGGAGGGGCGGAAGGACCGATGGGAAAGAAGAAAATGGCACCCGAGAGCCAAGAATGTAAGTAGTAAAGTAGGGAAGAGAGAGAAGAATGAGGGAGAGAAGGTGGGCAAATCGTAGGAGAATGTCCAACCAATAAAGTCGAATCTGGTGAGGAATAAGACGGGTTAGACTGGGAAGGTTAGGTAAAATTGGGGCGGGTTCAGGGCGAAAGAGAGAGGTGACGTTGATGGAATGGATTTCCCCCCCCCTCTTTCGTTCTTGTGTTGTGTGTTTTTTTTTTTTTCTTTCTTTTTTCTTTGTGCTCTGATTCTTAGAGAGAGTTGGTTGTTTTGGTCAAATCAAAGGAAACCCCCCCCAAAGACAAGAAAAGAAGGAAATCACAATAATGAAGATGAAAGCCAATGTCTTACGGGTGGGCAATTCGGGAAGGGAGGGGAAAAAGAGGAAAAAGAGAGGGGCGGGAGCTCCCAGTTCAATCTCAATCTTCCCACTGGGGAGCTGGGAAACGGTGGCCTTTTCTGAGCACTTCAGGTAAATTACTATATATTTCCAGTTGCACCATCGTGATTTGATTTTCTTATGGCCTGGCAATGGACCTGACTGTCCGTACGGAGGACTCCGTAAGATCGGTACTGTCATGTACCGAATGACGGTTCTGGACGGTCATTTACGAAAGTTCGGGAGATGAGATCATAGGTACCGTTCGCAAGGTATTTACCAATACATGCCGGTGTAGCCCAGGAATCCGACAGACTTTGGAGAAAGCGGAGTCTCCGGGGTAGTGGAAATAGAGTCGGAGTACTCCGTACTCCGTCAAGCTATACATAGTAATCTCTTGCTATATATATAGATAGAGCTCTACCTAGGTACTCTGGATTCCGTCCTCCGTCCTCCGTACTCCCCTCAATAGGGGTGTCAAAGAAAAGAAATGTCGGGTGACCGGTGGTGCTTTTCGCTGGAACCACTGTCATTGGTTGACCCGGTACGGTAATCGTCTATGACATCTGTCACGAGACGTCCAGCTGACCTCGAAAAAAAAAGCAGAAAAAAAGAAAAGAAAAAAGAAAAAGAAAAAAGAAAAAGCAGAAGCTTGGGCCAGGCGGTGGTCCAAGCTGCGATTGGACCTGGACCCGGTCCCAGAGAGACTAAGATGGACTACGGACTATTATTCTCTGAGGTCGGCAATATGCTAGCGATCTCGACTCCGTACGATCTCCGTACGATCTCTGATTTTGGTCAACTGGCATTGACCTGAGATGGATTATGGAGGAGGTTCAAGCCTTCCGGAAATCATCAAAAATACAAATCAAAAGCAAATGACACACCGGTAATTAAGAACCAGACCAAGGTATGGGAAAGAGAGCTGATATACCTTGGTCCTTCGTACGGAGTACCTCGAGTCAGAAAGCTGTTCGGCCCGGAAGGCCCCATCTGAGATTCGGAAAAGGGGCCTTGCCATTCCCGTTCCACCTGGTCTTCCATTCTTTCGACCTCGAGATGCCAAATGCCGTCAAACAAGTGCACCGTTGCAGGGGACCCTTGGCATGTGAGTCGAAGCTATCTCAGCCGACGCGCAGGCCGGGATGGACAATCATTGGGATTCCAGCCGTAGTCCCGTCCATGCAGTCTCGTAACAAGCTCGACCGACAGACGAACCCACGACCCGGCATCCAAAGACAGATGTATCAGAAAGAGAGAACCCCAATGGGAAGGGTATCCCCCGAGTTTCTCCTCAATTACGGAATGGAAAAAGAACCCGTCTATCTGATTCTCAAGAGGGGGTGAGGAATGCCAGTTCCTGACACAAGCAAACACCCGACTCAGGTACTAAAAAAGGACCTCCGTTTGGGACTGCGGCCCGGCCGTTCCCTCGACTGAACTTGGCCCCTGCGCAGTCTGGATGCACCTGGCTCAAAAGGTTACCGTTGAGGAGCTACCAAGCTACCTCACTGGCGTAGAGAGCCAGCGCTGCATCGACTTAAGGTCGGCCGTGCATTTGAACGGGGGTCAAGATTATACGGGGTTGCGTATTGAGCAGTATTTACGTATTTACCAAGTCATGACGATACATAGTACATACCTAGGTAGTATCCCCCTAGTACTGGGCAGTAGTACCTCCAGGTATGCAACGTTCTAGGAGTTTCAATCTTCCGATGTTCATGGCATCCATTCTCTCTACATGTAGATCTCTACATGTATTCTGAATCATACCTGCCCATGGAATCATCTCGAGCACCGCATCACCAAACTTGAGCTTCAGCTTCCCCTCATGGCTTGGCGGGTCGACGTCACCAGACATCGAACAGAACTCTGAGCAGGTGACCAGGTGACCAGGTGACCATGGCGTGGGGGGCTGTGGCATCGGAATCGCCACACTTCTGAGCGATGTCATGCGACATAGACCTTGATCCTTTTCCGATCGGCTTGGGAAACAGACTCACGCAGAAAGAAAAAGGGAAAAGGGAAAAAGGGAAAAAGAAAAAGAAATGACAGCGGTCTGACGGTATCAACTCAAAGCAGTAAGAAAAAAGAGGAAATTATATACATCCTCCGTACAGAAGGCACCAATTTAGCCATGACCCATATGTACGATCGGGATTCCGAAGGATCCATCATTCGGAGCTCGGTAAACAATATCATGCCATTTGTGGATTGCTCCGTACCCTCGACGCGATCCATAGACAACATAGGGAACGGAGTACTCACGAATAATCAGACTGCAGAAGGATTATTAGGTATGTACTGGGATTATCCAAGTGGGTCCAATTCGTTCCATACCAAATGTAGCCTTGCAACCCATGAAGCCTTGCAAGCCCAGAGGGGAGGAAACCCGGAGTACATCAGCCAGCCTCGACGCTGTATACAATGCACCACGTACGTACCGGTAGCACTATTGTTTCACGGGCCCGGGGCGAGGTGCCGGATGTGTTCCTGGCAAAGCCCTCGCAACACTACCCCCGGCTAATTAACATGGGATCTTGGAATCTTGATGCTTGTAGGAACGCTGGGGAGAAACAAAGACAGCGAATGTCTATCCCAATACACAGTGTGCACCGTCGGTATGTACGGATCGGAGAGCATGGAAGCAAGGAACGACATACCATTTTCCGCTCTGTGTCAGACACGTGTACTATCAAGCCCTCATAATCACGAACGAATTAGAGAGATATAGGAATATAGTACTCTGTACTCCGTTATAGCCATGGGTTTCACACATAATCTGTCGATTTCTTCTGCTTGTATTGAAATTGCTATCGAGACAACTCTACTATTCATATAGTCCCCTCTTTCTAGCATCTCTACCCCCATCCATTGCACTGAAGTTAGGAATGCAAGCAAAGATGCATGTCATGTTGAGGGCATTTGATTCTTCAAATCGGATCCTGGGAATGTATAACATACACCCACGCTACAACTGATCGACCACGTCCTTGAAGATCCAAATCTACTGCTATGCAATCTTATGCGCAGTGCTCCGTACTCGATACAAGAGCATCCATCGCGTCTATTCGATATTCCATACCTGAACGACCTGCGACATTTCACGATGAAGATCTAGATATCTTGGGAATGGACGGATCCGATCTCCTTGCGCCATCGAGGACATGATCCAAGCAGATGGACATGATGCACCCTTATACCCTGCGCTGTGCTCTATCCGCTTCATGTTCAGCGTACATATGAAAAGTCTTCCCTGTACTGAGTACGGACTCTGTAGAAAATACATGCGAAAAGCAGACGATTCTCGAAAGGTGCCGAAATTAGCCAAGAGATTCTATAGGGAACGAATTTGCCCTGTGGATACGGCTATCCACATTCATTCCCCTTGCAAATATCCATGGATGATTTTTCTAGAGAACACCTTCAGAGCATACCGATTGGGCAGAGACCCTCGGACCCCTCCCAAACTGTATCAGGTAATTTCCCCTAATGGGATCGGGTTGGATTTGTCTAGCGTATCAAACACGGGCCAGCCATTGACCCGAAACGATACAGTCCCTGTCAAATTGGATTTGAAGTCGTGTAGCTAGGGCTCACAACCTCGAGAATTACAGAAAACAAAGTCAAAGAGGAAGGGGAAGATATGGCCTCGGCATATGATGTCACTGAACACTGATCATCAGCGTCCGAACGCCGACTGCTCCGTATCAACCGTGGGATTTGCAGTCGTGAGACCCAGCCACACCCGAGGCAGGGAACAGGGCTGGACTTTGCCAGGGTGGTTTTAGGTAGCGATCGGGCTCAGCACACGGAGTATGGAGTATGGAGTAAGTGGCTGAAAATCCCACATGCCATATTGCGGAGTGGAAGAAGCACAAAGTTTTCCAGGTACATCGATTAATACGAAGTCTGTCAAATTCGATTAACGCACACTAACCTCTGTACCATTTTCGAGTGTGAATTGTGGATGCCCCTAAACACATAAAACCAATAACCCACTTTACCGAACAAAAAACTTCGTCCCAGAATTGAGTGGAGACCCAAAGCTGGACGCTTCCATTATTGCGAGTGTTAGGACATGCATATGAACATGTCCCCAGGACCCGGTGGAGTAAGTCGGTGTGCTCGGTTGATTCGACTGGTTTGTTGTTTCCAGGGTCAGCGCGCATCCCGGCCACCGCTATGGGCACGTACTGCCGGCAATATGAAGGTATTGCTTGCCGCTTTGGTTCGGGTCGGTCATAGGGCTGGTGATAACATGGATGATTTGTCTCTGAGTCGATTCAGGCCCAGAAGGGACTAACGTTCATCATGTTTCATCCAATACGACAGACGATAATCTGTTTGGGGCCCTGAAGCCCTTGTGTGTATGCAATGTAGTGTCTTCATAGCAATCCGAGCCTCGGGCCCCGGCTAAAAAATCAAGTACATATCTCTTTCCAATCTCCAATAGTATAGTAGTATCACAATCAATGAGAAGGCAGAATACAATGGATATGAGGGTTACAACCGGATCAACTTCAATCAAAACGTGTTTTACATTGGCCCGTCTATGATGCGAAAACATAACCAGAGCTATCTGCAGGCGCAGCCATGCTAACCAGACCTCCCAATCTCATAGACCCAAAACATGGCCATGTAAGGAGATGAGCTGGTAAGATAGCAAGGAGATACAAGATCAGACCACAGGCCAAACAGTCAGGGATGCAGCTTCAGGTTGTGATGAGAAGGAAATCAAAGAAACGGAGTGTGAATCTATACAAAAAGGAATTTGGAATCTCCATGGCGCCAAACAACTGCCACCTGCACCAGCAACCCAAATTCAAGAGGATATACCGAGGAAGAGACAACATGGATCATTCCAGACATGGAGAGTGAAGAACTACTAAAACAGGGGGATGAAAAGGGTTATTATCTCGGGGGAGCGCGAGAGGAGAGCTTAGAAGGGAGGAGGGATCATGCTAGCAGGATCGATCTTCTCCTGCTGCTCCATCACGTCCTCACCCGCAAGCTCGAGGGAAACGGCAAGACCGAGCTTGGCCGTTTGCTAAAAGAGAAAAAAACAATCAGTTTTGGAGTTACAGGGTGGCTGGGCTATAAAAAGGTCTGGCTTACCTTGGCCTGGTCGATCTCACCAGCGAAAGAGAGAGAGATGGGCATGGCAATGCGCTTCTCGAGGAGACAGCTGACCTTACCGGTGCTGTCAACCTGGGCGCGGAACGAAGAAGCACGGAAGTCGTACTTGGCACCAATGGCGGTGGTACCGTCACGAGCAGGACCGCCCATCATGAGAGTAGCGGGAGAGGGTTGGAGCTGAAGGTTCATGTCAATACCGGCCTCAACACGCTCAGACAGCTTGCGCCAGTACGTGGCGCTGAAAGTGCCTTGAGCCTGCAGCTGGGCGGTACCAATCCAGTCATCACCCTTGTACTTGGCGGAGTAGGAAAGAGCGGTCTCAGGGCGGGCGGTGATGCCCTGGCGTTGCCAGATAGCCTCAAATCCGAGAGCCAAACCAGGAGTGATGGACTGGAGATAGCTGCCGACGAAGATACCGGTGAGGCTACCATCGAGGCACGAAGGATTGAAGGCCTTAAGGGAAGCCGAGAAATCACGGCCAGTGTAGTCGTTATCGATCTGGATCAAGCCCTGGGTACCTCCATTCATGATCTGAGTATTGGTCTTGGTGACAAGGGCCGTGTTCCAGCGGTAGTTGGCGACGGCGGCAAGCGCACCATCACTACCGTAGTTGCCTTGCAAGAACCACTAATAGGAAGCAAAGGATTAGACATGAGATATTGCAATTTTCGGCACACGCATCGCATGTGATGATTTTCCTTACCTTCGGGCTTCCGTACATGGCGGAGAAAGCATACGGAGGCAGGTTGCCGGTTGAGCCCATAGAGAATGCATGCGACACACGGAACAGAGGGGACATGCCCAGGACCTTGGTAAGATCTGCCCGGAGACCGGAGAACATGAAGTTGGTCAAGAGGACATCTTTCTGCACTTCTCTGGCGAGGTTATCGACAGTGCCAGGGTTGGGCAGGTTGAGCAGTGCCCTTCGGTCGGAGAACGAGGAGTATGCATCGTTGATAGCTGCAGCAGCAGGGTTATCGGTGAGGAAGGTGAGAGATGATAGGTAGTCGGCCATTTTCGTTGAAATCTGATAATCGACAAATAAATTAGGTGTCGTCACGCGTGTTAGTCCGTCTCAGTTGAGACTCGGAGCGAACAGGAAGAATTGAGTATAAAAGGAATTGAGACCAGCCCGAGGATCTGGGACGAACAAACGTCTCAGATAACCTTGATAGAATAGCGAAAAAGGGCTGAATCTGATGCGCTCAGGAGTGTAGGGGAAGCAATTCAAGACTTTCCAAGCTGTGAAAAATGCTAGTCACCTGTCTCGGCGTCTTTGGTTGCTGCCGTTTGCCGGGATGTTACATAAGCCCTCGGGCTTTCCCGGTTTAAGGCGACACCGGGGCATCGGATCTACAACAATTTGGAACATTTGATCTTTCAGGGGATTTCTTTAAGATCATTTGCATGTTCCATCTTCTGATTGCTCTTGAATCGATTTTTTCGTTTGCGGTGCTTTGCATCTTTGCGGCCCTAAAAAGAAGGCATCCAAGAGGTATTGTGTATCCTGTATTGACCGGGATCCACCTGATATCTGGAACTTGATCGATCGCCCATACCGCCTCTTGCTCTCCCTTATTCTTTACTTCACTGTCTTTGCCATCTTTTTAAAGAGACGCGACATACGGAGTACATATCCTTGATTTGTATCGGGGTTGTCTATCGATCATTTGAACAAGTTGAACAGTGAATCTTGTGATAGTTCAAAGTTGCGTCACCTCGGCATCCCACCATGGACACCTTACTGTAAGCTTGCATTTATTTCAACAGCTTCACAGCTTCACAGCATCATCCCATCTCCCATGAAAGGCAAAATTGGCAAGACCAAGAGAACGAGCCATATGCCTGCCTAACGAGTGGAGAAGCTAAGGAGTGAAGCCTGATGATTGGTATTGAACTGACATCATATAGCACTGCTGAGATCGTGGCCAACTCCCCGCAATTCCGTCGCAAATCATCAATCTTTGTTGATGCAATTCATGATTTACCGGAAAAGGCCGATCTAGCGCCGGCTCAACTGTACAGTACCGAATCGGGTCGGCTTTTTCATTCTGGCCGCATCGTGATTATCACTGTCGGCTTGCCTGCCAGAGGTAAAACGTACGCTTCATGAACTCAGTTACGTTTGTTTGGAAAGCTAATCTCTAATTCACGACAGACATATCTCTGTAGCGTTGGCACGATACCTGCGTTGGTATGCTGCGTCCCTGTTGGTTTGCTCATTCTAGAAGTATGCTGATACACTGCTAGGCTTGGTGTTAAAACCAGAATCTTCCATCTGGGCGACTACCGTCGTGCCACAATTCCATTCGGGGAGGATATGCCAGATGATTATTTCTATGTCAACGGTGAGCACGATGTTTTGATCTGCCTAAATATGGCAATACTGATATCTCCGTGCAGCGACTGCCAAGTCCGTTCTTTTACGCCAAAAGATTGTTAGAAAATGTCGGGAAGACATCTACCACTTTCTGAACCATGAAAATGGTCAAATAGCGATCTATGATGCTGTCAACCCGCTAGCATCAGGACGGCGTTCTCTGGCCAAGGAGTTCGCAAAGCATGATATCGAGGTAAATCCAAAGCAAGTACTCTCAATCATTGGTAAAAGGCTAATAACTTCGCTAGACGCTATTCATTGAGTCTTGGTGTGATGACGAACGCATCATTGAAGAGAATGTTCGCAGAGTCAAGATATCGTCTCCTGATGTGAGTCTTATGTTTGAGTGTTTCTCCCGGGTATAGAACCGAGACTCTGACAGCCTAGCCAGTATGTCTCATGGAAGTCAGAAGACGCTGTGAAGCATTACCTGAGCCGCATTTCGTCTCGCATCCCTCAATTCCAGACCATGGAGGAAAAGGACTTGAACTACATCAAGGTTTGTGCAATCGCTTTTATCACAATGCCATAACTCACCGAATACAGATGATAAATGCTGGCGAGAGACTGATTGTCAACAACCGAAGCTTCGGTTACCTTTCCAACCGTATAGTCTTTTATCTTTTAAACCTCCATATCAAATCGAGGCGTACCTACTTTGCTAGGGTAGGTTGTTTCCAGTCTATGCTGTGGTGCTTCAAATAACTTACGAGATATATAGGCTGGAGTCTCGCTGGATGCAGATTCATACAAAGCCGATGCTTCGCTGTCGGAGCAAGGCGAAGACTACGCTAAGAAAATGACAGCACGTCTACTAGCTCACCGAGAAGAAGAGAAGCAAGCAATGATAGAGCGAGGTGAGACTGGCTATGAGTCAAGGCCTCTGAAAGTTTGGACATCTACACGGCGCAGGACAGTGGAAACCGCGAAATATCTCCATGAAAACGGCTATAAAATCCGACAGAGATCCCAGCTGAGCCAACTGCACCCTGGTGTTTGTGAAAAGATGTCAGAGAATCGCATTCGAGCAGAGTTTGGGGACGAGGTTGCCAAGCACGAGCTTGATCCCTACCATCACCGTTATCCCCGCGCCGAGGTGAGTGTTGGGCTGCTTTATTATTGCTGTATGTAGCTGCTAACCCTTGGACTAGTCATACCATGACTTGGCTGTTCGTCTTGAGCCAATCATTCTTGAGCTGGAAAGAGAACAAACCGACCTGCTTATCATTGCACACGAAAGTGTTCTGAGAGTATTGTATGGTTACCTCATGGCCTGCAATGCTGCGGATATTCCGTTCCTCGAATTCCCTCGTGATGAGATTATTGAGGTAAGTTGGAATTTAAAACTGGTTAGTTCTTGTGGCTAATTATTACTACTCAAGATTGTCCCCGAAAGCTATCAGAATGAGGCACAGCGGATCCACATCCCGGATCTTCCTGAGGAGATCATCCCAGCTTCTCCGGAGGATTTGAAGATCCCAGTGCCCCCAAGCGGAGTGGTATCACCCATGCAAGGGCTTGGTAGCCCAGAGGGTCAAACAACTCCACAGAGTGGTTATCGAACACCAAGTGGAATTCGAACACCGCGTGAGCCCGAAAGGATCTCACAACAGCATGTTGAAGATGTGGTTTAGGTCAAATCCCACGCTAATTCGCATTGTCCGGCAACAAACCCCCCGTATTTTGCTCTCGGACTTCGACACCCATAGTACGTACGAAACACGTGTGTTTTTCTGGGTCATATCAATGCAATCCCACCATGGTTAACCGCCATGTAGAGTTGAGACGAAGACAATGTTATCTCCCTGTTCAAGCTCATATGTTTCTTCGCCTTCAAGTTCCCAATCGGCATCATTAATGAGAACGAGGATGCCGGGTCGTCTATGAGAGCTATTAGATCCGTTTGAATGAAATGCAAAAGCTATGATCACATACACATTGTCCTCCATGATGAACATGTCTTTTCTTTGATCCTTCATGAGGTTGTCGACAAGGTATTTGAGCAAGTATGAGATGTTTGGCCTGCTGCCATCCTCTAGCTTAGCAGGCAAAACAACCTTGTGCCTGCGCTCATTTCCGAATAACAATTCTAAGCCACCACTATCGAGATCAATTGTCAGCAAAGATTCGCCAATTGAAGAAAAGGCTTGACGTGCGTAAACTCGACCGTGATAGGAATGGGGAATCCTCCCTGGCCCGCGGTTGAAGATTCAGCCATGGCGTAAGTGTAGACCGGAGCTCGGATATACCAAGCTGTAGGGGTGGTATTCTCAACAACGGAAAAGAGATCACAGTCGAGTCTGTTGAAGATGGAGGGGGGTTAGGCGGAGACCAAACTTCTTATCGATAAGCCCCAATGTTTCCCGCAAAGAAATTGCGGCTTTTCTCCAATTTCATAGCACCGCAAGACAGAAGGCTTTTCGAGCCCTCACAATATTCCTTCATGGTCGGCGTCGCAACAGACTATATTAGTGTGGGGGGTAACCGGCATCCCGGTGCTGCGGATTGGGATGTACACACAGGTGTGCTCGCGTTCGGTGCAGACAACAACGTTGCCCTATGGGATCCTCTAGTAGGTCCATGGAAAACTATTCAAACCTTGACGGAGGAGAGCTGACATTTATCTCAGGACAAGACTAATCAGGGTATCTACGCTCTGCTTGTTGGTCATACCGACAAAGTTAGCGTTGTTCGATTTTACACATGCCCCTCCTCAGGAACAAGATTTATCGTCACCGGTTCCGTTGACCGCACGATAAGGGTCTGGCGGAATGAGAACGCCAACCCACGGAGCTATGTCCTTGCGTCTATCCTCGAAGGCCACACGGGTTCTGTGAATGCGATTGCTGTCGCTAATGGAACGGACATCATTGCATCTGGAGCGGCTGATGGCACGGTTCGGATCTGGAGAATAAACGCACAAGAGGATTCGAAATGCGAGCTCCTCGAAACGATCACGATGACACCACGGTTTTTCCCGCTAACTCTGTCATTGCAGCGGCTTGAAGGTGACTCGGATAAGCCGTCAGTACTAGCTGTGGCAGGTACAACGACTAAGGTTCAGATATACGTCTCCGAGACCTCCATCAGTAAGCCTGAATTCAAGTGCCGCGCTGTGCTTGCAGGACACGAAGCCTGGATCAAGGCACTTTCATTCACACAGGATAAGCAAAGCACCGAAGGCGATATATTGCTAGCGTCTGCAAGTCAAGACAGATACATCCGTCTTTGGCGACTGCGCCGGGGTGAAGCAAGTGTGCCTGCTCCGATAGATGAATCGGATCCTTTGCTCGGAGGCATGGAACCCACTTTGTCGAACAAAGCCCATGAGTTTGAGGCTGCAGGATCAAAATATTCTATTACTTTTGAGGCTCTTCTCTTTGGACATGAGGATTGGATTTATACTACTGCATGGAATCCTGATCCGAAGCGACAACAACTTCTCTCGGCCTCTGCTGATAATACCATCACGATTTGGGAACAAGATCAAGCCTCAGGCGTTTGGATGTCTGCAGAAAGAATGGGAGAGATTAGTGTTCAAAAGGGATCCACTACGGCGACTGGTAGCGCTGGTGGTTTCTGGATTGGGCTTTGGTCCCCAGATGGGAAGCAGGTGGTGAGCCTTGGACGAACAGGTAGTTGGAGAGTCTGGCGACATGATTCCGACTCGGATCTCTGGATACAGAAATTCGGCATTTCGGGCCATGTGCGTTCGGCGAATGGTGTCCAGTGGGAGCCCAGTGGGGGCTATCTTCTTTCTACCAGTTCCGACCAGACTACCAGACTGCACGCAAAGTGGGTGCGGGAAAACACAGGCTCCTGGCATGAGTTTTCTCGCCCTCAAATTCATGGGTATGATTTGAACTGCATTGACACATTGGGTCCCTCGCAATTTGTGACCGGTGCGGAAGAAAAGCTCTTACGGGTGTTCAACGAGCCAAAGCCAATTGCTCAGTTGCTCGAGAGACTGACAGGGTTCAAACAATCAAATGATGAAGAACTCCCAGACACCGCTGAAATCCCAGTGCTGGGTCTGTCAAACAAGGCGCTTGGGGATGAGGCGCCGGTGGAAGAGGACGAGCAGAAAGCCCCAGCAGCACCGCCAACTGCTTCTATCTCGTTAGCTGCTGATCACCCGCCGCTGGAGGATCAATTGTCTCGCTATACATTGTGGCCCGAGCATGAGAAGCTTTATGGTCATGGCTATGAGATTTCAGCAGTAGCAGTGAGCCATGATCGAAAGCTCATTGCCACCGCCTGTAAGGCCAGCTCGATCGACCACGCGGTCATTCGTCTCTATGATACGTCGGATTGGCATGAGGTCAAACCTTCACTCACTGCGCACTCGTTGACAATCACCGATCTTTCATTCTCAAGTGATGATCGCTATCTGCTTAGTGTTGGGCGAGATCGGCAGTGGGCGGTCTTCCAACGGAGCGATACGGACCCAACTACGTTTACAAACCTCACTTTCAACCCCAAGGGTCACTCTCGAATGATCCTGGGTGCAGCCTGGGCTCCGGCTACAGCGGACCATGTCTTTGCCACGGCAGGACGTGACAAATCCGTGAAGATCTGGCAAAAGTCCGAAGACACTTTTGTCTGCAAGACGACCGTGGCCCTGACATCGGCAGTCTCGGCAATTGCCTTCTTGCCTGCAATACATAAAGGCTCACATGTGATTGCTGTTGGCGAGGACACCGGTGTCATTTCTATCCACCGGGTTGCTGTTGATACCCTTGAAGCACAGCACGTTGTTACCATTGACAAAGCGGTCTCTCCCTCGAAGGCAATTACTCAATTGTCGTGGCGACCGGTGTCGGCCGCAGAGGCAGATAGCGCAAACCGGTTCGAATTGGCTGTGGCAAGCGAAGACACGTCCACACGCATATATGCGATCTCGAACATGCTCTCATGATTGATATATACAAAAGAAATCAACAAAACAAAATAGTTATAGCCCCCCCCCTTATGAGTCATGATGGTTGAAAACTCCAAATGTTGAATAAATCTTCCCTGTATAGATGCAGATGCCAATCCGTAAACCCAGTATATATATGCCTTGTGGTTGAACCCAATTGTGTTGAATGGCACATCGAAAGATCTCTGGCATCAGTGCGCGCATGTAAAAATAAAAACAAAAACCAAGTCATATCATATCATATCATATTACTTTCCACCTCGATTTCTCCCTCAGTCGTGTTTTTCCAATCCGTAACCTCCAATGCCTTCGAGGGACTGATAGGTCTTGGCCTGATTACCGCGGCCATTCCGGGGACCTCTTACGTGCATATCCTCCTTAAGCCACTTGAGCACTAGTTCTCCCAAGCGGCTATTCTCCGAAGTCCACTCAGGGACCTGTTCATGGAACGACTCAACACTACCAAACGCCTTGACCTTGCCCAAGTGCATCCGGACTAAATGGGTGGGCCACTGGGCGAGGTTGTCCAGGATATGCGTAGCATAAACGATGGTACAGGGACGAGTCTCCGTCTCCCGCTTGAGGAAAGCCAAGAAGTTGCTCCTGGACAAGAGATCGAGATCAACAGTGATCTCGTCGAGGAGCAGAACCTTCCAGGGTCGCAGCAAGCCCATGGCCAGCTGGACACGACGACGTTCTCCATCGGAGACAGCATGCATGCGCCAGCGCAGATCGATATCAAGGATCTCAACCAGCTCATCCCGGCGCTCTGGGTAGGCATTGCCACCGACGGAGGCGAGCAGTGTTGGCACATCGATGTCTGTACGAACGATGCTATTCAGCACCCACTCCACTCCCAGGTAGGTCACGCCATCAAGGCTGTCCTTGAAAGGGTCTTTGCCGCCAACGGCGATCGTATTGTTGGGAGCAAGACGCTTTCCTGAGAGAAGCCGGAGGAGGGTGGTCTTCCCCGCTCCATTTGCTGTTTGTCCGCATTAGTCTTCGAGATTGACTGAGCGTGAGGATAGGTATGACTCACCGCCAATCAAAAGAGTACGGCTTCCAGCAGGTAAGCTCAAATGTACGTTCTCCAGGCCATTGGAGCCGTCTTGGAACTTGTACGAGAGGTTTTGCACCTCAATGGATGGTAGGATGGAGTTGATATCCGCCATGACGACAGTGGGAACAGAGAGTAAGTACTGGGAGATGATATGAAAGGTAAATGACAAAAGGGAAAGGCGGACAAGCAAGACCGTCGAACTTCTCTAGTCTTATTTGATGCTAGCGCTCATCCATGTACGGAGTAGTAGTATGAAGCCAACACCATCAGCCACCTGGGCAGACCTCCCGTGGCCCCACGCAGATGAGGTAACCGTAGTTGATATACCGCTCTCTTCTCCGCCTTGATCTATATCATATATGTATACTCCGTACTCCGTACATGGAGATGACAATCCATAACATTATGGAAAGGATCGAGTACACAGGAAGAGGTCTGGGGATCGGTGTTTCAATGCAGTAAAGGACATGTATATCCCAGACAGATGCATCAATCCGCAGTCAAGTCAACTCAGCTATGAGGTAGGCGATTGGTTTTCTGCCGGCAGTAACACCCACTTCACGATAACGATAACACCCTTTTTTTTGGTTCTCTTCCTTCGCCGACGTGATAATGAGCATCGCGGTATGCTCTCTGTTCTGCGATCGATCTGGCACAGAAAACAAATCATGAATCCTCTCATCGCCGTGGTCGGTGCTACAGGCACAGGCAAGTCGAAGGTAATGACTCTACCCCGCACTCAGGCCGATTGGACGTAATGACTGATAGCTGTAGACAGCTTGCAGTAGACTTGGCTTCTCGATTCAATGGTGAAATTATCAATGGCGATGCTATGCAGATGTACCGCGGTCTGCCAATCATCACAAACCAGATCCCGACTGATGAGCGAAACGACATCCCCCACCACCTTCTCAGTTGCATCGACCTAGACACCGAGGCTTGGCGTATCGGGCTCTTCAAGCGAGAAGCTTTACGAGTCATTGAAGACATCAGAGCCCGTGGCAAGGTTCCTATTCTTGTCGGGGGAACACATTATTATACCCAAGCGGTGCTGTTCAAAGACCAGCTGGTGGGCGAAGGGGTGGATGACGAAGGCGAGCGGGAACAGCTCACGGAATTCAGCTCAACCTCGAAGAAATGGCCAATTCTGGACTCACCGCCAGAGATTCTTTTGGAGAAACTGCGCGAGGTGGATCCTGTCATGGCTGCACGGTGGCATCCGAGAGATGGACGGAAAATCCGACGGTCTTTGGAGATCTATTTTCAGACAGGACGGCCGGCGTCGGAGATTTATAAAGAACAGTTCTCCCAAAAAAGAAAGGCAATGGATCAGGAGGAGGGACTATTGCGGTTCGAGAACACGTTGGTGTTCTGGGTACATGCCGAAAAGGAAATCCTCAATGCGCGCCTGGATGCCCGTGTTGATGACATGGTCAAGCAGGGCTTGATGACCGAGGCGCACAAAATGTCGGATTACTTGCAGGAAAAGGCTTCGCAGGGGATTGAAGTCGATCAAACGCGGGGTGTCTGGGTGTCTATCGGATTCAAAGAACTGGCCCCGTACTTCAAGGCTCTCCGGGAAGGGGAAGCAAGCGAGAAAGAGATTGAAGACCTCAAGCTCCACTCTCTTGAATTGATTCGGATCGCAACCCGGCAGTACGGAACATCGCAAGTCAAATGGATCCGCAACAAACTCTGGCGCGCACTCACGGAAGCCGGAGAGACCCGTCGTCTTTACCTTCTAGACAGTTCCAATGTCAGCGACTGGAGCAAGAACATCACCAAGCCATCTGAACAGATCGTACAGCAAATGCTACAAAATGAGCCGACTCCGGATCCCAAAACGCTATCTGAATTGGCGGCGACGGAGTTCGGTGCGAAGGAAGCCCAAGCCCAAAAGCGTGTGCAGACAGATCCGATCGGGAAATGCTATACGTGTGACGTCTGTCAGAAAACCATGGCGACCGAGGACCAGTGGCATATCCACCTGAACAGTCATCAACATAAAAGGGGATTGAAGTCTGCGGTTAAGAGGGCACAGCGCGACGAATATTTCCGACAGAAGGCCTTGGAAGCGGAGGGGAGTCAGGTTCCTGGGGCTGAATCTGGGCCCAGCTCATGATTCTTTGCATCGCAAGGCGGAAAATTACATGTAGACACATAGAAATACCCAACCCATGATGTTGTATTCCGCATATTTGCGTGTATAGTAAGCCATTTGATGATTTCATTGCAAGGAAGTTCCAAGGGAATTCAATACCAGGGGTCTAGCATACATGGCATCTTTCACTCATAGTACTGGAGAGGCCATGGCCGATCGCCAGGCCTTGAAAGCAGGGGAAAGAATATCGCCATGGCCTTGTTCCTCGACCTGATATACTTCGATGACCGGAGACTTCTCCTTTTTTCGAATTCTCCATGTCCCATCACGGTTGATGGTTTGTTTGAGCCCTAAAAAGATGCGTCAGTGATGTTATAAACATACAAAAAGAAAAAGAAAACCCACACTCCAGGAATGCACCGGTAAAATTGATGCAAACGTTTCCATCCCAAGAACGTCGGCCGACATTCATCACTTTCCCCGGAATACTGGCAGTCTCCAGCTCCTCCAAGCTATGGCAAATGCCATTCTCGTCACGGAATCCCACGATGATCTTAGGCACACCGAGCAAAAAGGACTGTGCCCAGAATTTGAGCAGTTTTCGTTCATATTTGAGCAAGTCGCGGTCATTGCGAATCTGAGCTGACGTTTTCAACTCAACCCAGTTGATGGGGTCTTCCTTTCGGGATGGCTTACTATCCCAGACTAGAAGCAAGTCAGCATTGTCTCATGAATCCAGGACTATTAGCATGAGAATTCGAGATCACATACTAGCATCAACTTCTCCGCCGAGAACCATGCGGATATTTCCGATGCCCGTGCGCACAACCGAACAATACTGTGCTGCGTTATTGACGATATCGTTCTCACGACCTTCAATCTCTTCACGCGTTGATTCATCCCATGTCTTCCGAAGTACAGCCAGGTTCTCGAATTTGTAGCCTGGGGGGTTCTTAGTTAGCTGGGGTATATATGTGAAGCCGTTAGCACCATACCCCAATACATCATGAGTTCCTGCGGTGCCATCCCAGGTGGAGATCCGCGCTTGCGTTGGTTCTCTTTCTGTTGGTTTTTGTACTCATTGTTCTCCTCGATGAATCTAGCAACATTTAGCCTCTCATATCGTGGGTAGTGAGAGCTGGATATACGCACATGGTGCCCTATGAGAGAATGTCAGACCATCAAAGCTAGATAGTCTCGATGAGATTCATGTCATACCTGGAAACACGTTGCATTCATCTCGAAACTGGAGATAGCCTTGGGGTTAGAAGGATAGCACACGATGTTGGAGAGAACTTAGAGCCACACACCCGTTCATATTATCAAAGGGAGCGGTTAAAATCTGTAAAAAGAAATTGAGCATGTAGTCCAAGGCCAGATAACAGTCCGCGACAAACCTCAATTCAACTTACCTTGGTCATCATCCCTCTCCATGTGACAATGTCCACTTCGCATTTCTTTTCTGTTTCCTTTTCATAGGCAACGAGGGTATCAAGTAAAGCATCCAGATGCTCATCTGGGACATCATTGAGCTTTTGGAACGTGTCATAACCCTTGTTTAGGTCTGCCGGGAGAGCTGGCGTGTAGTAATAGGCCATGGATGAATCTCCCAACGAAAACCGACGCTGGTCATCATAAGAGAAGCATGCAATCTCCTAGCCATAGGTGAGCTATTGATGTTCATTTCTTGACTCATTTCTTGACACAACGCCATGTCTTTGACGTACCCTTGGTCTCCGGATGGAGGTATTTGCGCCGCCGAAGCGGTGCAGGGGCTGGATATTAAACGTAGACCGGTTCATGATGGGCTGATCAGACTCGTGAGCGAGAGACATAGCCCGGTGAAGAAGAAAGATTGCCCTACAATGTCCCTGATATAGTAGATCGTCACGACTTAGTTGAGCCGTATGATCGTTAAGAGACCCGCGTAATGGCGTATTATGGTGTTATCACCGGAAATTCAATAGAACGAAAGCAAAACAGCAGAGATAGCAGAGATAGCAGAGACAGCAGACTCCGCGAGAAATTGAGCTGTACGTAGGTAATGCTGTACAGAGCTGGGCAGTTTGGAGATGACGGAGATGTTCTCTGGGCAAATTGCCGCGTCCCCACCAAATCTCAACCAACTCCCCGCGAACGTTCTGCACTGCTCTGCGTTGTAGAGTCCTCGTGTTTCTATTTCTGTCGTGTTTATTATCAGCGCCTGATCTTTCTTGAATAATGTCATCCCGCATCGACAAAGTCATCGCGCGCCAGCGAGAAAAGTGAGAAAACACCTCTGGCCTGTAAAGACCGTGGACCCCGTTTCACAGAAGATCATATTCTGACTGCGTTGTTGCTTTGTTGACAGAATTGCCGATGGCGCTTATTACGAGGCTCACCAGCAATTGCGTGTCATTGCTGTCCGGTATATCAAGCAGTCCAACTACGATGCTGCAGCGGAGATCCTGGCAGGTGGCGCGAAGGAGCTGTTGAAAGCTGGCTCTCAGCAGGGTGCATCGGCAAGTGGTGGAGACTTGGCCATCATGTTGGTGCTGGAGGTGTACAACAAAGCTGAGTGGGGGATCTCAGGCGATAATGATGATGCGGAGTGTCGCGCTCGCAAGAGTGAGTCTATCAAGCGTCTTGTTCCTACTGGGGTTCATGACTGCGGCTTGCAGTGGTCAACTTCAGTATCTATCGAGGCTGCAATGGCTATCATAAAGCTCTGTTTACTAATTTCTTCATTGTCGTTTTCCAGAGCGCCTGATCGAGCTGCTGCGTGAGTTCCCATCGGACGAGCCTACACGGAAGCGGTACATCCAAGAGATGATTGGGTGGAGTGCAAAGTTCGGATCTTTGGAAAGAGGAGATGCCGATCTACACCATGCTGTTGGTTCAGTATATGCCGAAGGTTGGTCATACGTGAGCGCAATCTTGGATGTATTCTAATCTAGTGCCTCAGATAACGAGCCTTACGACGCCGAGAAACATCTCATCTTAGGAACATCTGAATCAGCCGAGACCCTCGCAAAGCTCGAATATGAGTGGTACACTAGCGATGAGCCACACACCGCAGCGATCTATGCGTCGCGCGCAGTCTTCCCTTACCTTCTCACTGGAAACATCCGCAGTGCGAACAAAGCCTTGCTCATTTTCACCGCGCGGCTTTCGGCAGCCAACCCTCAGCTTGGTGTGCAGGATGTTAGCAGTGCCAGTTCCGATGCCCGAGTGTTCCCCGCCCTTCCTTTGGTGAACTTTATCAGCTTGCTATTGTTGACCATTCAGCGGGGAAGTGCCGATCTTTTCCGGCAGCTCACTGCCCACTATGCAGCACAGATCAAAGCAATCGGTATCTGGGACGATGCTCTGGCTCAGATTGGCGAGCAGTACTTCGCCATCAAGATCCCACGGCAAGGAAACCCCCTGATGGATATGATGAGTGGTATGCTGTTTGGCGGAGGCCAGGGCAAAGCGGGTGGCAGAGCGGCATCGCAAAGGACTGCAAAGAAGGTTGAGGCACCACCTTCAAGCATGGAGCTTGACTAAAGGAGATCGGAGTCCTCTTCGGTGAACAAATCCAACTGATAGTGTAATGAAGACAAGATGCATGCAGCAATTACAACCTAGTTAGAGAACGAGTCCTTCTCAGGTTCGAACATCCAATTGTCGTCGTCCAACGATGCTACCTTTTTGCGTAGGCTCTCGTGCACCAAGCCCAGAATTTCTGCCTCAGATTAGTACATGGTGACAGAGAAGACCTCCAAATACAGACCAACCACACTGTAACTCACCATCAGGTTCATCGTTTGATTGTCTGTTTCGGTGCCGAATCATCATCTCCACAAGAGCCGCCTCGAACTCTGTTCCAAAGATCAGCAGACTGTACTTCACAGAGATAGATAGCGTGATGCCAAAGACCTACTCTCTTTATCACAGCCGGTGATCTCTGAAGAATTCAAGCCCTCCTCGGATGCAAGATCACCTAGCTCCTCTCCATCTTCCCCAATTAGAGCATGCGGCAATGTTGGAATATCCAGTTTGTAGCTGCCATTCTTGTCCCGGACCACGATGTCTTTATTCTCCACTTTGAATGATCGAGCAGGCGGTCCGGAATCCGAAGATGTCGGTTTTAGCCGGTGCGAGGGGCGATTGGAAAGGCCGCTGGTGTTTTGAGGGATGGAGCCATTGGGAGGTCCTACGGAGGCAGGTCGGCGACTGAGGTTTCCGTGGAAGAGGTTGCGGCGAACAGAGGTTGGATTCATTATGATGCTAGTGCGACTGGGCTGTTGACACTTGCTCTTCCCTGTGTTTTTCGGAGGTTCTAAACATGCGGGAAGCTGTGCCAGTTGCAAAGAGCAGTGTGAACTTGTCGAGAACCAAGATGTCCCTGGGCGAGTGTTTCGAGGTTCTGTGCAGTGAAGCCAAAGAGAGTCCACGGACTTGAGGAATTAAGAATAAGTGTGTTGTTGGGGGGGCAAAGGGAGGAAGAATGGTGTGGAATGAAGTAGAGAAGCAGTGATCACAACGACCACCACAACGAGAATAGCAACTACAAAGGCATAGTCCTCAATGTATCCAGATCTGCCAACTTATGAGCTTGTGGCAGTAATTCTGCAAATCAAAAGAATCCGTTAGCAGCTCAATGCTTCCCTGTCTCGCTCCAAGTGCACAGGCCAGCCGATAAGTCCTTATCGCGTTTCTCACGCGTGCTTCTTTCGCGTCTCCTCACTTCACCTTGCTCCCTCGTATACCACCCTTCTCATAATGGCCCAAGCTGAATCTTCTAGTGCTTCTCGAACTGGTGCTAAGGCAAATACTGCCGGCGCTCCGGTAGACTATGAGCTTCCTTGGTGGGTATCGCGTTCTCAAGCATTTCCGGTAGAGCTAACGTTAGGCTTACCATAGGGTTGAGAAATACCGCCCAATCTTCCTCGATGATATTGTCGGCAACACAGAAACAGTGGAACGGTTAAAGATCATTGCTAAAGATGGCAATATGCCCCACGTCATCATCTCCGGCATGCCGGGTATTGGAAAGACTACTTCAGTTCTATGTCTGGCACGGCAAATGTTGGGAGATGCATACAAGGAGGCAGTCTTGGAGCTGAACGCTAGTGATGAAAGAGGTCAGCTCTGATAGGATAATGTGAATGAATAGGGCGACCAGGGCTGATACGGTGGACTAGGTATCGATGTGGTGCGGAATCGGATTAAGGGTTTTGCTCAGAAGAAGGTCACTCTGCCTCAAGGACGCCACAAACTGGTCATCCTCGACGAAGCCGACAGGTTTGTGCTCCTCGATCTTCTCATTTGGTCACTGGACTCACATTTTCCCCCGCAGCATGACTGCCGGTGCTCAACAAGCCCTGCGACGTACTATGGAAATCTATTCGTCTACCACGCGATTCGCCTTTGCGTGTAACCAGTCAAACAAGATTATTGAACCTATCCAATCCCGCTGCGCCATTCTCCGTTATGCCCGGCTGACAGATGCTCAAGTCGTGAAACGCTTGATGCAGATTTGCGAGGCCGAGAAGGTCCAGCACTCAGAGGATGGAATTGCTGCACTTGTGTTCAGTGCAGAGGGTGATATGCGTCAGGCTATCAACAACTTGCAGAGTACTTGGTCAGGTTTCGGTTTTGTCAGCGGAGACAATGTCTTCCGAGTAGTTGACAGCCCGCACCCGGTCAAAGTCCAGGCTATGATCAAGGCTTGCTGGGAAGGCAAGGTGGATGTGGCATTGGAAGGGTTGAACGAGCTATGGTATGTCAAGAGGTGTTTTTGAACTTTAGTCTTGTGGAAAATTTCTCACCAGTTCATGTTTACAGGACCCTGGGTTACTCCTCCCACGACATCATCAGTACTATGTTCCGAGTCACGAAGACCATCCCCACTCTCTCCGAGCATTCCAAACTGGAGTTTATCCGGGAGATTGGATTCACGCATATGCGGATCCTGGATGGTGTGCAGTCACTACTTCAACTCAGTGGATGTGTGGCCAAACTTTGCAGGATTAACATGAAGCCCGACTTGTTCGAACCTCCTAAGGCTTGAGATGAAAAAAGATTATCTTATTGCATATTCCCACGGCGTTTGTCTTTCAAGTGACTCTGGAGGCAGTTATTCTACTAAGCTGCATAATGAGTTATGTCTGGTCATGTTTATCCCAAAAATTAGTTTCAATCAAAGACGGTTTTCGTCTGGCTGTCTGGCTGTCTGCGAGTTGGCACAGCTTCGTATACTGCGCGAATGACTCAATCAAACTTGCCAATATGACTTTTCCAGAGCTCCTCAATGATGGTGGCAGCACCCAGTACCCTTTCCTCATGAAGTTTTTTCCCAATAACCTGCAGATTCACTGGATATCCATCTACCTGGTTCGCATCGTAAAGATTCCAATTCCACTCATCGAGGCTATTCCGGGGGGTATAAGGCTCCGAGGGCAACACATCCAACTCAGCCCTCACCCTATCCACCGGGAACGTGATAGCCGGATAATCAAGCAAATTCCAAATCTTGGTATAGCCAACCCAGCGGACCTTCCGATGAGGCACAGTCGTATGCGGCAAAGTAGGGCTCAACAGAATATCGACAGCTTTACCCGACGAGGACCGCACGGCATTCCATTTGTCCAGATATCTTTTTTGCACCGCAGCTTTCCGCTTGTTCAATTGCCAATACTCATATACCGAGATAGGCTGGCCACGGTTCACCAGTGCTTCAACATGCGGAATGAACGGCTCCCCTGCAGCAGCCACATCTCGACGAATATCCTCGCCCCCGTCAACCGTATAGAACAGATCCATGATCTCAATGCATGCAGCGTGATCAGAAGTATCCCAGGCTATAACCTCGTGGCCATGGCTTCTGAGCACCGCCGAGAGCTCCAGCAGAGCTCGCGCAATAGGTGGGTGGACCTTCACGATGCCGTCATCCAGGATCAAGCCGATGACCATAGGTCGGGTTTGGACTTCTTGGAACGAATGGTCATTCCAGGGGAGAGGAGCGCATCGGGGGTCGACATCCCAGGGCTGACTGTTCGCCATCAGCCGGCTAATGTAGCAGATGGACGAGAGGTCTCGGGCCATGGGCCCAATGGAAGATGGAACATGTTCTTGGCCTTCGGTGGAGACCGGTACTCCCTGATAGGGAAGTCGAGCGCTCTATTTATGGTATGCATGAGTACATGGGAACGCTGGGGTTGCTCCTCCATGGTGTCACTTACACTCGGTTTAAAGCCATACAAGCCCAGTGTGGACTGTGGAATTCTCACGCTTCCACCAATATCAGTGCCAAACCCGATCAAGGATCCATGCAAGGCCAGCAAAGCAGCTTCGCCGCCTGTGGAGCCACCGGGTGAGAAGTCTGGATTGCGAGGGTTGGTTGTGAGTCCCCAAAGAGGATTTTCGGTCTCAGCCCACTGGAAGTCTAGCGTCAATGTCCGTCTCTGATACTGTAGATGTGAAGTTTAAACGAACCATGATACTCTGCGGAAGGTTTGTCTTTGCAATGACTATGGCGCCCATGTTCTTTAAGATCTGCACGAGCGCGGCGTCTTCCTTGGCTGGAGCGAAGCACCTGCCCACATAACCCAAGGTCGTGTCGACGCCTTTGACGTTGAATTGGTCTTTCAGGGTGATAGGAATCCCATGTAGCGGTCCTTTAAGCTTGCCTGTTGCTTTGAAGTCGGCGTCTAGCTTCCTTGCCTGTTCTAGGGCATCTTCAAATAGAACCTCAGTCAAGCTGTTCGTCTAGCCATGTCAAATTTAATCAGTGTGCTGACCAGCGACAGAGACGAAGACATGAGCCACTCACGAGTTGGTGAGCTACTACGGCCCTGTGAAGGAGATTCTCAGTAAATGACTTGTTCGAGTACTCTGTCATAGCGACATACCGTTTGATGTACGCCGTGGTCACTTGTTCCGCTTGAAACTCTCCTTTTTCCAGGCATTGCAGCAATGTGGCGACATTGTCAATATCCGTGATCCTTTGAATCAAAGGATCTCCGAGTCGAGTGCGCTCCTCGACATTGTATACTTGCGGTGGACGTTGAGCAACGTCCGCCAAGTACGGTGCGAGGAATTGGTCTCTGATGGCCCGTTTCCGAGAAACGATTTCTTCCCAGGTCTGCGAGCCCATAGTGTGATTGCATTCTGTCTCCAATTGGGGTTCCAACTGCTCTTTATATCTAGAGCTCGGAGATGTGTCCGACGCTTATCAAGTGGGGATATAGTCATTGGCGTGATCCGGGATTCGCCGTGTTTCCCCGATAATTGGGGTCATTCTGGGGTCATTGGATACATAGCAGTCTCTTTCGTTCTGTTCCCGAAAGGAATCGCACAGTCGAGACAGCAGATATGCAGAGATGCAGAGATGCAGAGGAGACGAGCAGACGAGCAGACGAGAGGAAGAGATGGAACAGAAGGGGGTCCGTGGTCAACCTTGTTCCCAACCTCCATCTTGTGTCTGCAGTGGCCGTCAGATGTCCTCAAATAGCTGCGAATATCGTCTGGGAGACCTCAACAGAGACAGCTGGGATATAATCCAGTACAGAGACTCCAACTGCTGCCACTGGGGCCATCCGCACGCAGCACAAGCTGTAGGCCATCTGTGCAGGGGGAGAAAAAGAAATTACGCCTTTCAGGCTGTACGGTTTACTATTTCATCCTTGTAGATCACGAAAACATTATAGAATATGGCAAGCAAGCTTGATAGCCTCAACCACTCGATCACCGGGCCAGTCGAGTCATTCCACTCTTGATGCGATTTAAGCGATGTTGGCAACTCTCTGGTTAGCGTGAAGTTCTTGTGCAGCAAAAGAAGAGTGTGAAACCGGTGTTTCCATGAAGGTATTCTATAGACACGTCACTCCAACTGTGAAGCCATTCAGAGGGACTTTCCCCGGGGTAAATTATCTGCAGATTCTCTGCGACCTAGCAGTCTCGAGAGACTGCAGATGGTATGAACATTATGTATAATACACGCCACAGATTGGTAGCGCATGAGAACTCAGTAAGAAAACATGGTAGACTCAGACCCGACACGGTATCGTGAATCCAAGAAGATGAAGCAAAATACACTCGCCTATAGCCATGGTCATCATATCATTGCCCACAAAAAAAAGGCCTTCCGTTGCAAGTGCGGGTACACATCACAGATACAAACACTGGAGATGGCTTTCATCCCTGCACCACATAACCCCAGCTATATATGCATGAATATCAAAATCATTAAAGAAACAACAGAGCAAAGAGAGCTATCGGGAACCGCGCTTCCAGAATTTCCAGCTGGGAAGGTCAATTCGACCGTCTCGCTGGTAGATACGCCAGTAGTAGACCGGTACACCGGTGATGATGAACGCAACGACAATGAGGGTCTGTAGGGGCTCGGAGATGACGGCTCGGCTGAGAAGGAACAAGCTAACACAGCAGAATATGATGGGGGTGGTGATCCAAGTGCGGTAGGGTCGCTCCAGCTGGGGTTCACGGATGCGGAGGACGATGAGTCCGAGCACGGTGAGGAAGTAGAAGGTGTATCCTGCTACGCCGTAGAAAGTGACCAGAGTGCCAAATTCACCAACGATTATGTAGATCGCTGTCAGGATGCCGTTAAAGGCCATGGCGTAAATGGGCGTGAAGCCGAGTCTAGATTCATCGCCTAAGAGGCGGGAGAGGGACTTGCGGGCCCAAGAACGGCGTTGCAATCGGCTGCCTGCTGGAGGGCCTTGCGAAGGAGAGGCATGGAGCCCGATGCGACCAAAAATGGAGGGAAGATAGCCTTCTTTGCCAGCTGCGTAGACCAGCCGGCCGCTTGTAAAGGTGGTTGCGTTGAGGGCGCCGAAGCAACTGGCAGAAACGACTAGAGCTAGAATCAGGGCTCCCACGGCGCCGAATACCTTTGCGCCGAATTGCACGGCAACAGTGTTACTTGCCTCGATGGTAGCGTGGGGCAGGACTAGGAAATATGAGACATTGGCGAGAAGATAGGACAGGATGACCAGTGGCATCGCTGTGTGAATTACGCGTGGCAGATCCCGGTTGGGGTTCTTAAATTCGCCCGTCACGTAGTTGGTCTGCAACGTGTGAGTAAAAGTTCTCCAAGAAACCGATGTTCAACTTACATTGTCCCAGCCGTCAAATGCCCAGAGACCTGCATACAGGGCCACTGCAAAATCAGAGATCTCAGTGTTGGTTCCCTCGAACCATCCTGTCGTCTTCCATTCTTCATTTGCGTTTCCTCCGGCCGAAAATCCGGTCACGGCGACGATAATGCCTATAATAGTGACTCCCAGCAGGGCAATGAACTTGAAGAACAGGAAGAAATCTCCAATCCGGGTGGCGAACTTGGTGGATATGCAGTTGAGCAGAGTCACTGTCAACAGCCCCCCAAATGCAACACCCTTGCTGATCCAAGGATTCAAATCACCCACATCTGCGCCCACAAATGCGCGAACGACATATTCGCCGAAGATAAGAGAGATAATCGCTGCAGAGCCAGGCTTCAGTACTAGCACAGCACACCATGCGAAAAGGAAGCCCGTCAGCTCTCCAAAGATCTTGGACAGATAGATCTGTGAGCCACCATTCAGCGGAATTGCACCTCCCAGCTCTGCATAGCTCGCAGCCCCTGTCCAGGCGAGTAGACCAGCCACCGCCCAAACGATGAGCGAGGCGCCCGGCGACCCTGCGTTGGCATTGACCTGACTTGGCGACGAGAAGATACCAGATCCAATAATCAGCCCAACAATGAGTGATAGCCCATTGAGATAAGTCAACGTCTTATTCCGCTCCAGCGATCCATCTGTAAACCCCGATCGCTCTGCCGACGGGGTGCCTAGGGGCGCGTAACCACCCTGGGTCTGCGATAGTGGGAAAAGAGTACCCCCGAAGTCGAAAGCCGAGGAGATGGAATATGAGCTGTGAGCTCTGTGGCGGCCTGTTTCCAGCTCCCCACCTAGATGCGACTCCGCAAGCGGGTCTTCGTCCTCGAGGGAGAGCTTGCGGGAGGAGGAGATGCCGTCGGGGGAGGAGGAGCGTGAGGACCCGTTGACGGAAACGGGGGACGAGGAGGCGAGAGAGGCGAGTTCTAGTGAATCTCGAGGCGCAGCGAGACTGCCATTCCTATTGCCCTGGAAATATGTATTCGACATATTCTATGTCTAGCGTGTTGGATCAATTGTCCGGGCGGTGATGGCAAAATGTATATCGTCAGGAGTAGCCAAGGGGAGTCTCCATCGCCCAAAAAGAAAGTCGAAAAGGTCGGGGGTTGTAAAAGAGAGAAAGTCCCCCGAGCGAGTTGAATGAGGTGAAGTAAAGAAGTGGCCAAGGGGTGTATTTTATGGAGTGTCGATCACCCAATCGGGTCCCTTGGCCTCGACCTTTGAATCTTCCCCCGCGATGTCTTTCTTTTTTTACAATTGCGCTTCCAGATGAACCACTTTTCCTCTTTATGCTGTAGAAGCAGCCAGGGTCTCAGAGCTGCGGCTCGCCCTATGCGCTATGCTTCAACCTCGACCTCATCGCCCAAATCCCCCCTTCCAACTCGCGCCGCTGGCTGGGCATCGTCGTCGTGGGTGCCACAGCAGCAGGCGCAGGCGCCTACATCCGGTCTCAAAATACAACTTCTGCGACCTTGAACCCGGAAAAATTCACCAAATACAGCCTTGTCTCGCGCGAACCTGTGTCAGCAACCAGTAGCCTTTTCACACTCCGACCGCGCAAGCCCAGCGACAGCAACTACGACGTCTACGAGGAAGCTTGGCAGACTGGAGTATGGAGTGTGATGTTTAAGCAGCCACAATTACAGATCGGACGAGATTACACTCCACTGCCCACGACGGCTGCGACGATGCTAAGTGTCGATGACGAGAATGAAGGCTGCTTGCGGTTCTTCATTCGGAAGGATCCTTTTGGAGAGGTCTCGCGGTATCTGCATACCATCGAAGTCGGAGCTGATGTCGAGATGCGCGGTCCTAAAATTGAATGCACGATTCCAAAGGAAACAAATAATATCCTCTTTATTGCTGGTGGAACGGGGATTGCGCCAGCTCTGCAGGCCGCATATTCGCTTTTGAATCGCACGACCACCGAGCGTCGGCCGACGATCCATATTTTGTGGGCGAATCGATTAAAGGATGACTGCGCTGGTGGTCACAGTGACTCGTTGAAGCCGCAGCCACGCCGAGGCTGGTTCTCTGGGTGGTTTGGCTCGTCCAAGAGCCAGGGAACCATCGCTTCCGATCCCACCGCCGTTATGAAAAAGGAAGATGTATCCATCATCGTGCGAGAGCTAGAGGCGTTCAAGTCTCAATACCCCGGGCAGGTCACCGTGGATTACTACCTGGACGAGGAAAATACATTCATTGGAAAAGAGGCTATCCGAAGTGCCATTGAGCCAATCTCAGCAAACGACGCTCGCAAGAGTAACTTAATTTTGGTCTCCGGTCCTGAAGGGTTCATCAGCTATATGGCTGGGCCCAAGCTGTGGGCGCAAGGACAGGAGCTTCAGGGCCCCCTAAATGGAGTGATCAAGGAACTTGAGCTCAAAGAATGGGGTGTGTGGAAGCTTTGAGGACTTTCTCCGGAGCCATTTCTAAGACCTCTTCTTGGGCATTCTTCGTGAGCCACCTTTTGTACCAACATCGAAATCTTTCTTTGTCATTAAAGCATATAGCATGGATATACTGGGAGTTATGTTGAATAAACAGTCGCAACTGTCCTTGACACATTCAAGTGTCTTATTTCGTTACCCATCACACGTTCCTGGCCCAAAGCCCCAGGTTGAATTCGCTCAAATACCGATATTATCTTCAGACGCAATCTACAGTCCAGTAGCAAAGTCCTCGAGGTATTTCACCAGTTTCTGTACATTCTCCAGGGGGACCGCATTGTAGTTGCTGGCACGCATACCGCCTACACTGCGGTGACCCTTAAGGCCCTGGAGGAGACGCTTTTCAGCACCGGCGATGAACGCCTTCTCCTTGGCGTCATCACCACCGCTCACGCGGAAGCAGATGTTCATGCGGCTGCGAACGCTGGCGTCAGGGACAACCTGGTACACTTGCGGGTACTTGTCCAAAGCGCCGTAGATAAGCTGCGCCTTATTGTTGGCGACCTCCTCTTGACCGTTAACCTTTTGGGCGCCAAACTCAGTCATTAGGTCGGCCATGACCTGACCAGCAATCCAAAGATTGAAGATGGGGAGGGTGTTGTAGAGGGAGTTGTTCTTTGCGATGATTGCGTAGTCGAGCACAATTGGGCCAGGGAGACCACCAATGTTCAATCGGTGGAGCAGAGCAGGGGGAGGGGTTGCAGTCTGAGGAGGGAGGAGATCCTTGCGAACGATGGCAATGGTGATACCGGTAACACCGATGTTCTTCTGTGCGCCGCCCTGTATATACTGTTAGTTATACCACTTCCATGATGCAGGGAACGTCAGGCTACTTACGAAGATCACAGCGTATTTGCTGACATCAACCTTCCGGCTAATGAAGTTGGAGCTCATGTCGGCCACAACAAGGCGCTCATCCTCGGCGTCCTGACCCTGTGCCTCCAATGACTTGGGGAATTGCTGGAACTCGACACCATCGACGGTTTCGTTATCACAAAAGTAGACAAATGCAGAGCCCTTGCCGCCCTCCTTCTTGGTAGGAGTCAACGACCAGGTATCCTCCCCGGGAATCTTTCCAAACTTTCCACCGTTTGACTTGCGAGCATCAAGCGCGATGTTCACATATTTCGAGCCGATCAGTCTGCTCGCTTCCTGGGAAGCCTTGAGCGACCAAGATCCAGTCACGAGGTAATCCATTTTCAGCTCCTCGTCGACTTCCTTCTGAAGTCTCTGGAAGACCAATGCATCAATCTGGGCCTGTTCTGCACCGGGCTGGGCCTTCTTCACGTCGGCCTCGGCTCGGCGGCGGCGGCGCTCGATCCAAACGGGGACCAGGTTCTGCACGACAGCGCTGAACTCGCCACTGCCACCGGCCTGCATGAACAGGATTTCATAGTTGTCAGGGATATCGAGGAGGGCAGAGAGATTGGCTTTGGCATCGTCGAGGATCTTGTTGGCGGTGGGGGAGCGGTGCGAGATCTCGCCGAGTCCTAGTCCGGCATCGTTGAAGTTGACGAATGCCTTTCCACCGGCCTCAACAACTGAGGTCGGGAGGGGAGCTGGACCAGCTCCAAAGTAAGAAACTTCTTGCCGGGAAGGCATAATGAGATTTAGGATTTTGAGGATTGAGGTAGGAAGAAGAGTGCAGAAGCGGGAGTGAAAAACCTCAAACTGTGGACCGCGGTGGATCAACGTGAGAAAAGTAAAGAGATAGATCTCCTTTTTTCCCCCTCTTCTCTTTCTTTTGTATGGTCAGCAGGATTTCTCGATTCTTTAAGGTGCCTAATATCTTCACCGGATCTACATGGGAGTATCCAATTGACAGCTTTATAGGCGCATCTCTGGCAATGGCGGGGTATGAGTCAATTACGATGTATGGGCCATCGAGTTGAGTCACTCGGAGATCGAAGCAATTGGATTTCCAAGATTACGCTTTCGATAAAAACAGTGTCGAGGGTGATTCGACCCTTACCAAGGCAGATACTTTCATTGTATAAGCTTGGAACTATGGCGCCTGGTTTATCTCAGATCCAACGCTGAGATAGCGGGGTTGGAACCAGTACTAGATGATATACATATCTGTACGAGGTATGTAGAAGTGGTTGAGAGAAGATCATCCCTGTCGGCTAGCTACATAGCAGCTAGATCTTTGGCTTATCGACCTGAGCTCTCCTTCGCATGATCGACTCTGTTCTCGTGCCATCGTTGCAAAGAGTCGACATTCGCGAGTTGCCCATGTTGGGCGATATCGGAGGTCACGTTATACGATGGCATGGGTTTGCAGTGTTTGTCTCTCACTTCTCCACGTGGTATCAGTGGTATCATGTGATATTCTCCGTACCAGCACCGATGTGTTGATGTTTGTTTTTGCCTTCCCACAAGGATATGCACTGGACCCCGTAAACCACCTGTCTAGAAACCGGCTTAGCTTCATGGCTTGAGGCATCAATGGCCTTATCCCGTCACTGCTAGTTAGGGTGCAGGAAACAAATCCACCTCGACTAAATAAGTATAGAGGCAGAGAATTGGAACTTGGTGGACGGGCAATCAAAGATATATAGCTTTAATAGCAATGAACTGATATCTTAAATCACCGATTGAAAAGTCTTCAGAGGCAGGGCCATGTATAGCAGGGATCAAAGGCAGGACACAGGGAATACTGGAGGGACAATGGCGGATGGCAGCTATATAGACTATAGTCTCCATGTATACATGCATTTACACCTGTATGTATATATACACAGATATACTACATCTACTACATATATATAGAGCGTGTGTGTCAGGGCTACATCAAAGCACTGGGGAGAATGGCTACGACAGACTTCCTAAAAGAGAAGGCACGACCCTGTATAGATCGTTGAGATGACCAAAGCCAAGTCGATGTTTATAAACTCTCCCTACCACACGCTGATCTCCATTTGTTTACCATCTCCAATCTTCTTCATTGCTCTTCGTCCATCATCGACCGTCATTCACGGTCATTCACGGTCTTTCCTCATCTATCCCTCCGTCTCAGCTTAACATGTCTCAACCGGCTTATCATTCTGACAACCCTCTGGGTCTCCCCACCTACGAATGTTGGTTCTGCCCACTTGTCTGCGCGGGGTTTTCAGGCCTTCTCTTCCATCTCGAGGAGGGTCGTTGCGTTAAACGGGATCGCATCCGTACTCTTGCCTTTGAGTGTCCCGAGTATGGATTTTACGGCAACCGGCTGACCGATGAGAACCCTTTCTTCTGCTGGGGCTGTGAGTCTGTATTTCCGCAGATCTCTTACCTCTATCACCACGCGGAGCACAACCCTGCCTGCTCGTATCTTCTCAACGACACCGAATGCCTTGGTGTTCTCCGTGCTTTCTACATCGATTACTACGACTGCCCTGGCATGGACTTTAGTCACCACTAGGGTGTTTGCTAACACCGAGACCAGCCTGCCATTGATAATGCGGTGGGGTGCTGGGGGTGCTTGAGTGGATAGATCTCTGAGAAGATTAGCCGGCTCAGTGTGTTAGGAGAGGAGATGGGTTGATCACGGATGATTCGTTTGTTTTCGCAGCGAAATGGGTGGCAATGAAGTGAGGCATTGTGGCTTGTTCTTGTTCTTGTTCCTGAGTTCGCAGATGAGATGTAGTATGCGAAGGAATAGCTTCCAATTTTCAATTAGTATGAATCTCTATTTCTTTTTTAAAGCAATGGCTGTCTCCCTTGCGTTTTTTCTCTTCTGAGGTTGCGGGATATTCTCAATGGGAAATCCTATTTTTGCAAAGATCAGCCAAAGAACAACTGGACATGAAAGAAATCCCCAAACAACAGGGTTGGACAATGGTTCGGGACGTATAACAGGAAACACATGGACTGACAGGGATGAGGCTATTCATAGCACAGCCTGCACCACCAGCCATCGGTGGTTATTCTTACCTCGACCATCCATGATGTAGTTCTCTCTGAGTCTCTACCAGTCTCTATGAGGCTCTGGTTATGTCTCTATGTCTAGGGAGGGCCATTGAGGGTTGGTCTATTGGTTGAATTCCCTCTTGTTCATTCTCCGAGATAGGGTCTCATTTCGATTCTGTCCAAGGCTGCAAGGTACTGGTCAGCCCCGGTGACAGGATGAAAGGATCATGGAAGTTCTGCAGAAGCACAACATGGGGTTCTTATTTTGTTTCCGATCTCTTACTTTGCGATTGTTCTGTTCTCTTTGGATTTACAATCCTTCTAGAAGGGATCGTCATTCCATGCATCTCGCTATTCTTAGATCTGACATGAGAGCATGGAGAACAATCCCCTGGTCCAATAACAAACCCAATCCAGATTCTAATAGGCATTCACAGAGGACTGTAGAGAACAGAACCCGATCTAAATGTAGAGTATTGGATCGATCGCCGTGTCCCCAAGAAGCATGTTTCAACCTCAAACTTGCCCCGGTCTCTCTGCGCCGGGGTACAGCTGGAATTTGCCCTGGCTGCATTGGAGATCCCCATGACACCGTAGCATCTGAGACAAGAATAGCCTGGGAATCTTCCAAGGTCATCATTTAGGGCCGGGGTTTCGGTATCGGTACATCTGGCCGCACTGAAACAGACACAAAGTCAAGTCGCCAACGTACTTCCCCGGACACCGTATCCGGACACTGACTCAGATCCTGTTTGACAGTCTTGTCGTCTTTGACAGCAATGGGGCAGCTGTGGCTAATTTCAGATTGCTTTGTTTCGGAAATGAGCCCAGGGAACTCATTCCTGGGATGAATGGGGTTCCAGCGACCAAGGCAGACAATTTTGGGGCGCCTTGTTGGGTATAAATATCGATGGATCGTGTGGAATGATTTCTTCTATGTGCATACACTATTACTCTATTGAACTGCTATTCATACATCTGCATTGGCATATTGCAATCATCCTGCCGACACATCACCTTCGGGCTACCATTTCAAACCATGACAGTTCCTTCTATGTCATTCATCATGATGTCTTCTGCAATGGGTCGAGGAGGATATAATGCCCCCGCCAATCGCCCCTGCCCACAGCTTCTAGCGCTTGCGAATTAGGGTGCCCTGGATGTGCATCACGGGCAACGCACGCCCAGCAATCAATTCGATCTCAATTGCAATCCGCAGCCAGTTGATATCACAACTGCCGCCGAGGGAGAATCAAACACCGTGGCGAACCAACGTCGCTGTCGTCAAACTCATGTTTAATCGGATACTTCACTTGCCGACACAGAACCTGCAACAGTCAGCTCGCCATTCTGACAGGAAACACAACACCGAGATGCTCGAATTTGTACTCACTTCTCAAAAACAACTCCCAATACATCCTCGACATCTCCACTCTCGCCTTTTCCTGTGATCTTGGCCAACATATCTGCCGCAAAACGCAGGTGTTCTGCAGCAGTGACAATATCAACTTCGGTTTCAGCAAGAGCATCAAGAGGACCGAGTGCTTTCTCGCGCGAGGAGTCATCGGGGGATTCAGCGGAAGAGGTTTGGGACAGGAAATCATCTAGATGATCGAGACATCTTTGTAGATTAGAGCTTTGACGATGCGTGACACCTAGAGAATCTTCCCAATACGAAAGATCATATTGACCAGTCCCATCTCCCTCCACGCCCAGAGGTGAGGCAATTTGCTCGAAGATCATAATCAACCCACGTAGAAAGGCTTGTAGATTACCCGGGTCTGTCGTAGAGTTAGGAGATGATGCTCCGCGCTGGGCTTCCTCGCAGGAGATGGCGAATACGCGGTCTGCCGAAACAGAGGGGAAGATGCCATGGATCGTATCAGATAACGACTGCGGTACACCATTTTCCAGGGCAGTGTGTAGCTTGTCACATTTGTTGATTGCCACAACAAGGCATTTGCCTGCCTCCACGCAGTCATTGACGGCATCAAGAACCTCCGGCTCAACGAACAGCCCGACGCCAGTGGCAGTGGCTTCCAGTGAAACAACCACAATCACAACATCCGATTCCAAAGCCCTCTCTCTAGCCCGACGAATACCTTCTTTCTCAACAGCCCCAATAACAACCTCCTCCCCTCCAGAGCTTCTTTCAGCCCGAATCCCCGCCATGTCCCCAAGCTTACAATACCACCCCCCAAGGTCGACACCAACATCAACAATATCTCGCGTAGTCCCCTGCTCAGTACTCACGATAGCCGCCTCCTTCCCAACAACCCGATTAAGCAACGAACTCTTCCCCGCATTTGGCGCCCCGAGCAGCGCAACCCGAATTCCATTCCTCAGCAACTCGCCACGCGACGCATTAGCAATATGAAACCCAATCTGCACACCTAATGTGCGGACCTGGCCCGCAACAGAGGAGACAAGCTCCTCAGTCGACTCATCGAAATGCTGGTCTTCGGAGAAATCAATCAGCGCCTCCAGCTCGCCGCGCGCATACAGCAGGCCCTGCCGCCAGGCCTCGTAACGCTTCAGCAAGGCGTCGCTTGATCCGCGCACTGCTAGTCGCCGCTGCTGCTCGGTGTCTGCGGAGAGTGTGTCGCCCAGCGCTTCAATCTGCGGGAGGCTGAGGCGGTCGTTCATGAATGCGCGTCGCGTGAACTCGCCTGGTTCGGCGTACCGGACGGCTTGCGCGGTTGTGTTTGTTTGTGCGATGGCTGAGAGCACGGCTTTTGTTATTGCGGGCCCCCCGTGGATGTGGAGTTCGAGGATATCTTCGCCTGTTGCGGTTCGGGGAGCGGGGAAGTAGAGGACTAGGGCGCCGGCGTCGAGGATTGTGTTTGCGGTGGGGGGTTGGGTGGGGTCGTAAAGAGTGCGGAGAGCTGCATAGCGTGGTTTTGGGAGCAGCGTGTTGGGGCAGAGGCTTTGGTATATCTAGCAAGAGTTTGTTGGCTTGGTGTTCTATGGAATGGAGGTTGTTTTGCGGGCAAGACATACCGAGGCACACGCTGGACCAGATATACGCACGACTGCAATTGCTGCTCGCCCGGTTGCAGTCGAGAGTGCATATATTGTGGAGTCTCCATCTAGCATGAATTTAGCAGGGCGAGTTGCTGAGAAAGCTCGCGTTTGTCCAGAAGTGCTCCGAAGAACTGGCGATTTGGAGAGAAAGCCATGACGTCGAATATAGGATTGGTTTGATATCGCTCGCCATGGTTGACTCGCGGATGGGCTGAAGGGGAAAGCCCAACGCAATGATTGACGAGTTACTCGCATGCGCGAAAATCAGACCAATGAAATATTGGTAGATGTCGAGAGACTTCAAATGTCGGCCCAATGTTGATGCGACAAAACACGTGATTGATAACTATTCACATCCAATGGACCGGTTTGGCAGGCCACTTGGAGGTTTGAGAACATATGTTATATATAACTACGAGCGCATTCGAAGTCATCGTCTTCTTCCCGGATTTCAGGTTCATTTTGGCCTACAACCTGGATACGCCGAGAAGGGCAGACTGTGTGCCAAGTGATGGACGTCAGGAATGATAACTATAGCATTTTTTTAGTTGTCGAAACACATATCCATGGATTATTGGATGTCGCTTAGCGAGGTCAACAGAAACACAGATCAATTCTAGCTGCAAATGTTCGAGTCTTGATCGTAAGCAATACAAAGAAGCAACAGTCCATCTAAGGCAGCTCTAGTCAGGAACGCAGCAGATACAATTTTCATCGCGCCTGCGCTCCGAAACAAAGATTAAGATTAAAAGAGACAATGAATGGGAGAACATTGAACGTGAGGCTCAGGATGCGATTCGATGGTCCTCCAATCATGGCAGCATTTCCATGGTAGGCAGCGTTCAATGAAGAAAGGGAAATAAGAAATTATGTACAAGGAGAGAGAGGGAGAGAGAGAGATAAAGACAAGGGTGTCGGTGGCAGATGGGTATGCGAGGCTGACAAAAAGAATTGGGATAAAGATTGCACATGAATGAATACTGTTAAGAGGAAAAGAAGAAACAAAGAAATGGTATCATCACACCATGCTCGGCTCGTCAAATCAAGGAGGGCGGCTCAAAGAAGGGAAGTGTAGGTAGGGAATGGGTATTATACAATCGAGAGCGGTTGTAGTAAGGAATAGTGGTGATGGCAAGGGAAACCACATGGGGTTGAAACCAATGTGCCATCAATAAGAATCAATCAAAACATTAAATTAAATCGGTTGTGGGTGATGGACTCAATCCGATAAATCAGTTGGTTTGCGAGGAGGGGAACCCTCAATTGGGGGATCCTGCGATAATGACTGGTCTTGCTCCGACACGACAATTGAAGGCGGAGGTTGGGAGTCGTCAGGTGGGCTAGGGAGTTGTTGGTCGTCTGCGAAAACCGAGTCTGTCTGGGAAGGAGAAGCGGGCTCCTGAACCGTAGCAAGGCCACTGGAGCTATCTGCGCCATCTTTGCTCCCGCTCGTCGCGGGATTGCGGCGTCTCATGCGGCGATTGCGACGCTCTTCATCTGCAGTTTCTCTTCTCCGTCTCTGACGCTCGCCGCTGCCTGCATCGGAATTACTCCTTAGACCGAGAAGTAGACTGGCGGCACGATCAGCAACGTCTTCGCCTTCAGAGACTTGACCTTCCTGCTTGTCCCCTTCCTTTTCGGGAATTGGAGGGCTGAGAAGGCCGGTCTCGTTATTGGCATCGCCGCCCGTTGGATTTTCGGCTCCAGCTTCGCCTTCTTCCGCCTCGCCCGAATCGGGCGGCGGCTTCGAGCCTGAAGCCACGCGGACGTTATGCCGCTCCTTCAGACGAGCACGACGGCGGCGATCTCTTTGGTCCTTGGCTTGGGGAGCTGCAGCACGCAGCTTCTCAAGCAACGAGTCCATTGCACCACTTGTAGCAGGCGAGTGTGCTGCATCTGCGGTGGGAGTATTGTTGGCGAGATTGACGTTGATTCGCTTGCGGGCGAGCGATGCTTCCGTGCGCTTTCTCGATTCCTCTAGAGCTGTGTTCTTCTCTCGAGATTTCTTCCATTCAACCAAGAATGCGCTCAGCTTAGCGAAGAAGTCTCGTCTAGCATTCTCATCTGCATTATCTTCACCGTAGAAGACCATGATATCGTCATAAGCCTTCACCATCTCGTCCAGGTAGAGCTGTAGCTGCTCGGCCTTCCGTCTGGCATCCTTCATGGATCGCTGGACGATTTGGCTGACACGATCCTGAGGGTGGAACCTCTTAGGGTCACTCAGGTTACCAGCATCCAAGCTCGCCTGTACATTCTTAATGTTGCCAATGTACTTACTGGCGTCAGTGCGAAGCTGATCCACATTAACCTTTTGTAGGCCAATGACACCACTGATCTCCTCGAGGAAGCCCTCCCATTCAGGATATTGATTACGCACGATACGTTCGACCAAATCGGCGAAAGTGGTCTCGTTCTTGTCATCTTTCACCATACCCAGGCGGGCGAGGGAGCTGAGCTTGAATCCCTGGGCTTGCTTGTTGGCGTCATTCATGAAATTTCCAATATCGAGAATCAGACCAAGCACGTTCATCAATGATACAGAGTCCCGCAAGGACTCGCTGACTCGTGCAACTTCTTGCAGTTTTGCGGAGATGTGCTCATACTCTGGCTCGTAGGAGCGGGTCAATGCAAGCGCCCTGTTCCTTGCTTTCCAGTAGTGGTGTAGCTCAAAGGCAGTGTATAGGTAAATCTGGTCTTCGCGAGTGATCTCAGACGGATCCTGCTCACGTTCGGAACTAGTGGCACCAGGCCCCGTCCAATCCATGCTATATGGTGCCATAAGTTTGGCAACATTCTCTGGTATATTGCACATCTCGTCTCTTTGCAAGAAATCCATGACCACCACGTTATCTAGGATTTCTTTGTCGCACTGGATGATCATGCGAGTCACCTCTTCGGCGGGGTATTGGGAGAATTTGGACAGAGCAATCTGGAAGTTCTTGGAGAGATCATTTGAGATGATTTGTTTCTTGGCCGTGCGCTGTTTTGCGGTAGTGTTGGCTCCAAAGATCTTCGTTTCCTTGGCCATGAATAGTCGCTCAACCTCGTCCAATACACCCTTCTTGGCAAGATCGGTGTATTTTTCTTCCTTCTGCTCTGCAGTGGGTGCGTGACCAGCCCAGACAGTCACCTGAGGGGTGTCAACCTTGTCCCAATGCAGGGCCTTAAGCTTCTTCTTAGGCCTGATGGATGGCATATGGATTGTAGATGGCGAGACATCCCCAACCATGTAAGCTGGTCTCCAGCCAGAGCCCAAGGAAGCGTTGGGCGGCGGAGGCGGAGGGATCATAAGTCCCTTGGCTCCAGGAATAGGAGGAGGAGGGGGAGGAGCGATTCCACGACCACCTGGAGGTGGCGGTGGAGGCAGTCCGACCTTCCCACCAGGGGGCGGGGGCGGGGGTGGCAGTCCAGGAACACCCTTGGCACCACCTGGTGGAGGCGGCGGTGGAAGAGCCATTCCTCCAGGTGGTGGGGGAGGAGGTAAACCAATCTTTCCACCTGGGGGAGGAGGTGGTGGTGGAAGAGCCATGCCTCCTGGCGGGGGCGGAGGAGGAAGGATCTTGCCTCCTGGCGGTGGTGGTGGGGGTAGAGCCATGCCTCCTGGCGGTGGTGGTGGAGGTAGAGCCATGCCTCCTGGCGGCGGCGGAGGAGGAGGAGGTGGAGGAACAATACTGCCACCTGGAGGAGGAGGAGGAGGAGGAGGGGGAGGAGGTGCAATACTTGTCATAGAAGCGTCCTTGTCTTCTGGCAAATCCCCTTCAACGGCGTCGGGGGTTTCAGCATCGAATTTAGGAACCTTAGAAGCAAGCTCGCCTAACAAGCCATTGGCCTGGGCAGGATCCAATCGAGGGCGATGCATCTCGACCAGACGAGGCTTCTCATAGATCGTTTCGCCATTGCTATCCACGCAAGCCTCTTCGTCATAATCCAGCGTCGAGTCCATCTCAGGGTGATGGCTGCGCTTCCGATAAACGGATCCCCAAGTGCCAGGATCAAGGTTCCGGCGGGTATTTTCAGCAAACTCATCACTGTCATATCCTTCTCCGTCCATTCTCTCCCGTAGCTCGCGGAGTCGGTCAGATGGTCCATGCTGGCCCCAAACCTTGCCCTCCAGCTTGAATTGGGTTTTGGTCCGCTCCAGTTGGCGTTCCAAGCGTTCCATGAGTCGTTCTCTGTCCATGATACCAGGCATGAGGGATGGGTCTGGTCCGTCTGCCGTCTCAGGATTGTTGGTCTTGCGGGCATTGGAGGCGGCAATATCCTGGGCATCGCGAAGCATAAGATAGAGTTCTCGGGTTTCCAGTTCGTTGCGCTGCAACTCCTGGGCACGCAGTCGTTGTACCTCTACAACCTCGGCCTTGAATGATTCGTTCTGCCGTTGCTGTAGCTCAATGATACCAGACTGTTCATCAATTTGCTTTTGCAACTTTAAGACTAAGCCTTCTGCGCCGAGTTCAACCTGCGCTCTCATCTCATCACGCTCGGCAATGGCGGCCTCGGCAATCTGCCGGGCCTCGAGAGACTCATCATAGACTCGTCTTGCCTCAGCATCGGTGTGCAGCCGGTCTAGTAAGCTCTGCACGGTGAAGGTCAGGCCTTGTCGAAGGTCCAAATCGGGCAGCCTGCGGTCCATCGCCACGTAGCTTAGCATGGCGTCGACCAGCTGGAACATACGCAACCCTTCCTCGCCGGAGTTCTCCCGGATGAGGAGCATATGCTGCATAGCCGAGAGGAAGTAGTCATGGGATCGGCTACCGTTGATTTTAGACGTGATTGCATCAACGATTTGCATGGGGTCGTTCATATCCTTGACTTCGCCCTCGATGCTATCCTTCATGCTGCTTCCCTCCCGCTGGAGGAGGTCCTCGTAATCAATGGCCTCATTATCGCGGAAACGCTCGATTTGCTTGTCGATAACCTCATACTGGAATCCTTCCATCTTCATCAAAAGACGTTTGATTCCACATGACGTGAATTGAGCGCGGATATGGCAACGCAACTGCAAATCCGTCTCTGCGCCATCTACCAGCATGTTGATGAGGATCATGGTGGATACTGCATATTCCATGAGAAGGTTCTCCATGCCGATGCCTCCGCTGCGGTACTCCTCGCTGGCACCGACCAGACTTCCCATCTTTCCACGGCCATCGATCGTGACCTCAACGATACGCATCCAAGCATCAAAACGACCGGTTTCATTGTGATCATTTTTTACCTTGTCCATGGATTGTAGAACCTTTTGATGCCCTTGTCCATCGCCCCAATGGCAGAGAAAAGTGATGACTTCGCTGACAAGTTTCCGAGTGTTCAGGCGTGGGGATGATAGCGAGCTGACAAGGGCAACTAGCACATTTTGATGCTCTAGAGCATCGTCTGCGCCATACTTATTGTTCATCAAACCTTTCAAACATTTGGCAATATCATACTCTCGGTCCAGATCTTTATCGCCTGTTGGGGGAGCCGGGACAGGACCAGATGCTTTTCTTCGGTTGATCTTCATAAGGACATTGGTTAAGGCAATTTGACCCTGCGCTTCAACAAAGGCTTTCACCCAGCTGCGTAGTGATTAGTGACAGACGATCTTCCAAGGATAAGGGAAAATTAATCCATACCTGATTGGCTGTGTACGCAAGCTGACACTCAAACTAGCGAGCTGCTTGGAGGTGATGGTATCATCCATCACCTTCTTCACATACCATTCCGGACTACCCTCCTCATCGGCACGTTCAAGTAGGCCAGACATACCATCATGGCCATGAGTCTGTCGCGCATTTTGTCGCCTTTTCTGCTCTCCTTGTAATTCTGTCAGGCGATCCTGATGCACTAATGTCCATTTCTTTGAAGCGGGGTATGACAACATCTGTCGCTTGGCCTGTTCGGGAAGATTTTGCCATCCTCGCTTCTGCATCAATTCCAGAAACAGCTGATCTACAATGCGATCGTCCCTGGGTCGAGTGAGATAGTTATCTTGCGGCCGAGGGACAGCTGCTGGTACAGAGAATTGATGGGCAGATCCTGCATTGGACAAGCGGCCCGAGCTAGAACTAGGGAGCATGGCAGGGCGATCCCCAGAATGTGAAGTTGTGAGTGTGCGAGAGGAATTGTCGGAGGAGAAGTAGCTTGAGCCGCGCGTGTTCGAAGAAACGGAAGAGTAGATGCTAGCTTGGTCAAGGGAGGTGCGGGAGTTTGAGGATGAATCGATAGAATAGTTGTGGCTAGGTCCATTATTCGTTGCGGAACTGCCTGGCCGTCCCCATTGTTGAGGTCTGATAACTCGATCGCCGGAGCTGCTGCTGGTCAGGGTGTTGTTTTGCGGGGGCGGCCGAGGGCCAGAGGGATGTGAAGCGGACCCATTGGGGGCAGATGTAGAGGTCCATGTCGGATACTGATGGTAGTCGCTTCCCGTCTGGCCCAGATGGTTGGGTGAAGGTTCATGCCGCGATGAACTTGGACGAGACATACTGTCGATGGGAATCGGGGTCCTGGTATCGGTGGACAGGCTCTCGAATGGAATGGAGGTTATGACACCTGCTGTATGCGATATACTGCCTGGATCGAAATCATGGGTCATGTCGACGGATTGTATCGATGACCGCTTCGAATAGCGGGACGAGCGTGAGCCGGCGGTGCTTCCCGGAGGCGCCAGGCTATCATAGGAGCCTCCATAATTATCGTATCGATCTTCTGTCGGTTTGTCCTTGTGTAGTTTGCGTCCAAAGAATGATTTCCCACTTGATGTTTGCCTCGACCTGTCGGCTTGTGCACTGGTTGGCATTTTGTCGGGCGTCACTGAGGTGAGGCAGGGCGCAGCATAGAGGCCCCTCCAACACTCTCAGAGACAATGATAAATGAAAGAGTCTGGGTTTGCGACAAGGTATCGTCGATCGCGAGGGATGTTGGCGAAGACGATGACATTCAAATTGGGTAGGAGTGGCTATCTGTTTTGTCCTGGTCAGTTTAGTATACCCGCTGCTATGGCGGAGTCGCGAAAGACGAGGGGTAGGGGGGATTTCTTCGCAGCACTCACCCACAAAGAAAGTTAAATAAGACAAACAAAAATTAACATGCAAGCTTTTTGCAGATGTCAAGTCCAGTTTGACGCCAGGATCAAAGCCCGAGCTTTCTTCTAAACGGTCTATTGATATTATTAGGGGGCTTGTCCCGGAGAAACTCCCCGACCGCGCACGTGATGGTAAGGATCACGTGGGGCTATACTCCGTACATACTTCCAAGACATCAGATGGACTCCGAATGGGCTGGTTTGAAAGACAAGGGGTCGCAAATCATTTGGAGGTTCAATATGAGTGTTATCCAACTCGAGGGAACATTAACCCATGGTTTCATCTACACATTACTCCCCTGTTCACTATGAGATAAAATAGTTCAAACTCAACTCCTACCATACTCATTCGCTGCTTCAGGCTATAAATGACGACAATCAAGCTGACAATGACCATGGCTTCAGTATAGTAAAAGACCCAAAAGTTGGCGACAAATACCACGGATATTGAAAATTCTTGTGAGCAAAGCAAGGGAAAGACCTATCCGTCAAGGTCTATGTGTTTAACATATTAAACCTTACTTTTTTTATCTAAGCAGCAGTGTGAGACATATGAACCAGGAGCAAAGCCATTATTGTAAGCAATTCATTCCCTTAAGATAGGGAAACCAAGAAGGGTTGAGACATTTAGACCAGGTCGAGTCTCAAGGCATTCAAAGAGAAGGGACACATCGAAGCAAGTCGGAGACTAGTCAAAGCGAGCTGACCATTTGCTAGGAGTTGACCTCAACCATATAACTATGTACGGAGTACCTATAGGGGCCAATCTCATCCCATCATAGGGTTAGAATAAACCTGTAAAGGCAGAGAGGCCTTAAGTAGAGGATACAGATGGCGTGGAAGTATGACTGGTCACTAATAAAGGGCAAGGATAGCAAGTAGAGTTTTTTTTTAATAGAAAAGATTAGAGTAGAATGCAAGGGGTAAATTAGGTATCGTCTGGAGTAGCCTCGTTAGGAGTGGGCCTTAGCGTCGAGTCACCCCAGGGAGCTCGCCATCCCATCATAGGAGAAGCTGAGAGAGAAGGTGGAAAACATACGTTGAATTAGTGGAATAAAAAGAGAGGAAAAGGGACCAAAGAATCAACCATATAGGGAGGCTGGAAGGGAGCATCTCTTGATGAGAATAATAGTATTGGTCTATTACTTAAGGTAAGCTCCCTTAGTCGCTCCTTTCTAGCTCTGGATTCTCAGAACTTTTGAAAGATGAAAAAGACTGCAGAGTTCATTATTGGGAGATCCGCCCCTGACAGCAGCTCCGACGAGGTGTGCCTGAAAGGTCAGGCCAAATCAGGCATCCTACCATTTGAATGTATGAAGGTACATACCTATCTAGGGGTCTTCCAGCGTTTCTGTGTATGAAAAATCAGACAGGATGACAGCTATGTTCTATGCAACAGAGTATAAAAATCGGGATAGAGAATATTCAACATCAATGTTGTCGAAGTGATCACACATTTTGATGTTGCAGGTCGGTTCTTCGTCGATCTGCCGATCCTGCCGCGTGTGCTATCCAGGCCCCCAGACACTCGGATGTCTAACCCCGTCCTCCGCAGTTTCTCGATATTCAAAGCCCTTTGAAGGGTCAAACACCACTCCGTACTTGAACTTCTTTTGGGCTCTGAAAGCCTGAGACCACAGCAATCAGAATGGGGTCATCAGGGGGCTTTGCTAAGGTGCGCGCACACCCCCTATCTCAACCCTGCCATACCTCCCTCGTCTCCCATTCTATTTCCCATTGCAGGACCAAGATCAAATATGAAACCAAACTAACCAAGGAATATTTCGACGCACAGACAATTATCATCCCAGCCGCAATCGCACTATCGCTCTATGTCCTCATCTCATGCGTGATAATCCCATTCTTCCGCCGCTACCACCAGCGCTACTCGCAATACCTCCCACTACACAGTATATCTGCACACACACAGTCCCTGCGTGACCGCATAGCCGACAAATTAATGCATTTTTTCCTACCATCCAGGTGGCGATGGGGCGCACGCACAGCCGATCATGATACAATCAGTATCGACGAGGAGGAAGGGGAGACCTTGGTCGGGATGGACATGGATGCTGTGAGACGAGGCGCATTGGAGGGGCGGCGAGATCCCCTGGCCGATGCGGAGAGTCGTCTGAGTCGGGATTTAGAGGCTGGGTTTATGGATGATAGCGATGAGGAGGGGAGTGAGGGGCATAGGAATGGAGGGGGTGGGAGACATTGAGTCATTGGTGAGGGCGTTTATGTATACATATCTCTATCCTCGAGATTTGGTGTGTTGGCAAGCCTAGAATAGAAGGTCTGGGTGTGTGTCTGTGTGTACGAGATGTAGCAACATGCATCAATATAGCTGCTTTGTCCATACCACACAGAGCCCTGGAGTCGGGATTCATTGTGGGTTTCCAGCTCTGCATCCATGCATGTAGGAGCGACTGGCCGATAGTTGCGCTTTCCATTGCAGATAATAACTTAATAAATGATCATTTTGAATAGAATGTTTTAAAAAAAGATGTATACACGTTCTAGACTCCAAGCGCTAGACCTGTCAATTTGGCGGGATCGACATTGCTCCACTGATCATCATGCACCCTAATGTTTGCAAGAGACAGAGAAAATCAAATTAAAGTTGGCGTGGGAGAGAGTTGAAAGTTATAAATATGATTCATTGGTATCGTAAAAGATGCTACCTTTGCTTTTCTTAGCATCGCCCATGCCATCCAGGGCAAATGGGACTGTTATAAACACTTCAGGTAGAAGAAAAAGCAGAAAGTATGAAATAAAATATCCCGGACGGGGAAAGTTTCCCCGCGCCGCATATTGCAAGGGCGCTTTTTACTTGCGCTGACCGTAGGCCTTGGTGGCATAGGCGCCCTTGTGGACAATCAGGTCCTCAGGACGATAGTCCTCACGGCCGGAGAAGTAGCTCTCGAGGATGTTCTTGGTACCGTTGGCGTAGCGGACCTGAGCATCGATGGAGGTACCGGACATGTGGGGAACCATGGCGTTACCACCACCCCAGGGGTGCTCGGCATAGCGGAGAGGGTGGTCCTTGGGGGCGGGCTGGGGGAACCAGACATCACCACCGTAGCCACGCAGGTGGCCAGACTTGAGGGCCTCCGCGACATCCTCCTTGACAACGATAGCACCGCGGGCGGTGTTGACGAGCCAAGCGCCGGGCTTCATCTTGGAGATGAGGTCCTTGTTGAAGAGACCGCGGGTCTTCTCGTGCAGGGGACAGTTGATGGTGACGACATCACACTGGGCGAGCATCTCTTCAAGGTCCTCAACGCGACGGCAACCGATCTCCTTCTCAGCCTCGGCAGACAGGGGCTGGTAGTCGTAGTAGAGAAGCTCCTTGCAGTCGAAGGGCTTGAGACGGCGAAGGACACGCTCACCAATACGGCCGACAGCAACGGTACCGACAACCTTGTTCTCGAGATCAAACTCGTTCTTAGCAACAGCGGCGACATCCCAGTCGCCGTTCTTGATCTGCTCATGGGCAGGGACGAAGTTGCGGACAAGAAGAAGGATGGTCATGACGACGTGCTCAGCGACGGAGACAACGTTGGAGCCAGTGACCTCAGCAACGGTGATGCCGCCATTAGTGGTGTTGGCGGCGTTCAGATCAACATGGTCGGAGCCAATACCAGCAGTGACGGCAAGCTTGAGCTTCTTGGCCTTGGCGAGACGCTCAGCAGTAAGGTAGCCGGGGTGGAAGCTGTGTGGTCATTAGCGAAGCTACTGTGAAAGGTGGTTTTGGGGAAACGAACGGAGTAGTGATGATGACTTCGGCATCAACGAGCTCCTTGTCGAAGGTGGAGTTCTCACCCTCCTTGTCGGAGGTGGTCACTAGGGTGTGGCCCTGATCCTCGAGCCACTTGCGAATCCCAAGCTCATTCTCGGTGGTTCCGAGCAGCTGAGGCTGCTGCTTGGAGTGCTCACCACCCTATTTCAAAGGCAAGGCCAGGTCAGCGATTGAAGTAGCCAATATATGAGCTGAGGATGACTTACATCGTAAAGAACCAAAAGAACTTTGCCCTGGAGATTAGAAGTTGCGGTTAGCGTACGTGCACCAGATATAGATCCAGCCAGAGGTGAAGCCCGAGCAAATGGACTGGAGGTAGTAGAGTTGAGGGCGCTAGCTTGGAGGAAGGGCCGTCTCAATTGACGGGAAAGGGAGCGGATAAATACCATTGTGAGTTATAGAATTTCAAGATGTTTTGAATTATTTCAAACTAGAGGAGGATCAGCTCTGTGTTATATATAAGAAGTGGATGAAGCCAATGTCCCAACCCGGCGTTGGAGAAAACCGGATGAGACGAGCACTGAGCGGGGAGAGTGGGGAATCGTGCAAGCCTGATGGGAGAATAAGATGAGCAACGATCGACTTACAATGAAGTATGTTGTAGTACAGGAAAGAGGATGATTAGAGTGGATGAGATGGAGGAGAGGGGGAAAAAACCACTCTTGGACAGTAAATGGAGCCGATTATATAGACAATTTCCTCCAGCCCCTCTACAAATACTGGAGCCACCGACACCAACATTGTGCACCCCTCAGAGTAACGCATAGAACCGGAGAGGACAGAGCTCCCAGGAGGGCATCCACTCGGAGACCCTCGTCTCTCTCCGCACGAGGAGGGGGGCAACTAGTATTCGTGTTTCGATCTAGACTTTTACGGGCTCTTATCTGTGAATTCCTACATCGGCGTTTCTCCATGTAGGTATCCGCATGTAGCTATAGGTACATGTATATTACTCTTAGGTTCTCATTGTACTATATCTTCCAGCCTCCTATACACATATCTAATCAAGTACCACGTAGGTACCTAGGAACCTCTGAAGCCTCAGGCTCCCAAGGGATAACTCGGAAGAACGTGCGGGGATATGGACTCCATACGACAATAGCAAATCTTGACCAAAACTGCCCATTCAGCAGATCTTCTAGAGGCCTGTATTCAAAGCTCCGACACAAGAAAAAAGAAAGAAAAACAAAAGACCGAACAAAGATTTGACTCGCCATCTCGTATTCCCATACATCTTCATGCAACTCAGCTCATCAGCGCGAGTTGTCTTCCCCGCAGCGGGGTAGCTGAGGTCAAGCGATGACATAATGAGGGGTACAAGTCGGCACAAAGGGGAAAACTGTCTACGGAGGACGGAGTACTATACCACCCATTCCCCCAGATGGTGAAGATGAACTGAATGACTGAGATTATCTGAGCATGGATCTCCCAAGGTACTAAAGCACTCCAATTTTCCCAGTCCCCATTGCTATTCCAGGGCCTACGGGGCCCTACCCCTACCGTTTCCCTCCGTTGTCCGCCTTTCTGCCGAAATTCGGCCTTCTTCTCCAACTCCGCCCCGCTAGAGCTACACCCATGAGGTAAATTGCCTCCCGGCCTCCAGGGATGAGGAGGTTTTGGAGAAATGTCCGCATCGGATCCACTAATGAGGTCCAGAAGATCCAAATCAGATCATGGGCAGACTATACACAGCATGTCCGGATCAAGAACAAACTCAAGATGGACCCTGGATTTTCTTTTTTTTCTTTTCCTTCTCGTCCCATATCCCCAGGTCTTCCCTCCCGACAGATTTTCCCTGTGCTGCATGGTCATATCTTCGACTGCAGATCAATTGACGCAACCGAAGTGGTACTCCGATCAGGATTTCTCCTCGGTCGCGCATTAGACTGAAATGCCGCACCATGCCAATTGGAAAACTATCGTGAATAACGATCAGAGGACAGAGATGAGGTTCTTCAAGTATTCAATGACACTCGATTGATTCTATAGTCACAAGCCGAATCCCCGATCGCCAGATGAAACTTGGAAAACATCTCTATTGCCACATTTCGTTTCGCGACCATGCTAGGTTTCCAACCCACCGTCGATCGCTTTATCCAAATTTCGAACCTTGCAGCCAGAACCGAGACCATGAAGTTTTGGTAAGCTTCGCTAGAAGTTACATGTCTGATGTGTTGGCCCTCTGGGTTTTGGGCTTCGGCGCATATTGTTGCATTGTCGCATGACCAACAGTGCGGGCGCCGTTCGATTCGATTCGTTGCTACCATGTATTAACCCGGGAAGGTCTGCTCACGTCAGGATTATAATTTTCAAATCAAAACATTCCAGCGGAAATATGATGTGCTACCGTGTTCGAGACTCGGCCTTCCGTTGTTACGATTTCGAATGTTGTGGATCATGACCATCTTTCATTGACATGATACATCGACATTTAGATGCAAAAAGAGACTATTCTAGGGCCCAGGAATCTCTACTCTCCCTTGACATTGATGAGCTGACAGACTTCTTGCATATCGAAACGGCTATATTCCGTTTAAACGTTTCCTCGACACCCGACATAGCCTCGAAGTGCTTCGAGTGATCCACAGGCGCATTGACAAAGACATCATTCAGAGTGGCCATCGAGACGGGAGTAATCATGAGTTCATTCTCGGCCTCGTGCGTCAAGACAACACAGTGTTCGACGATCTATTCTCGTGGCGTCTCGACACAGGGGCCACGTGCTGAGAGAGTCGACATGATGCGTTCCAAGGAACCTTGCAACAAAATCATCGCTATCATATAGCGCAATTGCTGCATCTGCACTGCTTACGGGGATATCCTTTGTATCAATAATCCGACAGGCTGCCTCGGGGGTGCGAACGCGTACATGCCGAACATCCCGCGCGGGGTCGATGCCCTGTCTGCCATAACACGCGGCAGCTTGGATTTAGGATTTGATTGATTTTTTTTTCGAAAAGGTACGATCGCTGGAATTTCAACAGGTGGGTGTTACCCAATCTATACTGTCTGATTCACACTAGACATTGGTTATGATACCGGTAGAGGGAAGCTATAGTCCCGCCTCTCATTCCCCTCCATCGCCCTCCATCTGTCCCCCACCAACAGTCGAGAATTTGTACTTCTGAGAGCTGAAGGAATCACTATCTGGATGAAACTTGCGGAATCCGCCAGTTTTTACTTGCGATACCCTTCCAGTAGTTGGAATTTGATTCGCAAGATCTGGGCTTCCGGATTCTTGACGCAATACAGGCTTGCAATTGTAGTAGTTTAGCAATCGATTCCCATTTGTTAGTCAATTGAGTTATTTGCAACCGAAAAATTCTACACATTGCCTGTAACCTTTATAATCTTTGGGGGTTTCTCTCTTATATGCTACTTGCCTGTAGGTAGAATCAAGCTATCCCATAGAGCGGAGCGGCGCGGGCTTTGCATCTCCGGGCTCCGAGACCGAGAGCTCGCGGCTCGGAGATTATTTGTACGTGATTCTTTTTAACTCTGGTCTTCCTTTTTGATTCTTTCTTTTCTGTTTGCAAGTTATGCTCTACACATCCATCTACGCGTAGAACCGTAACATTCAATGCGATCATCAACTCTTACGCGGTCGCTCACACGCGACTGGAGCGGGCGAACCCATCGCGAATATCGAACCATCCGCCTGTTGTCCAATACCCCTCAGTGCAGCAGCAGACTTCGTACCCGCCTGGAGATCCCTCCTCCTTTTCCCGTTACCAAGACATGTCCCGAAACAAGCTGCAATTGTCCACCTACGCCTGCTATGCCCGAGGGACTACCAATCGACCATGAACAACCATTAAATGGGACAATGGCTGCTTATGCGCAGCAGCTCTTAGTATGCACCGGACAGCCAGACTGGACGAGTCGCATTGAGAATGACGGCGAAAATAAAAGCTGGGGAACCCTTGTGAGAGGGCTGAAGAATCTTTTGGGCCGAGGGGGACCATATCTTGATGTACGTGAACTACCCAGCTTGTCAAGCCAACTTTTGCTAATCCAATGTCCTATTTTTCAGCCCTTCAATAATATCTTGGTTACAACTTCGTCTATCGCGCCGGCTGCCAGCTCCACCTCCACCTCCGCCTCGGCATTCCTCTTCCCCAGCTTCAAATACATTCCCTCAATACCTGTGGAAACTGCCTCATCCTCCGACCAAACAACCAACTTGACGACTTTCATACGCGCATTTCTTCTCCCCGAACGACTTCACGATATGCACTCCTCTCTCCCCGCGACCAAGCAAGCAGACATGACTCGATCCTCGGACCTAGTATCAAACTTCTCCGGAGTAATCGACATAAACCACTCCCCGACAGTGTTGATCTGCGGACATGGCGGTCGTGACATGCGCTGCGGTGTTATGGCGCCTGCCTTGGAGAGCGAATTCCAGCGAGTGCTAAAGGCGCGCGGATTCACATCCGCAGACAGTGATGGGACTACCGTGGACGGCCCACAACATGCCAATGTTGGTCGGATCAGCCATGTTGGAGGGCACAAGTATGCTGGCAACGTGATTGTCTACATCCCGCCGAAAATGACCGTGGGAAGCTCTTCAGAGCCTCACCCGCTGGCGGGCAAAGGTATCTGGTATGGCCGGATTGAACCCAAGCATGTAGAGGGGCTTGTTGATGAGACGATTCTCGGCGGCAAAGTGGTTACTGATCACTTCCGCGGTGGCATTGACAGGAATGGGGACATTCTGAGGATTTAGATTTGGGGGGCACATTGTTTACTCCCCGGGACACATAGATTAGTGCATCATAGTATATGATATACAGCGACTTGCATCGCGAGCGCTTACAGAACCCAAGAAGCATCACCAAGATATCAGATCTATCTCAGCGCCTTTCTTCACTTGGAATGTGTGCAACTATAGTGTTTTCCCGCTAGTCCAAATCGGGATTAAAGCTATCCGGGCTCCGGGGAAGTTTTGAAACAGCCATCAGACGTTCAGTCGCGGACATGGCTGAATGCCCCAATCACCCCGGTCTTTGAACATTTTGGGCACATAATGAACCTATAACGATGACATCCCTTTCAAGACTCCGATTGACCAGCGCTGTTGCGCCTGGCCGAATCTACACGCGTCCAACTCTCCGAGCCCTCTCACCAGTCTACACTTTAACTCGACTCGCAAGCACCTCAACCCGCAGACTAGACCTCCCAGCCCTCGACAAGAAATGGCGCGCAAAATGGGAAAGCGACAAAGCCACCCCGCGCCCAACATCTGAAGCAACAAAGAACCCCAAATCCTACATCTTGTCCATGTTCCCATACCCCTCTGGCACGCTGCACATGGGCCATTTGCGGGTGTACACGATCTCAGATGTAATCGCCCGGTTTTATAAAATGCGCGGACATGATGTGCTCCATCCTATGGGATGGGATGCCTTTGGACTGCCGGCGGAGAACGCCGCGATCGAGAGGGGGATTGATCCTGCCGTTTGGACACAGGAGAATATAAAGAAGATGAAAGAGCAGTTGAAGTGTATATCGGCGGAGTTTGATTGGGATCGGGTATGTGGACATCAAGGCATCGACATCCAACCAATTGCACCCGGGTTGCGTTGATATACGGCATGGCTAATGGATGCGGATAGGAACTGGCTACATGTTCGCCGGACTTCTATGAACATACTCAGCGCATATTCTTAATGTTATATCAGAAAGGATTGGCGTATCAGGCCGAAGCGCTGGTCAATTATGACCCTGTTGATAAGACAGTGTTGGCAAATGAACAGGTGAGTCGGGTGTAGAGGATACGTATTGAGCAGCTCTGATTTATGTGCAGGTCGATGCCAATGGATTCTCATGGAGATCTGGGGCTAAGGTTGAGAAGTTGAACTTGAAGCAGTGGTTCTTCAAGATCACTGAATTTAAAGAAGCACTTTTGAAAGACCTCGATTCTCTCGCTGGAGGATGGCCGGAACGTGTTCTGACGATGCAACGGAATTGGCTTGGAAAATCCTACGGTGCTAAAGTCACATTCCCTGTGACTATCAAAAGCGCGGGAGATGAGCAAGTCGATGTGAATGTTTTCACTACCCGGCCAGACACTTTGTACGGCGTGGAGTATTTGGCACTCTCTTTAAATCACCCTATCGTACTGAAGGCTGCTGAGAAGGACGAGACACTTCGCAAGTTCCTAAGTGAAGCTTCTTCATTTGCACCGGATTCTAAAGCAGGATACCGACTGTCTGATGTTGAAGTGTCCCATCCCTTGCGCAAGATTGATACAGAGACTTCTCACTTGCAGAGGAAGCTTCCTGTCTTTGTAGCTCCCTATGTTCTCAGCGACTACGGCGAGGGTGCAGTTATGGGTGTTCCGGGCCATGACACTAGAGACATGATGTTCTTCAGAGAGAATATGAATGCCGAATCGATTCCTGTTGTGATTGAGGCTGAGCCAACGGGTAGAGAGGCAAACAGCAGTCTCATCCCTACACCAGACACAAAAGCTTTCACGCAAGAAGGCTTCTTGACTTCCCGCTGCGGGAAGTATCAAGGGCTGCACTCCAAGGAGGCATCCAAACTGATTGTCAATGATCTGGAACAAGTCGGTCAGGCTGAGTTTGTTGAGAGCTGGCGTCTACGGGATTGGCTGATCAGTCGCCAGCGATACTGGGGCACACCCATTCCCATCATTCACTGTAGAGACTGTGGACCCGTGCCAGTGCCCGCCGAGGATCTTCCAGTGAAACTGCCGAAGATCGAAGGAGAGTGGCTCAAGGGAAAGAAAGGCAATCCTCTGGAATCCTCAGAGGAATGGCTCCACACAGAATGCCCTAGTTGCAAAGGTCCTGCCCGTCGCGACACAGACACCATGGATACTTTCGTGGATTCATCGTGGTACTTCTTACGGTTCTTGGACTCTGCTAACAAGGACGCACCGTTCTCCCCTGCAGTAAAGCAACCGGTGGATATTTACATTGGTGGTGTCGAACATGCCATTCTGCATCTCCTGTATGCTCGGTTCATCTATAAGTTCCTCTCTCAGTCCGATAACTCTGCTGCCGTCGCAGAACCATTCAAAATGCTTCTCAGCCAGGGCATGGTCCATGGAAAGACACTGTCCGACCCATCGACTGGGCGATTCCTTCTTCCGGACGAAGTTGATCTCACCAACCCAAATAAGCCTTTGATAAAAGGAACACAAGTGACCCCCAATATCTCCTTCGAAAAGATGTCAAAAAGCAAGTACAACGGCGTGGACCCGACAACTACCACGTCCAAATACGGCGCCGACGCCACTCGCGCGCACATCCTCTTTTCCGCACCAGTCAGCGAAGTGCTTGAATGGGAAGAAACTAAGATTGTCGGCATTGAACGCTGGTTCGGCCGACTCTGGAAACTGGTCCAGGACACCCAGCAATCCCTAACGGAGGCATCATTCACCGTCTCAGAGGCAGATTTGACGTCCTCCAGCCACGCCACTTCCCTCCTTACATCTCTTCAAGACTTGAGCAACTCTGACGCCGATGCAATCTTGGCCACCCACAACACCATCGGCTCCGTCACCACCTGCATCGAAAGCAACCCTTACAGCTTGAACACCGTTATCTCAGACCTCACCAAGCTGACCAACACGCTTGCCTCGGCCCCAGCTTCCTCCCCTCTCATCCTGTATCTATCTGTCTCATCTCTCCTGCGCCTGCTGGCACCCATTGCACCGGCTCTAGCCTCTGAGTCATGGGAAGTTCTACATACTACCACAAATACAGCCTCTCCTACACCGATACCATCCATTCTATCCTCGCCCTGGCCCAGCACCCTCCTTACCCCCGACCAAGCCGAAACCCTCTCCTCTCGTGGTGGCCAAACGGTCGCCGTCCAGATCAACGGCAAGCTCCGCTGTGCTGTCACCATCCCGCGCATGGAGTCCTCAACAGGAGCCTCCCCGCAGAGCAAGAATGCTCCTTCACCGGAAGAACAGGAGTGGATTGTGAGTCGGGTCCTGGAGACTGCTGAGGGGAAGTTGTGGCTCTGCGAGAAGAACGACTGGGAGAAGAGACGGCGGGTTATCGTTGTGAAGGGAGGTAAACTTGTCAATGTTGTCTTCTGATTTCGCTGTTTACTATATAGTGACAGAGCTTTGTATTACTATTCAGGATAGACCTGTGAGAATTGTATATTATTACTAGATTGTATAGATTGTTCTCATCCTGCTTCGTGTGTTGCTAACATTCACAGGCATAGCAATGAACAAAGCAGCGAATTATATTAGATCATCACTCCAAGTGCAAATGGCGCTTCGTAGTCCGCTCCTTCTTTTGCTCGGCGCTGTAAAGGTTGCTGAGGCCCATCCCATCTCTTGCCATCACACTCTCAGTTGCAGTTCTTCTCCTTAGACTTCTTGTCCAGCCTTTGGTATAACCCAGACTCCCCCAACTCCGATGTCACAGCTGTCTTCTGCTCCGAGACCTGCTTCAGCTCTGTGGTTTGCCTCCGCTGGATGAATCCTCTGGGCGTGTCGCTGGATATATGAATCCGTTCTCAAAGCCCATCAAATAGACACCTGGACAATAGACTAACGATATAGCTAAAGCTCTGTCTCATGGCTTCCCATGACTGAGGAGGCAGCGCAGTCGAGTTAGATCATCCTCCATCCCTCATCACTGCGTACCTTTGCTACAGAGTATATGCCTTCTTTGAAAGCTCATCATTCGGTCGTCACCGATGAAATTGCCCCATCTTCCGTGTCCCTCAACTTCATCCACTACCAGCTCCATCCACCACCTTGCCTGACAACCGCCATTTCTACCACTCACCTTTCTGAGAACAAGCGAAGGCGACTGGAGAGTACTACGCATTCGCAGATTAGGATTGCCATGACTTGTACTATGAACATACCATGAAGAATGGCACTATTCATTATGGAGGTTGGGGTCTCTATTCACACAGCCTAGATACAGTTTGATATGTAGAACCGAAGCGACCTGGGTCTTCTTCGTCCTCAGATACGGTATGATTGACCGCAACTAGTCCAAATCCTGTCTTGTTGCGCGACAGGAGGCTCTGAGCGTGAAGCTCTAGAAAAGGGACATGTAAGAAGAGAGTATTTTCTTCGATCTCCCGCAAAGAGATAGCAAACCAGGAGAGGGAAACACGTCCCCCCAAGACTCTACACATGCATCGAGCTTCGAACAGACCCCTGAGAGATACTGGGTATCATATAAAACATGGAAGCGATGGACAAAAATCATCCGTTGCCCCTTTCACTCCCATTCTCGGGGAAAGAAGACCGATCCCGCCCATTCCCAGCCGCTGGCTGCGTCTCCCCCATCGGGAAACTGAGGTATTTCCAATCCTCAATCTCCTCAATGATACACTTCAGCCGATCCCGTATACTTTCCACCGCATACGTGCCCAGGATCAGTCGCAGAGGTGGATAAGAGCAATGGCCAAGCTGCCATACCAAATGCGCCGCCTTGACAGCACTAGCAGGCTGCTTATCACCCAGCCACATCAACATCCGCCGCGCATGCGCCGCTGGTGACGTAGTGGTATTATACGGCTCACTGGGCGGCTTGACCAGAAAATGGCCGTACAGCGGCAGCGGCGCGGAAAGATGGTGCTCGGACGGGTTCGTCGGGACAGGCGAGACCAAATCCCCAACATCGTCGCGACGCATATGACCCGGCTCCACCAGCGTGCCCTTGATATTGAAGCTATCCACCTCGTACAACATACTCTCCATCAATCCTTCGACCGCATATTTGGAGGCACAGTAAGGACCCAGCCCCGGCACGCCGAGCGCACCGGATGTCGAGCTGAAGATGAGGTAGCGGCCCGCGCGACGCTGGCGGAAGTGCGGCAGCGATAGTTGGATCATGTTCAGCGTACCGGTGAAGTTTGTCTCGAATTGATTGCGGATGTCGAATTCGTCCTGGTCTTCGCATGCGCCGATGACGCCGTACCCGGAGCAATTGGCGATTATGTCGATACGTCCGAACCGTGCGATTGTTTGGTCGATGACGCGTTTTACGGTCTCGCGCGCCCGTACGTCGCATAGTAGTCCGATGCAGTTGGCGGATTCTAGCTCTTTCATTGCGGCTGGGCTATTCTCGTATGTTCGTCCCACGGCTGCTACTAGGTCGTTATGGGCGAGGGCGGTTTTGACGAGGGAACGACCCATGTGCCCTGTTGCGCCAAAGATCTAAAATGGAAATCAAATGTGTTAGCGTGTTGGTAGGTTGGTCGCGGTCTAGTGGGGTTGTATACCAGCCATACGAGGGGTTTGGCGGGGTTCTGGGGACCAGGGGGATCGGTGGTTGAAGGGAGATTGAGACTTGGTTCTCGTGCTGCTGGAGAGGAAGGCCCTCTGGGGGATGTCTGCTCCATGACAATGCGCTGTGGTCGGAAATGAGGGGAGAAGGAAAGCGACGGGAGTCTCTCCGCATTTGGTGGCCGCCCTTTCGCTACGTACGTACACAAGACCCTAACTTGGCTTTTTGTTCTTTGTTGCTTTCTTTCCCTTTTTTTTGGTGATGTGTTCAATTATTGGGGATTTACTTGAGAGAAGGCTCTTCTATTATCCATATACACACTAAATAACATCAATTATCGTCCCACCTCCCGTCGCAGCCGTCCCGCAGCCGTCGAGGGTCCTGGTTCAGGCCAACTGCCCACTGCATCGTCGACCTCTTCTAGGAAGGTTGTACTGTTATGGATGGATGTGCCGCCTAGAACAACTCGCACCCCTGGGGAGCTAGCATTGACCTGTGCGACCATCTTGGCCTCCTCATATGTGGTGCCACCGACCATGAAGATGATGATGTCTTGCGGCTTGTCTCGCGTATGTCCACTGCCCTCGAGGAAGGGGTACTGCAATTCCTTCAAGCGGCCTTTAATGAGATTTTGTAGAGTTACTTCCAACCGTGGGGAATGTTGTGTGTACACGTTCTCAACGCCTTTGAGGCCCTTGAAGCGGTCTCGTGCGCCAGAGAAGAAGGATGTTGATTCGAAAAGATCGGAGAACCCGCCTGCCACCGGAGGTGCCTGAAGGGAATGGTGGTAGACGAGAAGCTTGGGGATGATGTTTACTCGGTTCGATGGGACTTCACCCGCTGTGACGAGAAGGTCGAGCAGGATGGGCAGCGCATTGTTGGGCTGTTTCTCATAGCGAAGGGCATAAAGAGCTACGAGGCGCAGCTTGTTGTCTGATGGTACATTCGGCAGTGAGATGATCCGTTGTAGTGACTAGAAAGGGGTGAGTCCATGAGCGCAGCATAATCAGTTGACTTTGATACATACCCTAAGATCATTGGAGTGGTTATCATTGCAAGCCAAGCTCTGCTCCAACTCGCTCACATCAAGGAGGTTATCCTCGCCGACGCGCCGGCTGAGTTCACCCACCAGAGTAACATGTTTGCTCACATTACCCGCAAGCTTGCGGAACTCAGGATAATCCTCCACAAAACGCTTCATGTCCGCAATAGACTCAATATTCGCAGTACTCTGGGTTTTGGTTTGATACTGCTCCACATATTCTTTAATGTTTTGTCCCAGGTCACCGAAGTTCTGGTACATGTTCTTCTTGAAGAACGGGTCCTGGTCCTGAGCCAAGATAATCTCCTTTAGTTCCGGTCGGATCTCTGGTACGTCCTGTAGATCCACACGGCCATTGTTGATGCCAAGCATGTCATGCACCATTGCCTGATACGTCCATTGGGTCAGCAATGGGGTGATCGGGTCATCGCGGCGGTCCAAAACAAGCAGGATAGGCGGTGTATCCGTCCGGCGGAAATTAAACAGCTGCTCTTCTTGTGTGATATGATAACGGATCTCCGTCGCTAGTTTGCGGGCCAGGAGACTGTTTTTCTCATAGCGGATGAGCGGGTTCTTCTTCAACGCGAGCAACAAGGCCAATGCCCCCTCCGTGGCTCGTTGTAGTGAATCCGGGTTCCATAGATCTGGCGAATGGCTCCATAGTTTTTGCAAGGGGAAGCCAAGACCTAAAGAACAAAGGTCCGGGTTGATGACGAGAAAATCGGCGAATTGTTCCTGCACCGATTGGACGACCTCGTGACTATCCGCTTCGGCGAGCCTCTCGAGGGAGGATTTGCGGATGATGTTGCTTAGGTAGATGTAGTATTCGCCATATTTAGGGTCTCGAAGCTCATCGATCAGGAACTGAATAGAGGTGGGTGACGGGCGCACGAAGCACAGGCATCGCAGATGTCGCATCTTCTCGCGCGCGGCATTGTCCAAGCGATCGATGAGATAGACCTCGTGGTTGAGGAGGGCAGATTGGGTAATGGCGGTTGAAACGATCGAAACCTGTGATCATAGCAGTTAGCGATCATGAGGATTACGTTCTAGGAAGGGTAAATCACTCACTGTGTCGCTATCAAGAAGCAGGATCTTCATCTTCGATGACGAAGCTCCTGCCGACTCGCCCACAGTGACCATCTTGGAGATGTACCCCGAGGCGGCCGCGACGACATCCATGGTGGATAGTGCACCGGGCGAGAAAATAGAGAGAATTCAAGTTCAATCGGTGTGTCCGAAGCTAAGCTCCCAAAGGTGACGATCGAGGGGATGGTTGAGTGTGGAGAGGGCGGGAAGTTGTTGGGGAATTTCCACTTTCCACATGACAAGCTGTTTTTCTTCTTTTTCTTCTTCTTCTTCTTTTTCTTCCTCTTCCTTTCCTCATGCTCTGATCTGAGCTTCTTTTCTTCGGTCTTGTTTGGTTTTCTATATCAGGCCAACAATGTTGCCCTATGTAGACCAGAGTATGTTCACTCTGGAATGCTCCTCGGTTTCTCCGACTAACTTCTCCCCGCAGTTTTCGAGGTGCCAGCTCGGCTCACTGGCGCATCAACTGATGAGCGTACGATCTTCATTCTCCTTAAGCTCCGGCATTGTTAGCAGTTTCTAATCCCCAGCTCCAGTCAAGCTGATCGGCTCGTTCCTCCTCTCCTACCCTCTGGCCGCCCTCCTCAAGCGTATCCCCGATGGCCAACCCTGGAAAAAGAATGTCTTTATCGTCGGCGTGTCTCTGTTCTATATTGTCGGACTGTTCGACCTCTGGGATGGTCTACGCACACTGCTGTATAGTGCTGCGGGCACTTATGCAATCGCCTACTATGTAGATGGATCACTGATGCCGTGGATCGGATTCCTTTTCCTCATGAGCCACATGTCGCTTAATCACATCGAACGTCAGATGGCGAACGATAACTCGACCGTTGATATTACTGGCGCCCAGATGGTTCTCGTTATGAAACTAAGCTCATTCTGCTGGAATATTCACGACGGCCGTCGGCCCAAGGACCAGTTGTCGGACGCCCAGAAGTACTCTGCCATTACGAAATTCCCGGGCATTGTCGATTACCTGGGCTATGTCATGTTCTTCCCCTCGCTCTTTGCTGGACCCTCATTCGAATATGTTGACTACCGCCGTTGGATCGACACTACGCTTTTCGAGGTCCCGCCTGGTACTGACCCGTCCAAGGTACCACCCACCCGCAAGAAGCGCAAGATCCCTCGTAGCGGAACACCTGCTGCAAAGAAGGCAGCCGCCGGGCTGATCTGGATCTTTGCCTTCATTCAACTGAGCTCGTACTTTTCGGTCGACTTTGCACTTTCGGATGAATTCCTGGAATATTCCATCCTACGACGGATTTTCACTGTGCACATGCTTGGTTTCACCGCTCGCACCAAGTACTACGGCGTGTGGGCTTTGACCGAGGGTGCCTGTATTCTTTCGGGGATGGGATACAACAGCTTTGATCCCAAGACAGGCAAGGTCTTCTGGAACAGATTAGAGAACGTCGATCCCTGGGCGATGGAGACCGCCCAGAACTCACACGCCTACCTGGGCAACTGGAACAAGAACACTAACCACTGGCTGCGCAACTACGTCTACCTTCGTGTTACGCCTAAGGGCAAGAAGCCGGGTTTCCGCGCCAGCATGGCTACCTTCGCTACCAGTGCCCTATGGCACGGATTCTACCCAGGATACTACATGACATTTGTCCTGGGCTCTTTCATCCAGACTGTGGCGAAGAGTAAGCATCACCAGGAATTTGATTTTTATCGTTTCTTTCGCGCATAACTGATCCATCTAATAGACTTCCGTCGCTACGTGCGTCCCTTTTTCCTCACGCCTGACGGCACCAAGCCTCTCCCCAGCAAGCGTTACTATGACATCCTCAGCTGGCTCGCAACGCAGCTGACCCTCTCTTTCGCTGTCGCTCCTTTCATCATCCTCAACTTTGAAAAAGCCTACACCGTCTGGTCCCGCGTATACTTCTACGGTATCATCAACTGCGCTGTCTCACTTCTCGCCTTTGCCTCTTTCTCTCCACTTAAGTCCTACCTCATCTCCCAGCTCAAGCGCCGCAGCAGACCCCAGGTCAGTCGCACTGCCAGCACTGAGACCGTGCACCCACCTGACCTTGGCCTACCGAACGATATCGAGCGCGACTTCGACGAGATCGTTACTGAGATCAAGGCTGAGATTGAAATACGTCGTCGTCGGGGAAGTATAGCGAGGATGCCCACTGGAGATGATTTGAAGGCTGCCATTGAGCAGAAGATCGGGCGGAAGTTGTAATGCTCGTTTGATTGTTAATGTAGGTATTGACCTGCCGAGTGTGGATTCGATAGAAGGGGTAAAAGGAGTCAGATTGGAAAAGCTGTTTTGGACCAGCCGTGTCATTGTGTGAAATGTATTTGGGAAAAAAACCAATAATTAGAGTTGTTTTGCTAGTTTTCAGTTAATTGAGGGCAGAGACTCGGGCGAGTTCGGTCTCGTCGGGGTTTGCGCGGGCATGTATTGAGTTATGTTGGATAGGTTGCTTAGCAGGAGCAATAAGCTACCTATGAATTGACTGTATTTACTAGGAACACAGTGAAAAGACCAAGTAAGATGTTGAGTATGTCAAGACAAGTAAATTGAGTGGATAAAACGTATGATACAACATATAAGTATGCTGGAGAGAAGTGAACATCGCACACCAGGAGGAAAGCAAGTGATGGGATAGCCAGCTTCACGAGGATCAAAATACAATGCAAAAATCACAATCAAAGGACAAACATATATCCATTACACGGCGTCGTATAGCAAGAATGCAAACAAAGCCTGTAAACCGCCATGCATAGAACGCAATCCCAGCAAACACAAGCCACCAGAATGACCGGTGACGTTGAATTCGATGTAAACGAGGAAAATGTAAAAAGAAAAACACAGAAAGGGATATTATGTGCGTCGAAATCGTAGAGTCATTCAGGAAGAATTGTGCAGGTGAAGAGAAGAAGAAAAAGGGGGAGCTTGGGAAGTCGATGGTCCAAAGAGCAGCATCGAGATCACAGAAAGGAGATGCCTGTAGGACCAGTAAGTCGATTGGCGGCAAGAAGAGAAAAGAAAGGAAGCCCAGTCGACTGGGCTGGGGGAATAAGCCCCCAAAAAAGAGGAACCTTCAAGGATAGTTTGAAAAAAGGAAAAAGATAGGAAAAAGAAAAATGAGAACAAAATGTCCAAAGTTATGCGAGTCGTAAGGGCGTCAAAATGAAAGATCGCAAGTCATATGCGTAGCAGTTTCCAGACGCCACGCAAAAAAATCCAGGCTTAGAAACCAGTTGTTGTCCCAATAACAGCAAGCACAATAATGATAACAACAATCACGACCCCAAGTGAGATCATCCACCGATTAAGATTCCTCCACCAGCGCGCATTCTCGTGCCGCCGCTGCTGGAGGCTCATACACTGAGCCTCTAACGCCATCTCGACATCCGAGTCAGACTCGTACTCCAACATCTCCGGCGCGGGTTTTGGCTTTGGTGGTAGCGGAAGGAAACCTGCAATGCACCACGCCAGGGGACAGATGAACCCAAAGCAGAAGGAGTATACTTGGATGTTCCGGCGTCCGAACATTGGCTCATTGCGCGAGTCCAGCGATGGCGCCCGCCACCGACTGCTTGAGTGCTGCACGACTCGTCGGTCATGGACGAGGTGTGGTGACCAGCTGTGACGTAGTCGGTGCAGGTGGCTCCCTGTGAACTCGCCGTCTTCGGGTTGTGGTGATGGAACCCAGTGTGCGCGTGGATCGCGCGGGTCACTTTCCAGACGGCGTTGGGGGGCGCGTGAGCGTGAGGCTGGCACAGGGTGCTCGGGGGATGGAGGACGGTCGGGGGAGCGAGGTCGGGGGACGTTAAGGGGGCCCGGGACGAGGTTGAAGACGCTTGAGTTGGCTGTTCCAGGGCGAGCAGATGATGGACGGCTGGCATCGATCATGGAGAGGGTTGAACTTAGGCCCATTGGCTCGCGCAGATAGTAGACCTTGGCCCAGGTAGGCAGGATGCTGAGGATGGTGCTGGATCCGGTGCCTGGGCGTTGTAGACTCCGGGAGCTGTTGCTGCGCTTTGAGCCGGAAGAAAGGCTCTGGGCGAACACTGGGCGGCTGGGAAGCTTGGTGAGACTGTCCAGGCGCTCATCTTCACTGTCATTGGAGGAGTCAACGAGCCAGACGGAAGATCTGGTCGTTTCAGTCTGCAACGCCGCTGGTGGGGGCGGTGTTGGCTCTGCCATTTCGCGGTCTGAATCTGTCTCTGCTTGAGCAGAGAGATTGGCTAATTCATCAGCGGACCAGATGGATGAGACTGTTGACAAGTGCGGGTTCCAGCGACCAGATGCCAGGTGAGGGTTGGTACGTCCAGAGGCGGGTCCAGAAGTGAACCCGCGCTCTGAGGCTGAAGTATCAGCTTCGGAGCTCGATGGTGAAGCCCAATGGCCAGATGCGAGATGAGGATTGCAACGACCAGAAGCGGAACCCGGGGTAAAGTCACGCTCTGATGAAACCGACGTGCCTGCGCGGGAGCTGGAAGACGATGGCGCGCGAATACGCGGGTATTGGACAGGCACTCCGCTGTCAATGGCTGCCTGCAAGTCAGATGCAGAGCGAAGGCTGCGCGAGGAAGACGTCGCAGATCGGGAGTAGTTGCCTGATGGGACTCTCGATGATGAGCGAAACGATGCGACAGATTGCGCAGGCGGACTAGAGTGAAAAGACAGGCTCTGGTAGCTCGATCGATCTGATGAGGCTGGTTGGAAGGCGTTGTGGAACCAGGGTGCAGCACCGGCGTGTCTCACAACGGTGCCTCGTGAATTATACGAAGACAGCGAGTTCGTTCGCGGGTCAGACTCTGAGGATGCTGTCCCCGGACGAGGGAAACTTATGCTCGAGTTATTCAGCAAAACAAAATTGGGACTTGAGGGACTCTCCATTTGTTCCAGACTGGGGCTGGAGTATCCAGCTGCCGAGTCAGAATCGTCGGATGACTTTACTGATGTGGGCGGGTCAGACAGCACTGCTTTGATTGTTGGTGTGGCCGTGGGCAAAACCATCATCTCGTCATCTGAGAACTCGGGTTCTGAACTTTCGAATCCATAGTTTGGGGCCTTTCCCGAAGCGATATCTGGCAATGATGACTTGCTAGAGGATGGGTCATCATCCCACATCTGCGGGGGTGAATTGCCGGTCTCACCGGTAGAGGATACACCCCAACTCTCGCCAATTGAGTGATCTCTCGGGCTGTTCAGGGAAACCTGGCTGAAAGCCGATGGAGAATACGTTGACGTAGAGGGTCCCAAATGGGGATCTGAATAGCTGAAGCCGATGTCTGAGATATACTCCTGCTGTCCTTTACCGGGAAGCGGTAGTAGAATCTGCTCGGGTTTGGTCGGAAATGGTGTCGCATTATACATATCCACCTCTTCGTCGGGGACCATGCGCAATGAGCGGGTCGGTGATCTTTCATTTGTGTGAGACGGGGTACGCTCGTGCAATGCCCTCCGGGCATGCGGCGATGTTGACCGAGCGGGAGCGGACATTGTCTGAGAGACACACTTAGGGCATCTAAAAAGGAAGAAATTGAATCAAGGCAAAAGGCGCGGTTGTCAAAACGCGGAACGTGGGGCAAAAAGCAAGATCGGATTGAAAGATTGACGATTGTTTTGGCTTTTCAGAATCGAAATGACGATTTGGGGGTAAGGAATGTGGTACCCTGTCGGAGTTGAGATCTCGATTCAGGGTGATTCTATAGGCTGACGTTCATCTAAAAAAGAGTGTGGGTGGACGATCAGGCTGTCGTCGGGGGATTAGTTAGTTTCAAAACATCCAAAGCGATCAAAAGAGAGAAAAGACAAGCATTAAAGCGTTTCAAACGCCAAACAAATGAACAAGAGCGCGCAGAATATGAGACAGTGAGGGAAGGGGGAAGGAATTCGGTTGCCCCCAACGGTAAGATGTTCGGCGACTATCACCGAATCCAGACTCCAGGGGGTTGAGATGCAGCCTGCATGGGACTTTTGGCCCTCGGCTCCAAACGATTGGTTCAAAGGCGCCAGGCGTTTCTGCGCGTGGTGACCGGGGTTCTTTTGTTCTTTTCTTTCGATTTTGCTACGTGTGTCGAGCTCCATGGTCAACGTCCTCCACGGTCTAATCTACACCTGCATGCATACTCCGTACCAGTCCAATCAATTCCATACTCAAATGGGGCTCCTGGCCATGATTCCACGATTTAAAACGGGGCTTTCTCCCACACCTGTGTGCAGTGGAGCCCAGTGTGCGTTGTCGACTAAAGTTAGTTCCTCGTAGCGCCTGTATGTCTGACGGGGCCCTGGCAGAACACTAATGAGATGCTGCCAATAAATGGTTCCTGCAGCATGTTGTACGCCGTTGGTCCAATTCGTGCGCATCGGAGGATTTCCATCCACGGTCCCCTCGCATTGACTCACTGAAATGACAATGTCGGCAGGGGATGAGAGATCACATTCTGGATCGGCACGGTCCACCGGTTCGAATCAGGTTTTCGACTGTTTCTCAAGGTCCGAAGTCCATTCGAACCCGGTAGTTCTCTCAAAGTGAACACCAATCCAATGACCTGAGTCAAGTGAAAACATCGAAAGAGGACCGAAGACCGAGGAGAGAAGCAGAGAAGAAGAGAAGAGAGCGGAGAAGACAACAATGGTCAACGATGCCCATCCGTGGTGCGCGCCGTACCATACTGTATTGTATTGCCGCCAGCCAATCACCATGCCCTCCCCGCGTATGGTATCGGTAACAAAGAACCTGACTGGGCATCTGGAACCTCAAAGAAGGCCTTTTTCCATAAATAAAGCATCAAACGCCCACCTCTGCAAAGCAGATCATGGCACCAGTTGGGCTAATGGCTCGTCTCAAGAGTCTGTACTCGAAGCAACAGGGTATGTGGGGGAAACAACGGTAAAAGAGTGTCAGCTAACCAACCCCCAGATGAACCTGCGCTGTCTGACCAGACGGTCTTCTTTTTGTCTGTATGTAGAGCCTCATTCCCTAGAGATACTCCAGAAAACAAGAAAAGAAAAGAAGAAACAATCTCCCCTGGTACTTCGAATCTGACTTACTATCCAGATCCTACTAACACTACTCTACGTGGTGCCATTTTATCTCTCCCCAACTACCCGCCCATCCCCCAGTCTCAGCCGCGATGCCCCATCCGTCATTCGCGCGCGTATCCGCGCCGTGACAGGCTCTTGTATCGCGAGCTCTGTGGTTGTCCTCTGGCTCATCGTTGGAGAGGGGAATTCCTCTCTCGGTGCAGGTATCAGGCTCCTCGGCTGGTGGCCTGTTGGCCTGCTGGAGACCATCCGCAGTCTGCTCCTAACGGCGATCCTATTCACGGGGCCGCTCTTTGAGCGCGGCATCGTCGAGGGCGAGTGGAAGTTCTGGTTCCGTCGTAGTAAGCTATCTGAAAGTCTCGGCGGTTGGATTGGCTGGCGAAATTATGTGGCCGTAAGCACTTTCTTTTCCTTTTTGTTTCCACCCTGCTCTTTCCCTTTTCCAAAAACAGCCAGTCTAATATCTTCAAGGGCCCCTTTACCGAGGAGGTGATGTTCCGCTCAGCGATTGTGCCGCTGCATCTGCTATCGAACACCTCGCCCGGGCGGACCGTGTTCATTGCGCCGTTGTACTTCGGCATCGCGCACATTCACCACTTCTATGAGTTCCGTCTGACGCACCCAGACACGCCAGGTTTGATGGCTTTGTTGCGGTCACTTTTCCAATTCGGCTACACGACCGTCTTCGGTTGGTATGCAACTTTCGTCTACCTACGCACGGGCTCCTTACTTTCTGTGGTTGTCATCCACAGTTTCTGCAATTGGTGCGGACTGCCTCGTCTCTGGGGCCGGGTTGAGACTGGTGAGTTCATTAGTCCCCCGATGACTCGGAGCAAAGAGGACTCTGCTGGTGGTGTCAGGTTTGGTCGTGGTAGATTGCATATTGGATGGACTGTTGCTTATTATCTGCTTCTTGTGGCTGGGGCACTTGGTTTTGCTCAAGGTTTGTGGCCTTTGACTGAGTCTTATAATGCTCTGGTTTCCTTTTCGGAGAATTCGGCTTAAATACTGCATGTACCATGAGTCTATGAGTCTGGGCTTGATGGTCCCCTTTTGGCTTGCTTTACTTGAGCGTTTTCTTTTCTGGTTTATTCCTGTTGGCACTGTGTTGATATCGTGTGCGTGGACCAGGGCCTTATGGAGTACGATTCCCTGTTCGGCGAGTCAACAGAGAAGCCTCGAGAAAGATATATTCCTCGGTTACAGTGAACATATTTAGTCAGTGTCTCTACACAGAGCTCAAACACGTTACGACCTTCCGACTTTTGTAGGAAAGTGCCCTATAGGTGTATTGCACCAAACTACGGGTCAATTATACATCAGACTTCGTGAATGTGTTCACTTGCACCTATCTTCTGCCGCTTACTCATACATACGCTGATCTGTGCCCACATGGGTAATGACTACCTGTTTAGGTAGTTTCACTAAGCGCTTAGTCTGTCGCCCATAAACCGGGGGCCAAAATGTACCTTGATTCCTTAACCCGCTCCTGACGAGCCAACCGCGCTCAGCTCACGCGTTTCATTCTCTTCTGACGATCACGATGTCCTCAGATGACATCCAGGGGTACCCTATCCGCCGAAACAACTCCTGCAGCACGGGAGAATCAGCATGCGGTCGTACGTGGGGAACATTTCATGCCTGCTGTCCCGAAGGCGCTCAATGTCTTGATTCACAAGCCGACAAGATCAGGAATTTCATCTGCTGTCCTAATTCTCTGAACTGCTCATCTGTTCTCGCGGACGCCCCAACTTGCGCCGACACAACGTGGGATCTTTACAATTCGACCGGCTATTTCTGTTGCGAACCCAAACATCCCGGGTTTGATGTTCAAGACACTGTTTCGGTTGGTTGTCTTGATCCCGGTACTCCGCGCAACGAATCATATAATGCATTGAAAGCCAGTTCTATCGGTGCGTGGTCATATTAGTTTTATACTGTTGCGATAACTCATGGAGATTTGCTTAGGTACTCCTCTCACGACTTTGACATCCATATCCGCCAGTACCTCTAGATCTTCCAGTACCTCTTTATCCTCCAGTATACCCACATCATCTTCGGACAGCTCATCATCAACAAATACTGGAGCTATAGCCGGTGGTGTTGTCGGCGGTGTCGTTGGCGCAGCCATACTTGGTACAGCTATATTTTTCCTAATTCGGCGCCGGAAACGCCAGCAGTCACAGCAGAAATTTGAGCCTCAGACGCCTCATCCAGCATTGCCTGCATATCCGCTTGAAAAAGACGCCAATCAACCGAAAGAGCTAGGTGATGGACGCCCCCGGGTGGAGTTATCGAGTACCGGAAGCCACTCAATTACAGATCGTCATGAGCTACCGACCACCAATTGATTATGCAGTGACCTGTTGAGGAAGGACGGAGATTGTGGTGTGGATTATCAACCACATATATACCGGATAATGCCTGGCACTCAAGACCTTTCCCTTTCCGTTTTAGTGCTCACGGATGTTACTCTCCGTCAGGGGATGATGCACTTGGCCCTGTGCTCACTCATAAACCCTCGCCCTGGCCCTGGGTTGCGAGGTGTTTGGACTGTTAATACCTAGTTCTGGGGTTTATGTTTGCTTTATATGTTTTTCTCAATGTGAATCATATTGTCCGCACATCATCTGTGCCCGACGATCGAAACAAGGATTTGCAAAGTAACATAAAGCCAATGTAGCTATACTAAATATGTCTGGTCGCCAGACTAGCAAGATCTGACCTGATTATATGACAATGGCCAAATTGATGACTTTATTACCAGAGGTGTATATAGTACCTATTGTCTAGCGAAAACCTTTAGTAATTACTCGGTACGTGATAAGCGAAGAAGCCGAGCATCATACTATAAGTAATATAACTAGCTAGGATTATAAAGTTTTCCTATTTAACTCATGTATATCACGAGGTGACCGATATTTACACTAAATGTAATGCTATAGCACTCCCGCCGCAGCACTACAGCACAGGACCGAGGATCTAGTGCTACGACCGGACTATCTCTGCAGCACCAGTGCTGTGGAACTTGTCAAGGCCTACTAACTACATGTATGTAGTGAAGTGGTCAGCTCTCGGTAGCCTATTCGTGAGTTATCGCCCCGCACCTGATTTGGCTAGTATGTCCGTAACCTTAAATTGCGGTATGTACCTATTGATATTTGTAATTATTTTTATGGGTGGCATTATTAAGAACGCATAGGTGTGATGTATACCTTCTATAAGATATTTGTGCCTCGCACAGCTGCTATTCGGATCGACTGGAGTGGATACTGCTCTCACCAGTGCTGTCGTGTCTCTGTATAGTGTCAGGCAAGCTCTTAGTACTTTCGATGCAGGCCATTCGGTCAGTAAGCATAGTAGACGATGGACTATTTGCGACGATATGGTGAACGGGAGCAAAGAAGGAAATAAACAACGAAGAAGACCAATAGCGATAGAGGATAAAGGAATAAAAGAAATAAATAGACCTATAGGAATAAAGAAACAATGGAACAAAGCAAAACCAGACGAGTAGGAATACCACATGCCCAAAATAAAGTTCATCATTCTCTTGCATCACTTAGCTATCAAGTTTCTCCCTCTTCGCCATGCCATCATTTTGTTTCCGTACCCTGCTCCTTCAATTTTATCAATCGAAATGACTTCGCAGCATTCCTGGTTCCTGGGCCCCGAACCCCGTAGTATTGTCTTCGATGCCCCTACGCCCTCTACCTGGATTGTCCTCAAGCGCGTTAATGAACACGAGCACCGAAAGGATCCCGACCACTCCGCTGTCTCTTATGCCTCCGTTAAGTACCAGTGCAAGAAACACGGAGATCCTAGCAGAATCGCGTTCGTTAGGATCTATAAGCAACTGCCCCACCTTGGCACAGAGGTTGACGATTATGCTACCCGCGCTAAGCAAGCTAGGGCGTGGACTCCGCCCGAGCTCGTAGCATACAAGACTCTTACCGATAAACAGTCGAAGGTCACCCCCCGCCTCCTAGGATATAGGGAAGAGGAACAAGAGAGCTCTGCTCTTGTACCTGCTGGCTTCCTGGTCTCGTTTGCGTGGGAGCAAGTGCCTGGTGTTCAGCTAGGGGATAGTCTTGGCGCAAGGGTCTTCTGGAATATGAGTGATGGTCAACGCCACAATATTCGGGAAGCTTTTAAGAACAAGACAATCCGGTTGAGTTAACGCCTCTATTCTAGGTTACCTATAATATATGTGTACTAACATCGACCCCTTTTAGTGAGACTGAAACTATTGGCTTTCGCCCTTTGTTCTCTGGTCCCTCGCATTTAGTTTGGGATTCCGCCTCCGGTAATCTGTACGACCGTCCTTAGCAGTTGCACTGTGCTTGCTCCAAAGGGATTTACTAATTTATAGCCTATAGTTTTATGGTCGGCTTCCGTCAGTGGATTGAGGTTAAGCCAACACTCTGGAGTGAGGCAAAGTCCTACTGGTTCGACCTAGCTAAGCCACCCAAAAAGGTCAACTGGTCTGAATGGGCTAACAACCCTGATACTTCTAATTGGGAGTTTTAGATGGCCTATTTTCTTTGCTTATGGGGCTTTGCTGCTCTGGAGACAATCCAATAAATTCAAATCCTGAATTTGTGACCATCTAGACTTATAAGGTGTCGAAATATGATAGTATTCAGAGTGTAAAGCAAGGTATGGTAAGATCAATGAACATGCATAACTAGCTGACAGAAATCTGACTGTACGACAATTTATGGTATAAACGGCAGATATGGATGACTCTAACTATGTATGTGTCTTTTCTACTTTAGTTTTTCCCTTCCACCCTCAATTTCTACCCACATGAATGGCCCTACGGTTCTGTCAAAGCGGAAGAGGAAAAGATCTATAAATTTGATTCCAGCAAGGGCTATAGGCAGAGAGCTGCTATAGTTTTTACATCAGGAGCGGATGCCTTCGGTAAGGCCTTGGTCAATCTAGGCCATATAAGTGGCTATACGCTGAATATCACTGTTCGAGCGTGTCGAAGATGGGCTTTACAGGAAGTAGATACGGATTTATTACCAGCATATGCCCAGAGTGACTGATGATAAAATAGATAAGACGTATTCCGAGTCTGCAAGGATGAAGTTCGCTGGGCAAGCCCGAGAGGGCTGCTTAGAGCCTGCCCTGGGATAGCAGCGGCTTGGCTGGTGGAGGTCCAGGCCGCAAAGTAGAATAATAAAAGCAATAGAAAGGACAGTGATGACCTTATGATAGGCTGGTTTCGATTGAAGTAGATGGAGTAAGATGTAGGCAAGGAGACTGTGAGGAAGACCGCGAAGAGTTTCAGGAAATCATGGCCATTACACTATTATAGAAACAGCCGTATACAGGGGGATTCCTAAAAGGCTGATACAGGAACAGAGACAAGTACAACTATCAACGTGCCCACTCAGTCTTTACTTTTCTCTCTTCCGCCTAGACAGATATCTAAAATTCCCTCATCCTTAATCTCCATGGCCCAGTCGACCGCGGTCTTCCCATCCGAGTCCTTGGCCATGGGATCTGCGTGAAATCTCTGCTGCAACAGCCTGGTCATCCTCTCATCTCTCCGTCGAATAGCCAAATGAAGGACAGGCCCCGGAGAGAGACCCCTCTCCTGCCCCACCGGCTGAACAGCATTAATATCGACCAGCTTCCTCTTCTCCACCAAGAGAGCTATCATATCAGTACGGTGATTGCGCACAGCCGCGAATAGTACACCTGTACCTTTCAAAGCTGCTCCGTGATCCACTAGTAGTTCCATCATATCACAGGATCCGATCGCCGCCACCACAGCTACTGCCGGCCGATGATTGATCTGGCACTGTGTAGGATCCGCGCCGTTGGCGAGGAGGAAACTAACCAGGGGGAAATTGTTTCCTAGAACGGCCCAGGCAAGAGGAGGACCCATATGGCCTAGATACATAGTGCATAGCGACGGATCATGCCGGAAGAGTAGCTTAAAGGCCGGGACTCGTTCAGGACTAAGCGAATCGAGGATGACTATACGGTCCAGATTTGCTAGTGGTGTCTTCCGGCCGGTTTCATCATGTGGGAACAATCGAGGAAGAAGATATTCGAGCACTTCTAGCTGCATCGTTTGAATTGCGGCCTGGAGGATGGCGGTGGAAGGAAGGTGGTGCTGTTGTATCGCCGTCTCAATAGCCGGAATCAAGTCGGTGAGATTGCCGTCTTTAACGAGGGAAATGATTCTTTCGTGTATTGTATTAGCCATTGTGTATTTGGAATTTTTCTATTTCCGATCCAAGAGAGGCGTCTAGGAAGGGAGATGTTCAGGCTAAAAGAAACAAATCCCAGTACGGAGTAGTTCGGTAGCACATCTTAACTAGGTGGTACTCCGTAGGTAGTTCCCCCTGCACCGTCGAATCAATCATACCTTTTGTCTGTCCTCCTTGCCCTATTTGAATGATAGCAATTTCGCTAAGAGGTGTGCTGTTTTCAGGACTGGTCGCTTGCATTAGCTCTCAGCCAACACTAGGCCTAACCGAAAGGGTTGGAGACAAATATCGGAAGGTCTCGAAGCGCCAAAATGACAAGCCGTTTTAGTGTACATCTAGTGTTTTCACACGAGATATTGTGCCTGAGGATTCGCTCTTCGATCTATGTTATCAACCTACAAGAACGATTGCCACAAGATATGAAGCATCGCGCTTCCCTCTGAGCCGGGAAGTCAGAATTGATCAATTTCCCTGTTAAATATCATTGGGAGCTCTCTTAGCCATACCTGCTGAGAGACAGGACCAGACTCTACGCTACGAAGAGAGAGAGAGAGACTGGAAACCCCTGTGTTCGTCTGCGAGAGAGAAGAAGGGAAGGAAAGTATCTAGGAGAAAGAGCTTCTTATAGCACGGCGAGGAAGGAGGAGTTACCTAACTCTAAACAAGCACAAAGCTCTCAACCCTAGTCCGCGATCCCTAATCATTTCCTAAGTCCGTTTATAGTTTAATATTAGGCCCACTAACATCGTAGTATAGACTGGTTAGATCGTCGAATGGCACCCAAAGCTACATATCTATAAGACAGTTTGTGATATAAGAGCATACCAGTCCCTGTTAGATTATCACCTAAAATTGTTAAGCGCCCACAGATCCGGCTAGCTATACAGCATTATAGCTCAGGTTTTCCGCTCCATCGGCAAACCTAGGCCAAAGGATCACATCAGCGCGTTCAGGGACGTGCAGGATATTCAGGTGTAGAATGGTGGTATTCAGGGTATTCCTGTGAATGGGCTGAATGGACTGAAGAGTAGGGCGGCAAGAGGGGATTTCCTAACGAATCAAAAAAAGCAGCAAAACAAAAACATACAACAGTGAGGATTCGCTGGTGGTCACCCACCCAACTACTAACTCACCGGCGTGTGGCTTGAGTACGGCTGAGCGGACGGGAAGCCCTATTTTCCACACCCTATGGTCGTATGTATTAGGGGCTACACTAGCTGAAATCATATTATGAGTACTATGAGTGTATAGAAGGGGTTACAGAGTGCAGATTAGGGTGAGCTTACCTGTAAATTATGCCACGGCACTAAAATTTCAGCTAAGCCCTACCTACCTGGTAGCTATATAAATTACGGGGTTCTACAAGTACCGATCTTCAACGCCTTCCAAGGTTCTTTTAAAACATACCGCTGTTAGCACCTACAACACCTATTTTCAAAATACTCAGCCTCGCTCCCATAGCAAAGAATAGAACATAAAAGCAAAAACAAAAAACATACAACAGTGAGGATTCGCTGGTGGTCACCCACCCAACTACTAACTCACCGGCGTGTGGCTTAAGTACGGCTGAGCGGACGGGAAGCCCTGTTTTCCACACCCTATGGTCGTATGTGATTGTAGTTGCAAGAGGAAGAAATATAAGGTGCAATTGAGAAAAGCTTGTGAAGACGGGTAGCCTATTACCATCATTTCACCCGAAACTTCACACCTCTTCCATAAATAAGATGCTACCTCCGCTCGCAGTCGAACAGCCGGCGTTTCTGCGCCAACCCCCGTGGAACCACGGACGGCCTTGCCTTGGGGATGTGCGATCTGCGATCAGAAAGAGGACCTGAAAACCTGCACTGCCTGTGGGGTGTTATCTTACTGTGGCAGAGATCACCAGATCGAACATCGAAAAGAACACAAGGCGCTCTGTAATTTCGTGAAACAGACCCAAGCAGCAGTAGCAGCCATCAATGTTCAGTTGGGACCTCACCCTCAGGATCCCTCGCTTCCCGATGTGCGCCGCCTCTTTACGGCAGAGCCGATTGCAGCTGAGAGAAAAAATTACTTTGTCGCAATTTTTAACCTGCAGGAATGCATGGAGCGTGTTTACACGGAAAAAGCAGTGAGAGCAGCGCTCGCCCTGTCCAAGCTGACGATGCTCTACTATCCCGATAATTACCTCTCCGGTGGGTTGGTTTCAGCTCTCTGGATTCGACTTGACGAGGATGACGAGGTCTATGGATTCATCAAGTCCTGGTACCTTTGGGAGGAATCCGAAAACCACCCCCCGGGACAGATGGCACCCACACTCATTCAGAATCCCGATATCCTGGAGGATGTTGATTTCTATCTAGGTATAGAGGCCAGGTTTATGGATGGAACAGACACCATCACCTTCCTGCTCTGCTTGACTTTGTTGAAAATCAAAATTCTGCTCGATCTCAAGGATCTCCACCAAGCACGACAAGCCGCGGGACCGAAGGTGCCCCAGGAGGTACTGGACGAGATCCTGGCAAAGATTCCTCGAAGCTCGTCCATCCGGGCCAATCGCCGGATCATGAGCAATCCCGATCTGTCCGCCGAAATCGCAAGACTAGATACCCAAGTCGACGCCCTGTACATGAAGATTAACCAGACGAACTTCTTTTGGTGGCGAACTTTGGTCGATCGACCACTCGAGGCGATTCAGACGGTCGTTAACCGGTCGCATGGCGGTGCTCCAGCGGAATGCGGGAGTCCACTCGAGGCGGCCATCTGGATCACACAGAAATCCCAACGTTTCTGCTGGATTGAGACGCCAGGAGCTCTGGAGTTCCTGCGGCAGAAGAACTCCACCGTTCCCCTCCCCTTGTTGAGCGAGGCTTATCGGGTCTATGGCAGACGTGCAGAGGAGTTAGTTGCAGCTTTGTATAACCTCTAGTGACTGAATATGTATTTTATTCATTGGGCATAGCATACGACAGCCAAGTTTGTACTGTAGTGATAGCACCAATATACAACATAATTCGCGTGGAGTCCACTGGTGCGGTGGCCGTGCTTGATGTCTGGATTCTCACCCTGTCTACGGAGTATAGTGCTGAGTGTATGGAGTACTGTCGAGAAGGTTGGAATTCAAACTATTTCGACGCACATAAATCTCTATATTGTATATCTACCAGATCCTAGGTCGTTCGAACCCATTCCTAGGTACTACCCAAAATACCTACTCGTATTAACATTCACTCTCAGAAAGCCGGGGGTCTCCTCGAAATACCACATATAGAGCTATTCGGGCGATACGACCGTAGAAATGTCATATCCTCATCGGCCGGTCTAGCTTGAAGTATACATAGCCTTCAATAGTGACAAAGTACATAATAGCGACGGCTGAGAATAGTCGTTCAGCACGTTGTTCTGTAGCCTATATTGGCTCTGCAGGACCCTGCAGCCAAGCCCTAAGTGGGTCAAGGCGTTAAGCTCCGAATGCCCAATGCACAAAAAAGACATAAAAAAAGAAAAAGAGACAAAAAAAGAAATCTTGAGGTTTGTTTTTAGGAATAGCCGAACGCGGGGGTCGAACCCGCAGCCTTAAGATTAAGAGTCTTACGCTCTACCGATTGAGCTAGCCCGGCCGGGCTGTTGTAAACGGCTGCCCAAAAGTGTATTATTTAGGTCTATTGCTGGAGATGGGATTCCAAGGGTGCGCTTTTACTCGACTGTAGTCTTCGGATTCTGTTCTCATCTTTCGCCAAAAAGGGCAGACATAGACTAGAAAAGTGAAACAACCAGGAGACGAGAAACAAGAATGGTAAAGTTACGCTGCCACACCGTTCAGACCCATTTGGTTGGAGATATATATTTTTGGGCGACTTGTCTATTGAGACTCCCTGCTCTATGTTCGAACGTCGTCAGGGAAGAGTATTTCCTGCCAATCGACTATGCTCGATGAATCTCCTAGTGGGTTGTACCAGGCGCCGAGTCCTTTTCACTGCGAACATGCTGATTCTGGAAAGAGTGGCAAATCCCCCGAAAAGGCAAGGGATATCGTCAATCGAAGGTCATCCAATCAAACTGGAGCTTTCTGTATAGCATACGGGGAAAGTGCTATTCTACTCGCGGCGAAGCATCTCATATCTCCATATATTTTCAAGATAGGCGATGCAACCTAGATATTATCACAGGACTAGGGGTGCTTCGAGATACATCGCCGTCGAAAACTGTCACATATACTGGCCCTTGCTTCCTCCCCTTCCCAGCTCATCCTGCTCTCTACATGTCCGCTGGAACATGCCAAAACGAGTGTATACCCCCCGGACTCAGGCAACAGACGCTGTTTGCTCACCCCGAACGATTGTCCACAGTTGGAATACGACAAGGCTGTAAATGAGAGAGTCTGCCGAGAGAGGACGGCGTTTGAGTTCATTTTGTGCGTGCTGCGAGAATGCTAGACTCGTTGCAGGCAGGACCTTACGCCGTATGGATAACGTCCGAAGCACCGGAGCACCTGCAAATGAGATGTTCTATTCTCGAGTGCGGTGTGACCACTGGATCAGAATGGGGGTTGCACTTTCAGGCCCTGTCTCTTAAGCGGATTGTCAATTATCAAGACGGACATGTGGCATGGATGTGTGCATGGATGAATCAAAATCTGAGATATATCATTACTTGTTGTATCAAGCTCGGAAATTTGAAGGTTGGTTGCTCCGTCGTCAAAATGATTGTCTGTCCACTGCCAAACATTATTGGAATGCCCTGCTGGTGAATAAGCCCTCGATGTGGTCAAGTGCGGGTCTGGAATCGAGTGAATGTCACATCTACCAGTTATGGAAACTTATTCTTCAATAGTCGGATAGGGTTAATGGCAAGTTTAGACGGGAGAAATTATTTCCGAGTGTCGGAAATCAATCTAGAGTCATGCAATGATATGAAAATGCAGATATGCTAGCGCCCATGAAAGATCTTCTAAACTAATCCCACGATGATTTTCAAGATCCACCAGATGCAATTTGTCTATAACCAGCTCAAACCATTGCGGTTGGCTTTTGAAGATCAGTTGCATCTTCAGTTCTCCAAAGCGACGTCACAGTCTTCCACTGCGTGTAGAAACGGAGACCGTCCTTGCCGTAGAAGTTGAGCAGACCCGTTCCGGCAACACTACGCTTGTTACCGGTGAAAGAGAACATGGGAAGGGGAACGGGGATAGGGACGTTAATTCCAACTTGGCCGGACTCGACTCGCTTCTGGAAATGCGTCGCGCTGGATCCGGACTGGGTAAAGATGACTGCGCCGTTACCCCATTCGTTGCTGTTGATCAGATCAATCGCACCGTTGATCGTATCGGTCTCAATGCAAAGCAGGACAGGACCGAAGATTTCTTCTTTATAGCATTTCATCGCGGGTGTAACACCGGTGATGATGGTTGGGCCGACCTAAGAATCCATATGTTAGCACGAATGATGATGGTAATCCCCATCACACAAAGGAGACCCATACCCAATTTCCATTGGGGAAACCCTCTGGCTTATATTCACGGCCATCCAAGGCGATGGTAGCACCCTCCTTTTCAGCGCTCGTGATAAGATCTATGCAACGATCCCGACTCTGGGGTGTAATCAATGGACCAAGGTCAGAGCGCGCATTGAAACCGCTTCCTGCCTGGTATCCCTTGGCATTTTCAATCAACTCGGGGACCCATTCATGAGCTTTACCAACGGTAACCAAGACGCTAAGTGCCATGCAACGCTGACCTGCTGCTCCGAACGCGGCGCCGGCGATGGCACTCAACGCGTGCTTCTTATTACTATCTGGGAGAAGGGCTGCGTGGTTCTTGGCTCCCAGGTTTGCCTGGACACGCTTTCCATTTGCAGTACCACGGTCGTAGATGTATTCGCCAACCTTGTTTGAACCAACGAAGGAGATGGCCTTGATCTCCGGTGCATCCAGGATAAAGTCAACGGCGGGCTTTGATCCGTGAATCACGTTCACAACACCTGGGGGAAACCGGCTTTCTTGCAAAGTTCGGCGATGATCATAGTAGCTCCGGGTGCGCGCTCGGTCGGCTTCAAGATCATACAGTTACCAGTCACAATCGCGATGGGGAGACTCCACAGAGGGATCATGGCAGGGAAGTTGAATGGGCAAATGGCCGCGACGACTCCGAGAGGTAGACGGTAGGAGCGAGTCTCCATATCCTTGGCTACCTCGAGCACCTCGCCAGGAAGCTGCGTGGTGATTCCGCAAGCAGTTTCGCAGACCTGCAATCCGCGCAGAACGTCACCCTTGGCATCGGCCAGAGTCTTGCCCTGTTCTGTGACAATTGAAACTGCTAGGTTGTTCATGTTTTCGCGGACCAAGTTGGTCAACTTGAAGATCATTTCCTGTCGCTTCATGATGCTAGTGTCTCGCCAGGCGGGGAATGCATTCTGAGCTGCGATCACTGCGGCCTTGCACTCGTCGAGCGTCGATTCAGGGACTCGAGACACGACGTTGTTTGTTGCGGGATCGTGGACTTCAATCCATTTGGTAGTTTTGGAGCCAACTAGCTCGTTATCGATGAAGTTTTGGGCATCATAGACGGTATCGGCCTTGTCATGGCCGCCTTTATAGTTCAGGGTGAGGAGGGTCGTCTGGGAAGCCATGATGCAAGTAGAATGGAAAATGAGGATGCTCCAAGAGACCCTATGGCGAGGGGCTATTTAAACCAAGTGCGGGGAAGCAGAAGCAACTGGTCCACGATAGTCATGTTACGTCCTCGTGACCCCGCAGTTCTCGTGATATACTTACTACGTAGAGACCGCTGCTCACGAAGTTCCAAGGCCATGGAGCGTGGGATACAGGTGCTTATCTGCGATCTTAGTAAACCCTCAATGACTCGTTACCTATGTGTCCAGGGAGTTATCTCTCGGGTCTTGGCAAGATATGTGTGTCCGATGTCGTATCATGTTATCTGGACTTGGTGCCAGGACGGGGGAAAGCCGGTGGCCGATATAGCCCATTTTCCAATAGACGGCCATGGCCTCTTCTACGGTGTATTCGAAAGGCTGCGAATGATTGAGAAACACGATGTAAAGTACTAGGGAGTATAGACCCAATGGAGTCCCCAGCCCAATCAAAGCTGAGGTGTTTCTCGTGATCGTTCCTTCGTGCCTTTTCACAGGTTCTCTCGCTAGCTCCCCTTGATCAAAATCGAAAAAGACATTGTATTCATGAAAGTGCATATACCTATCCTTGTATCATGCAAAGAGATTTGTACAAGAGGTGGGTGTGGGGGGTATGCTACATGGTCATCATCGAATTAAGTTGGAAGACGCTATACAAGATCTATATCAAGCCTATCCACAGATCACAAGAGACAAGTGGACTAGACGGGAAGAGTCAAAAATCAAGATCATGAGTCGGTGGCATGAATAACACACAACTCTTTCGCATGCCAAATTCGTCGTCGCCGCACCACATCAGTGCCAAACGTATCCATGATACCGTCATCGTTGTAGCGGCGAGGATCAGACTTATCAGAGGATGCACTATCATCGGGAAAAGATGGACGCAGCAGGCGAGCTTCCTCTACACTTGCGCCAAACTCGTATTCGCCACGACAAAGAACCGTGACGCCGATGGAGGCGGTTTTGGATTCGCCACTTGGTAGGATGGGCAGCGCTTGTTGTAGCATTCCCGTCCAGACAAGGCGACGGGTTAAATCAAGGGCGACATTGTTTGGTTGATGCCGAAGGCTGGGTTGGAGTCGGAGAAGGGGATGAATGGGGCGGGAGGAACGGTTGTGGACAGTGACATGTAAAGTAAGGAGGTCGTCTGTCTTGACGCGGAAGCGTGAGCGGCCAGTCTGTTCTACTGCCGGGGAGGTCTCGGATGGAGATGATGGCGAGGTGAGAGAATATGTCATTTCGATATCCTCAAGACGCATGGCTTCAACCATACGGTTGTTCAGTCGGATATTTCGAAGGTCAATGGATCCCTCACGGCCTGTGGCGGTTTCCTTCCAACCTCCAAGAACTCTCTTGAGAAGCTCCTCCCGGAACCAGAAAGCTTCGCGCGAGGCTGCCTCGGCTTCAAAGGACAGTTTGTTGGCGCTGACGACGAATTGTCTCCGAGTGCCAGTGTTGATGACGGGTATAGAGGCATGGGGGTTGTCTAAGTAGACGCGGGGCAAAACCAGGACAAAACGACAGACCTGACCGGGTTGGAGCTCTCCATCAACAGAGTACTTGCCCTCAGAGTCATCCTTGGTTGGCGTCTGTGACGAGGGGCCTGCCATTGACTGTTCGCTAACATGGAGCCATACCGATAGAGGACTTGGCCATGCGTTGCGCAAGTCGAGCAGCACGACACAATGGTCGGGCCCATAAGCCCCGTTGCCGAGACGGGCGAGGACCTGCGAGAATGGATCGTTCTCAGTAGCGGAGAGCAACGCATCTGGCTTTTGTAGCGACTCGACGGATGGTTCAATATGGTTTTTCCAAGCAAAGTCGCCGCTGAATGGAAGAATTTCACAGCGAGCGACCTCCACGCTCGCATTCACGGTGACCGTCAATGGCACAAATAGTTGTCGAGTATAGAAGATATCGGGTAATTCACCTGGGGCAGCGCCAACGCAGGAGTAGTCGATCTGCACAGTTGTGTCCTGCAAGCCGGGCTTCCCGATAATATCAAGAGTAAAGTTTGCCTTTTGGCCGGCTCCAATCGAACAATCGCTGGGATCGTGCCCGTCTCGGCGCCACCGCAGAGCGGGCTTGGTAGCTAATTTGAGCTCCAGCTCGTAGATTTCGACGGCTAATAGATCTTTGTTGCTGAGTGCAGATTGTAGTTGCTTGGTAGTGGAGTCTTGGAAAGTGAATAGGACGAAGTCCACGGGACATGGAGAGGCATTTTGGAGTGTAATGTTAAAAGTTTTGACCTCACCTTCAAGGACCATCATCGCCGACTGTGATAGAGACATGGACTCAATCACAAGGGACGGTTGTTTGGCGATGACTTTAACCTCGCAAGTTGAGGTCTCAGGGCCCTTTTTGGCATCCACTTTGCCGTCTTTTGAGGTCGTCGAGCTCCAGGAGACAGGGCGCTCGGTAAGAGGCTTCTTTGCCCCTAGGCCTGTTCGTTTGAACTTGACCTCGGGTTCCGGCTTCCAAAATGTTTTGAAGATGGGGAATCTGCGCATTCGACAGTGTCGGACTTTCACAATACATCCTGTGATTTGAAGGCTGCCCTCTCCATGGGCAACTCCGAGTACGATGACACCTTGAATTGAGAGGGGAGCGATGACGATGTTCTCTGCCACTGCATCAAATGACACGCCACTGCTCTCTAGGCGCAGGTGTTCGATCTCAATCTCAAACTCGTAAGGGTTCTGAAGAGTTACTTGGAAAGACGCAGGTTCATCGGCCACAGCGAGCATTTCCAGTGCCTTGCTGTTAGGCTTGGCAAATGGATTGTATAGGAATGGATCCTTTTTCAACTTGTCGGAGCTCGTGGTTACCGCATCCAATTCTGTTTTAGACCGCCGAACAGGCTTTTTAGGGTCCGGCAGTGACAATAACTGGACATCACGCACTAGGAAGTCGTCCCAGTACTCTGCGACCATATCAGAGACACCTAGTCTAGTTCCTGCACCCACAGTGCGCTTAATGTTGTTCAACAGACGTATTTGTTCATCTTGTGGTAGATATGGTGGGGACCTGTATGCCGCACCAAGCATCATATCTCCTCGAATGGTTTGCAAAAGCTCAACCGTGAAACGTAAAACCCCGTTGAAGTCTGGAAGGGCTTCGCAGCAATTGATGCACGCTTTCAAAACGTCGATTTTCAAGTTCAAATCACCGTAACGATCCAGAACTACATGTCGGAATGCCCGCTCGGCAATACTCACAACCGAGTCATATTCAGTGTTCTGCTCAAGTCCACTCACGGCAGATGACTGGCTTTGTCTCTTCTCCCATTCATAGAAAGATGATGGTTGGACACCATAAATTTCTCCAATTGTCGCAAGAAGAAGCCGCACACTAGACTCCATGTTTCCGGAACCCGTGTCTAAAGCATTAACATCGAATGCAGTGTCGCTGAGAGACGCCAGGCCAGCAGCGGGATGGATACCCACCTCTGCAGCGCCAATCTTGCGTGCCTGGACTAGACTTGGTACCATAACAGTGAGAAGCTCACGCAGAATGAATGCCTTCTTTCTGGGTAGGTCAAGGATATTAAGAACGGCCACAACGCCAACAATGATGGGAACAGCATCAGTTGCTGGTAGGTCTGCACCAGGAGAAAGTGGCAGTGCCCGGTATAGGAAGTTGGCGATTTCGGACTTTCGGAGCAAAACAGTGCCCCGAGGAAGTTCCGGTTGCATCAGTGGAATCAGGGTTTCATTCATAACGATGTGTTTCAAAGCATTGTCATCCAAAGCACCGTCACGGACGCGAGCTGACACCATCAATCTTGCTAGTCGAATGACTGTCTCCGAGAACACTAACTGAGGAAGAGGTTCATCTGTGATATTGGCGGCGCGGGTATACAGATTCAAAATGTTGTTTGAGAGATCAGGCAAGAGATTGGCTAGATTGTGCAGAGAGATCACCCTATTGCCGGCGCTACTAGGGGTCATTGAGTCCCGGGAAGGTTTGGAAGATTTGTCCACCGCAGGGTACAGGACTGATGGAATCTAGTGAGCATGTAAGCATCTGTTGCAATCACAAGGAGGTTTGATGGTGTCTTTTGGCCATAACATACCTGGAAGTCCATGCCTGCCCATCCAAACATCAGCAGGCAAAGAAGAATTGTCTCAAGAGCTTTAGCATGCCATATGTAGTCACTGCTAGCTCGGGCATTGTTCGCCGCTTCGGTTAACTCCTTAAGGGCATCGGGCCACCTTCCTGCCTGCAGGAAAAGAGTCCCAATGACCACGCCGGCACGACCTTTGATCCGATTTTTGGTTCTATCTGTAGCACTCATGCCGCTTACAGACATTCGGTCACGGCTATGTTCTTTGGAGGATGCTATTGAAGGTGCTTTGCTGCCTGAGTTTGTACGACTGGACAGGTGGATTGCCCGGGTAATCTCATCAAAAGTCGTAGGAGTCTCATGATCACTAGGAGCCGGAGAGCTGGCATTAGAGGTCAATGGAGTGCCATCCTGAGTACCGTTTGGACTCGATGGTAGCTGAGCGGGGAGAGTCATGCGATTTAGAAGCCGATCCACTGGCCGTGGCCGCAATTCAGGATTGCGGTGCGGGCCCCAAGATGAGGCCTTGGGTGATTCGATTGATGGAATGCTTTGAATGGTTTTTGCAAACCCATCCAATTCAGAAAGCAAAACCGCCGTGATATCACATAAAACTGTTTTCATCGTAGTCGCTTTGGAAGCTTGCGGCGGAGGCACCCATAGAACATTGTCAGGTCCATTTGTGATCTTGTCTAGCCCTGGGTGGTCAAATACCACGAGTTGGTTCACCAAAGCGCGGGGGTTCCTTTCCTTCACCCCATTGAGCTCCTCCAATAGTTGATTGAGACCCTCCGGGGTTGGATGCTTCTGGTTTTCGCCGGTACTTTCAGGCATTTCGTTACCATCTGCGATTGCAATGATCACCAACGGCTCTCTATAGATCTCAAAAGGGAATAATTCGAGGTGCGAGGTTGGGGGGACCGAGAAGGATAGATCGTAAAGAATCAAGCCAGTAGGAAATGCTAGCGGCGAGAACATATCTAGAGGCACACAAGTTAGTTAACCAAGAATAAACACTAGAGGTTGAAACCAGGTGTAGGACATACTTCTGTTTGGCCGCGCATCGGGGCTTATATCCCCTAGTCGAACCACATTTTCCGCTTGTAGTCGCGCAGCGAAGCTCAAAAAGCGCGAGCGCTTGATTCTTCCAATGGGGAGAAGAAGGGCCCTGAGGCGCACGGGCGCAATTGGGGACAGAGGGTCAACACCCATCCTGTCGGTTGAGAACGATTAAGCAGGCGATTGACGATATTGAGCCCGCATCCACACTGGCAAGCTTTCGGGCGTCATGCGGTAGAGAGGACTGTAAGCCACGGAGCAAGAATCCAAGAAATTCAGCGCACTGAAATGACCTGCAAAGAAGACTTGCAAAGAAGATCTCCTAGCTAATTGCCAGTTCCGTTCCGCACTCCTGAGTCGAGTAACTCCGAACAACAAACGGCTCCACGATGATCTTGCTTAGGTAAGGCGGTGCATTAGTGGATGACGTGGTTCCCCGTAAGGATATGTACATGGAGTACTTCAACCCTCAGGTGAATTATGTGGCTGATAAGGTACCAGTACTTGAGTGGGTAAAGACGGTGAAGATTGGCAATTATACACCCGATAAGATAAGCCCAGTTTGAACTCCGCACTCTCCGACTACTTGCTCTCCTCTCCCCTAATATTTTGGGCTTGTTTTTGCTGTTTCGTTTATTTATCTTTTTTATATCTAGAGTCTACTCAGCGTTGTGTCTGTTTCTATTCCCAGCGTTTATCTCACCTTTCACGATCCATCCAAACGGTGCGTCCAAGTCCACGGCGGCCTAGACCACCGGCGATCCTGTTTGTTCAATCCTCGTCTGCTTTTATGCATTGAAATAGATGGGCCTATCATCTTTATCGAAACGCAAGATTTGGAAATAATCAAACATAACATACCGACACGACACGATGGCCATGCAAGTGGATTTCAACGCCTTGAAGGCACGGACTATGGGGTCTGGGGCCGATGAGGAAGCCGTGACAGTCGACACTCGAGGGTTGATCTCAAAAGTGCTTGCTCGGTATTCCGGCAAATGGTAAGAACTATGGGTTTCTTCATTACAGGGCGCAGAGGCTAATTTCAATCTCTCGGTGAACAGGACAGTTCTTCGAGAAATGATCCAAAATGCGGCCGATGCCTCTGCAACGAAAGTGACGATCAAATTTGAGACTCTTCCGTCGACTACAATACCTTCACCTTCATCAAATGATCCCACTGCACATCTGAAGCATACCATTACCAACCATACTCTTCGACGTCTTTTAATCTCAAACAACGGGGCTGCGTTCAGCGAAAAGGATTGGGCAAGACTGAAGCGGATTGCAGACGGAAATCCAGATGAAACAAAGATCGGCGCATTCGGGGTGGGTTTCTACAGTGTCTTCGATGATTGCGAGGAGCCGTTTGTGTCTTCCGGTAACCAAGCCATGGCCTTCTATTGGAAAGGGAATGCACTGTTTACCCGCCGACTGGATCTTGGGGAAGTCGCAAGTCAAGACACCACTTTTGTGTTGGATTATCGCAATGATTCCTCGCCCGTTCCCTCATTACTGCAGCTTTGTCAATTCTTGTCGAGCAGTTTGACATTTGTCTCCTTGCAAGAGATAGAACTATGGCTAGATGATTGGAATCTTTTGCGGCTATCAAAAAAGACCGCCCCCAGCGTTGACGTTCCGATACCAAGAGATATCGATACCAAGACTGCAGAAGGTTTGATGAAAATCGTTAACGTCACGCGAGAAATTGCCCAGGTCGACGCTTCATGGATGCGAATTGTTGAATGGAATCCCAACGCAAGCTTATTCCGCCTCGATAATCTTCGGGACACAACCAGCTCACTTCGAAGTTTCTTTTCCAAATTCACGCAAAGCACGCCAGAGAAACAATCTAGCCAGAACCCGGAACCTGAGCGGCAGGAAGATTCGAGCAACATGAATACCATGCTCACAGCATCGGTCTTTTTGCATATTAACACCGCATCGCTTCAACCCTCTATCAGTCGAGATTTGAGCCAAGAATTAGAACGAGCCACACGAAAGCCCCCGCCTAAGAAGGCAACCATTGCAATCCTGACTCCCTCCTATGACGCTAACTTGGCGACTGGAGCATCCTCGTCACAGTCAGAAATTCTTTCATCGATTCTACCCACAAAAGCCGGAAGAGTCTTCATTGGCTTTCCTACGGCGCAGACGACTGGCTTGAATGCTCATGTCTCTGCCCCATCTGTAATTCCTACAGTGGAGCGAGAGAGTATTGATTTAAACACTCGGTATATCAGTAAATGGAATCTTGAAATGTTGCGGGCAGTTGGTATCGTCTGCCGAATTGCTTGGTCTGCAGAGATGGCTACAATCAAGTCTAAACTCGCTTCAAAAGTTGGGCCGTCACGTTCGCTCAAGATCCGGAAAGAGGACATTGTTGATGTCCTGCCAGAGGCTATTCACACTGCAAACCAGTTTGTGTTCCGTGAATCTACCCCATCTTCAATTTTGGGGCAAACAATTGAAGATGCATTCTGGATGTGCAACAAGAATGCCTCGATCGAGGTCCTTTCTACCTGTGGTGTCATTCCCAGTCATCAAACACGTATCGCACCCAAGGATTTGAGTTTCATGGATTCAATTCCTGCCCTGCCTGAAGAATTTGTGCAAGGCTCCAAAGACTTTGTCAAAAGGCTCACGGATTTCGGATTGGTCACGGAAATCACAGTATCCGACATCAAGCGCGAATTGGAGTCTAACACTTTGCGTTCCAACCAAGTCCTTGAATTTATCTCATGGCTTGGACGCAAAACTGTGGTCGGCCAGCTTGATAAGTCATCGGTTCAAAGTCTACTGCGTGTAGCAGTGGCTAATGACGAGGACAAACAGGGAGTTCCCACTCGCTTGCTGATCTTTGCGGAGATTAACTGTTTCCTGAATCCTCAGCGCATTCCAGCAGATTTACCTGTACCGCCAAGTGTGATACCTTTCAGGTTCACCAAGTCTTTGGACAAGCAACACCTGGAAGCGCTTGGCTGGACCGAGCTGCAAATTGTTCCTTGGCTTCGCTGGATCATCAGCAATTCCGGGGACCGCAATATTTTCCCAGCAGAGCAAGACATCACGCAGTCGGCGGTTTTTTCGGGTCAGGTTATGCCTGTTCTATCAAAGCAATGGGAGGTCTTGAGCCAAGCATCGAAGCAAAGTGTTGTCGCAATACTTCAACCTCAGACTGTGATACCCACAAAGCTCGGGATGAAGCAGCCTGCGCAGACATATTTTGCTTCTGTGCGCCTTTTTGACGACCTACCCGTGGTTCACGGTCTGAACGGGGTAAAGGAGAAAATCCTGGTTTCACTTGGCGTTCGTAAAACTGTGGAGCTTGGTGTGATCTTTGATCGCTTGATCAACACCCCAACTTCGAGTGACGAGAAAGGTCCTACACCTAGGAAATGGAATCACGTTGACCTCATCAGATATCTCGCCTCTGTAAGAGATGATATCCCTACTAATGATATTCAGAGGCTCAAGGGGGCCAGCATTTGTACTGCAGAAAGTGGAAGTGGCTCGGAAAACACACGTTACAAGATTTGTGAGCTTTATGAGCCCAAGGATGCATTGCGAGCTCTTGGGTTACCGATCATCGAATGGCCAGGCATCTATACCAGCAACAGCAATGAGGGCAAATTCCTCACGATGATGGGGCTCAAGAGTTACCCATCGGCGGTGGAACTGGTACACCTCATGTCTGCCGGCAGCACGGAGAAAGATAGCCGAGCAAGCAAGGCTCTCTCATACTTCCTTGGCGAGTATCACTCGAATGGGTATGTCTCGTTTGAGATTAGTGCGGTCACAGTTCCATTTCTTCCCATCGAAGGATCCGATAGTCTAAGCGTACCGAAGAAGTGCTTTACTGATGAAGGTGCGGCCTTGTTCGGTTTCAAGCTTCTCAGGCAGAATCTTCACTCCCATGCCTCCAGGCTGGGAGTCAGGCCTCATCCTCCCATGACGGACTGCCTGCAAGTTCTTTCAAAACAGCCTCCAACTACCCAAAGGGATGCTCGGATTATGTTCAAGTATCTCGCAGGACGAGTAGCCGATCTGAGCCAGCACGATATTGCCCGCATTGGTCAGGCTCCAATCATCCCAATCCATACCCGCGACCAATCAGAGAAGGAACCTAAAGTTCGACTTGTGGCCCCCAGGCTATGCTATCTTGGAGAGGGGGAGGACTACAAGGACATATTTGACTTCGTTAACTTTGGCCCGGAGGCAAATCTTTTCCTCATGGCCATCGGATCGAAACGAGAACCCACCAAGATCGAAATTGCACGGATGCTGGTCAAAGAGCCAGCTCGCATCTCCGCTGCATTCCAAAGCTCGGAGAAGTACCTGATGCTCCTCAGGACTCTCGCGGAGCATCTCTCAGTGCTGAAGAAGGACAAGGATCTTTTTGTTGAAATGAAGAAGGCGAGATTCCTTCTTGCCAGCCGTGACATTCCACCTAGTGCGTCAGACCATAATGCCAAAAAGTCGTCCGGGAAGGAGCTTCATGATGAGGATGATGATATGAATATCAAAGAATGGAGTCTCGCCTCCGCCAAGGAGATTGTCGTGGTAGACGATTTCCAAAGTTTCAATCTTTTCAAAGAACATATCTTGGCCGCGCCACAAGAAGAATCATTGGAAGATTTTTACGCTGCCCTTGGGGCTATTCCTTTGAGCAGACTTGTTGAAGAACAAGCGCGATTTGGCAGCATCGCTTCCGATCAAACCCCCGCACACAAATTGGAGAAGCTGATTCTCGAACGTGCGCGACTTTTCTTGCATGACCAACCCACAGATTCCGTTCTACATGGGACTCGATGGTTGGAGCATTCTTTCAAAGTCCAGGTCGTGACATCAATAAGTCTTACGAGATCCTTAAAAGGACGACGGGTGGCGCATACGCAGAAGCGAAACGCAATTGTTGCACGCCTAAACTCCACCTGGGGCATGTGTATCTGTCCAGGACGATACGATCTGTACGAGATCAGTCAATCCTTGGTGCATTTGATCTTGAAGCGACCAAAGCTGCATTCTACTCTCACTCTAGAGATGCTGTTGAAGACGGATCTCTTGGAACTCCGCGCTCGAGGTTATAATGTGGAGCGTATCCTGAGGCAAAAGGCCCAAGAAGCTCGAATTGCAGAAGATAAGCGTCAAAAACAGCTCGAGGAGGAGAGACGTGTCTTGCAGGAGAGAGAAGCTGCCTGGGCGGCTGGTCAAGCCCAGCGTGACTCCCAGCAGGCTGAAGAAGAGAGGTCCCAGGCACAGACACAAAATGCGATGCCCGGGGTTTTCCCCGAGTCACCCAAAAATAACAAGACGTTGCCAGAAGAGGCACATGCCGTTCCACCTGAGCCTATGCCAGAGCGACCAAGTCGTGGGTTGTTTGCCAATCTGTCGAAACGATTCGGCTTGGATGGTGGGAAGTCTAGCTCGAACTCGGCCTCTGATGGACAATCTCGATCTTTGCTTCCCGAGTCCTCTACGCCTCCACCACCGCCTTACTCCCCGAACGATCCCCAGACACAGCAAACGCGCTCGGAGCAACCTGTGAACGCCAACTCGCCTCACCGATTGAACTCAGAGCTTCTCTCCGCTGTGCAAGCGTGTCGAGCCCACGGATCCTCTGATGTGTACAGTCGCCCAGAAACAAACCAAATCCAGAAGAGCGAGTCCTACTGCGACGAACGACCAAGTCATGACTTGGAGTTTGTCGCTACGCTTCCCAGTAGTGGCATGAATGTTCTGTTCACGAAAACAGTCACCGAGAGGTCTGCTTTCCTCGCACGAAACCGTGTCGGGTTCAACCTTTTCTCTTCGATTCTCCTTGATTGTGGCTCAATCTTCTCGATGCGGTCTGACAGTCTGAGCATCTTCTATGATCCGGGCGGCAAAACAATTGCCTTCAATCGCGCGGGTAGTATCTTCTGCAACTACTGGTATTTCCAATCATTGCAGGAACCCGAGCTACTCCAGAGCACCAGCCCGGATCGCACTGAGGCCATTGTATATTGGTGGGTGATTCTGTGCCATGAGCTGGCGCACAACTTGGTTGGGGATCACAGCTCGGCACACAGTTTCTACACCGAGGGCTTTGTGGCCCAGTATTTCCCTAAGGTTGCGGTCAAGCTTGCTTCGCTGCAGACACCAACGCAACCACCTCCGCCTGGACAGTGATGGTTTGCAATGTCGAATACCCCATAGCTGTGCAATTTTATTTAGATGTACCAGATAGCGAAATTTCTAACCTTTGGCCGAGTCCCTTTGTAAACAGACAACATGGCTAAAGGAGCTGGCGTACAGTGGGGGGAACATTCCAGGGGGAAACGGTTCTCTCCGATGCCCCTCTTAGGGCATCCCACCTCATTGATCTCCTTTGGCTCCCCACCATATCAATCTGGAAATTGGCTATAATCAGGAATCTGTCTCACTGAAGAGGTGAAATCCAACTGGGATATAAAATCACGATGACCCCTCGCCACTCGGTGGAGTCATTCCGTTAGTACCCGCTTTTGACCTTTTCCAACGCCAACCTTAATTTTTCTTCTCGACTTCACCACAATGCATTGTTAGCTCCTGTGCCTCTCTGGCTCCTGTACACTGGTGTATGGCGTGATATTGATCTCTCAAAGCCTCTCCCAATTGCCCTCACTGGGAGCATCCCGCATATTGCCACTTCTTGGTCCCGCTCCATCAGATAAGCGGCGAATTCTAGGTCCAAGTCGAGGCCTCAAGAACTGGAGACCCTAGGATGGGGATGACCTTCTCTTTCTTCTGCCACGATTGATCTCAGTTTCTACTACGGGATCGTTGAAAATCTCTCCGAACAACTGGATCCCATACAGACGCCGTCAAACTCAAAACTAACCTCATGCGACATGGCACCCATGCTAGATGATTGGGATGCCTCGAGCAGTGAGCACATACTGCCAAAACTCAATCATAGCCCTTCTCTCAAGAGCATACTTTACGTCGATGCATACGACTCATTCTCATACAATGTGGTCGCCATGCTGGAGGAGACCTTGGGGGCTAAAGTCACGGTGATAACCATTGACTCAGACTGGCCCGATTCCAACATGATCGATTTTCTCCAGCACTACGAGGCCATCGTACTCGGACCAGGGCCAGGAGATCCTAACATTCCCTCCGATGTCGGCATCATGAGAGACATCTGGAATCTCCACGACTCGGATCTCATGCCAGTTTTCGGTATCTGTCTAGGATTCCAGAGCCTTTGTCTTCATCACGGTGTTCCAATTGAGCGGCTCCCGTACCCGCTTCATGGCCAAATTCACAAGATTTCCACGTCCTCGAAGGATATCTTTGAAGATTTACCTGAGGTAGAGGTCACGCTCTACCACTCACTCTATGCCAACTCAGCTTCTTCCACTTCGCCCGAGCTAGAATATCTGGCTTGGTTGTCATTAACGGATCGGCCGGAAACACCCATCCCCATGGCAGTCCGCCACCTCCAGAAGCCTTTCTGGGGTGTTCAGTTCCACCCGGAGTCCTGCAAATCAGATTTCAATGCCTGTAAGGCACTTCTTCAAAATTGGTGGAAAATGGCTCTTGCATTTAATAAGATTGTCGGACGCGGGGGATATTGTTCCCTTCCTGAGACAGTTATCAGCCCTCACACTTCTCCCACCCCATTCCCTGATGCTGCATATGAAATGCTCAAATGGAGCAAGTCGGCTTCGAGGTGTTCGATTGCTCGGACTTTCCAACGATCTGACCTGACTGCAGAGACCATTAGTGAGTTTTTCAACAAACCAGGTACTCCGACAGTCGTGTTTCAATCGAATGGCCAATATAGCATCGTCTCGGTGCCAAGTCCTGGCTCATGGCGATTGGAATATACCGTTGATACGCACGTCCTTCATTTACTCCAGCTATACGGTGAACACCGGGATGTTGAGAGTCGTCTTACCGTTGCTCAGTTGTGGGATGCATTGCGCTATCTGATGGAAATGAAGAAGGTCAACTCTGGAAGTCTGCAGGTACCATTCTGGGGTGGTTTCCTGGGTTATTTCTCCTATGAACTTGGTCTCACTTGTCTGCCCCATCCAGGCTCAGCGCAGGCTTCTGAGACACCGAAGCCCTCTGGCACAGAGAACGCTTCGTCTCGTTCTTCTTTCGCGGATCCCCCCGATGTCAGCCTTTTGTGGTGTGAAAGAAGTGTAGTTGTCGATAATGCTACTGGTGACGTTGTTATCCAATCTATTCGCCAAGATGATACAACCTGGCTCGATGAAACACTACAGCAGCTGCAGGGCCTCTCAACTAGTGACAGCAATTCACTTGGGGAGCACGGTTTGGATTCTATTCTCAGGGAAGCCAAGATTCAGTTGCCCGAGGAAAAAAAGTACAAACAACAAATCGAGTCTTGCCAAGCAGAGCTAAAAGCCGGCGAATCTTATGAGCTGTGTTTGACATCTGAGACATCAATCACCTTGCCAGTTTCAGAGGTGGAATCGGATCGTGTCGTGTTCCCCTGGAAGCTGTACAAGCGACTCAAAAAATACAACCCAGCTGCATTCAGTGCTTTTGCTGATTTGGGAGATACGAAGATTGCCAGCAGCAGTCCGGAGTGTTTCCTCAACTGGGACCGCCACTCTACATTGGAGATGAAACCAATGAAAGGCACAGTCCGAAAGTCTCCAGACATGACCATGGAAAAGGCTTGTGAGATCCTCAGCTCCACCAAGGAGATGGCCGAGAACCTGATGATCGCGGATTTAATCCGCCATGATCTATATGGTATCTGTGGATCAGGCGGTGTTCACGTCGAGAAACTGCTGGAAGTCGCCGATTATGGCCGAGTCTACTCAATGATTACCCACATCAAAGGCAAAGTCCGTCCCAACCACCCTGGTTTTGCGGTGCGACATATGCCTCAACTGCATACCCCCAACATGTCTGTCCATGGCCTGACTACCCTCCAGCGGTGTCTGCCACCTGGTTCCATGACAGGTGCACCAAAGGAGCGCTCTTGCATGCATCTTAAAACAATTGAGAATCGCACGCGTGGCATTTATTCCGGTGTCATGGGCTTCCTGGACCTTGGTGGCGGCGGAAGTTTCTCGGTACTGATTCGCTCAGCATTTACCTGTTATGGTGGACACGATTACACCGAGAATAAGCAGCAGACCTGGCGAATTGGAGCCGGGGGTGCCATCACTACGCTCAGCACAGCGGAGGGGGAATGGGACGAGATGTTGACGAAACTCCGTGTTGTTTGCAACGTCTTCAAGCCGCTTGATGCAGATGAGAAAGCCATTGCCGCTTCTTAATCGCTCGGCGCAAAGTTTATCATTGGCCATTTTGAGAGTCACCACCGTTCACATAAGGATCCACGCTTTTCCTTTGCCTTCAACATCTGGATCATTATGTTGGGATAGAAAGATTCGACTCAACACTCAATATACACTAATCCCTAAATCAATGTCATTCTGATAGATATATACACTCATGAGAATTATGCAACCCAATTAATTTTTCCATCTATCACAAAGGCTCCAAAGTAGTGAGTTGGACAGCCTCCGAGACGGGAATACAAGCCTAATAATTCCCAACTTTCTCAACCCCAACACCAACTTCTATTGTATAGATACATATAGTGCAGACAAAGCAACATGTAATCTACGTAGATCGTCCCAGGCAATTGACACAAACCTCTCATGGAAACCTTCGAACTTACCAAAAGACAATGATTTGGAGGTTTAGTAGCGCAACGATGTTTTTCTCCCAGGTAAGCTCATTGACACCCCCGAAGAAGTATTTCGGCCGTTCAAGGCTCTACGCCTAGACCCAACCATACCGTAGCCCAGCGCTCAAAAAGACGGAGAAACTCAGCATAGCGTATTCTCTCGTTCACATCCCAATATGGGAAATTTTCCCTTGCACAGGCATCCGAATCAGTGAAAGTAGGCTCGCCATCATAGGTAGAATCGTTCACGGAAGTCGATGGAGATTGGGAAATAGAAGAGATTGATCCCAAAGGATTTTGATGCCCTTTTGACGAGTCTACCTCTTCATATTCCGCGAATTTGAAACATCGTTGCTGAGGAATTCAACGAAGGCATCAAATACCGTATATAGGTCGGCTGCAAACAAGCCAAACATGGGTTTCTCCGCAGCTTCAACTTCCGCGCTGCGTCTTCCCTGTCGGTCTCTTTCGTGTATCTCTAGAATAGAGGGACATCGCAACTTTTCCCTGATCTGGACTGACTTGGATTTGTGACTTCAGTAACAAAAATGGCGGGCCAAGATGCCTCAATGGAGGAGATTCTCTGGCGGTCTCCCCCGCACGTCCAAATGATGGGGGGATTCCTTCATTCGAACAACAGTGAGTCGCACTCCTCACCACACGCGGAGATGATCTTAATTTTCGTGTCAATCAGTCCTTTTCTACTTCGCCGAATCTCCATTCTTTGATCCCACCTCGAATAATGCTTCACTCGCCATCCAAGCCAACTACAACGATGCCTTCCGTCATTTCGTCGAGACGCGCGAAGCTTTTGAGGCCCGATTGAAGACCATGCAGGGTCTAGAGTTCGTCGTGTCATACGATCCCCTCCAAGCAGCCGCACAGACAGATAACCGCTTCGCCCACGAGCCGTCCAATATCTGGGTAATCCGCAAGCAGAACCGGCGAAAGAGGAGCGGCCTCGACGACGAGGTGATCGTGATGTCTACGTACTTCATTGTCGGCGATTGCATCTACATGGCTCCCTCGGTGGCGAGTGTAGTGGGGAACCGAATTGTACATTCTCCCCCAGAGATCGCAAACAGCTTTGCAGATGTTCTAATAGGTTTCTCTTCCGTAGCTATCGGCCGTTACATCCCTATCTCAGCTCATGAAAGCCGCATCGACATTACCGACTTTCACTCCTTCCTATGGACACACATATATGCCCCCCGGAGCCCGCAAAGAAACCAGCGCAACCAGCCAAGCCTCCCAAAGCAAAGAAGCAACACCCATGCCGGACGCATCCTTCCCAAGCACCGACTCTCAATCAACCAACAAATCAAGCCTGACCAGCACAGCCTCCAGCTTCCAAGATACGCTCAGCCTGGCAGAATCATTTAGTCTGCTCACGCGCTACGGCGACGAATTCATGGACGAGAACCCCCTCGTCGGCGAGCCGGGCTCGTTCATTCTATCGCGGACCGGAGAGACCGGCGCTGCTGGGAAAGCTGCACCGAAACTCCCTGCTAATACGGCACCGACTGGCTCGTCTTCTACGTTGCCTGTCAGAGCGTCGACGCCGCAGGTCCGTGTCGAAACGCCCGGTAAAGCTTCTGAGAAGGGTGCCTCGCCGCCTAGCTCGGGAGGTGATAAGGGGAAGAAGAAGAAAAGTCGGGTTGTGAGCTGAGTTGCTTTCTTGATACCCTTTTTTGTCATTTCTGGGCGTTTGGAAATTGGGCATAGCATTTGAAGTATCTAATTGGTTTACATTTTGTTTGAGGCAGGTTTCATCATTTGTCTCATCATATCCGGAGGTAAAACTATGCCCAGTTGTAAAGACCTGCCATACACAGGCATGATTTAGTCCTAGATTTCGAGTCATCTCAACCAGAGGGGGCGTCTTATACACGTAATGTTGGATGAAGACTGGGCCTATTCAATGGTATAATTCCAACTCGACTCGAGAAGAAAAGCCCCTCGACGACCTGGCGACAAGTTGGCAACGTTATACTCCGCTATCTTTCTTATCGGGGTGGGGTGCTGGTTCGTCCCGGTTGCTGGCATCAATCTTCCTCCCTCCATTCTCCTTTACGCAAGCTGCTTTGTGAAGACTTCTCCTTGGCTCCTACACTTGAAGGTCATTCACATATCAAAATGGCGGACTCCGAAACCAAGCCAGCTGTGGTCTGTGTATTGTGAGTCATGCCCCTCATCACCACCCGCAAAGTTCCAACTATACCCAATGCTCTTGCCATCGATCTAAACCCCCATCTCTCCTCGAAACCCATCAGACTAACCAGATACCCTCGGGCTGTTACAGCTGCGGCTCCGTACCCGGCAACAGCCCCATCCACATGGAAGCCGCGCGAGCCCTCGCCGAAGAATTCCACAAGAACAACGTGCAACTCGTCTACGGCGGCGGCACAACCGGCCTAATGGGCGAAGTCGCCCGCGTGCTGGTCTCGCTCTCCGGCCCGAAATCCGTCCACGGCATCATCCCCCGCGCGCTGATCAAAGTCGCTACCGTCAGCGGCATGCGCGAGCACATAGAGGGCCAGGCCGGTGCCGGTGCCGGCAAAGCTGCTGAGCGGGTCATTGATCCAACTGATGCGGAAGGGATCCCCGAGTCCGAGTACGGTGTTACCACTATTGTGCCGGATATGCATACGCGTAAGCGTCTGATGGCGACGAAGGTGCTCGAGGGTGGGCCTGGGTCTGGGTTTGTTTCCTTGGCTGGTGGATTCGGGACTATTGAGGAGGTGATGGAGATGACGACGTGGAATCAGTTGGGCATTCATAAGGTGGCTGTTGTGTTGTTGAATATCAATGGATATTGGGACGGGTTGTTGGCTTGGGTGCGCAATGCGGTGAAGGAGGGATACATCAGTGCTGATAATGGGGAGATCTTGGCGGAAGCTAAAGAAGTGTCGGAGGTCTGGCCGAAGTTACTGGCTTATCGGGTGAGCAGCGGGCGGATGCAGTTGAACTGGGGACAGGAGTGAAGCTGCTCCGTACTTTGGTGAGCATTAGACTAGGGCACGGGTACATAGACAATTCTTGCGTTCGGCCATTGTCTTTTTCGGGATTGTTTGGGGTTCTGTGGGCAGCGAAAGTCTTCCTGGGGACATGAACATACATAAGTACGTTACTTCGTTCTTCGTTAGAAAGGCATTATGAATTGATGACTGAAGCACTGAGATCATGGGACGGCAAACACATGACAAAAGCATAATCAGAATTTCATGTCTATGCAAATCATTAAACCAAATTAGACGATTATGAATCAACCTCCATGGACTCGCCCTCCGCACCAGCAGATTCACGCTGCTCGAGCACCTCAAGCAGCGCAGCTGTGTCCTGGCCCTCGTACAGCTTGAAGCTCTCCTTCTTGCCATTAGTCACACCAACAACACCAACAGAGGTATTGTCTACTGTGAGCTCCTTATCCTGAGACAGTGTCTCCTTTAGTGCGCTCAATCCGTGCTGGATCAGCTCGTCACGACTGCAATCCGCAAACTTCTCAAGGTTCCGCTCCAGGTACGTACGCGCCATCTGCGACCGCGCACCGATGGCGCAAGCAAGCATCTCGTGCGTAAGACCAGAGGGCTGGAACTCGAACAGGTGCGGGCCGGCCTCGTCAACACCGGCAACAAGCAGACCCACGCCGTATGGCCGTTTCCCGTAGTGCTGGGTGTTGGTCTGCGCGCGGTCGCCAATCTGAGCGACAATCCGGTCCAGAGGAATAGGTCGGCCGTAAGTCATCTTCGAGCCAAGGGATTGCTGCTTCATGAAGTTTGAAAGGACGCGGGCGTCTGATGCAAGGCCGGCGATGGCGATGGCCATGTGCGAGTCGATCTCAATGATCTTCTTCTGGTACGAGGAGAGCTCTTCTGCGTTGCGCTGGAAAAAGGTTTAAATGTTAGTTTGGACGGTTTGGTTTGGTTCGTTTTCGGTTCCTGGTCTTCGAACCTTGAGTCCAACCAGCACGGCATGTGTCTTATTCACCAATCCCACCACAACGGATCCTTGCTTCACTGCTTCCTGTGCATACTCTACTTGGAAAATCCGACCCTGTGGAGAGCTGGGATCTCTCAGGTTAGCATCTGATGGAACCGAGGAGGATCGGGGAACTGGTCTTACAAGGTGACGGCATCGTTGTCGTAATTGTTTCTGAACATCGTGGCTGGAAAGGGTGAATAAATATGAGGGCTAGCAGAAAAGAAGGATTCTTGTTGATAATCAAAGATTCAAGAACAGCAACACAAGAACCTGAGAGATAATCCGGCGATGGAGGGAGATGGGGGAGCTGGAGCAGGCAGTAAAGTGACGCGGTGTGAAGCATGAGCTGTTGGTGCCTGAGGCCTTGTATCCAGTGACCTTCAGGCGCCAACGTCACTCATTCCGCGCTCATCTCCAACTTGACGCTCTGCTGTCCTTCTTTAGTATTTTGCACTCGGCCAATGGGGCTGTGATCCGACCTGCTCTGAATATCGTCTCCTGGTCTCACCCAATCCTACCCAGCCTTCACACACCTTTAGTCTCATCGACCGGACTTCGGCATCTCCGCAATCATGGCGGCTGGACTCAAGACCATTATCGCACTTTCATTTGTAGGTTTTGTTTCGCTCTTTTCTTATATTGGTACAATTTCTAACATTTGACCAGGTTCTTGCAATCGGCTTCCTCCTCGTGATCCTCTCTTCCGCACTATGGCATAAGTACTGGCCGTTGCTGGTTGTTGGTATTTATGTTGTTGCGCCGCTTCCCAACTGGATCTGCCAACGATGCGCAAACCCCGATGATTTTATGGACAGCTCCAGCAATTCTGCGATGGACTTTGGACGGTTCATGACCGGATTCTTGGTTCTTACCGGCATTGGTACGTCGTTCGTGAAAACAACCCCTCTTGCGGGACACACTGCTCCACAGTCTACTGAATTGGCTGTTGGTGTCTGGACTACGCATGGCGTTCCGCACTTTCGTTGTACCGCACCATTCATGAACATCAACTGACCTATCTACTAGCACTTCCCATTGTCCTTGCTCACAGCGGTGCTATCGAAATTCCAGCAATGATCATGTCTATTTTCGGAGGCCTATTGATTTACGGCACTATCATTAGCTTTTCGATGTTCTTCCAGGAACAGGAAGAGTTCTGATCGACCGTGTGAGGCGCGGGGTCGCCTAAGACCATGTAGGCCAATGGGATCCGCACGAACAGGCCTTCATCATGATATTTTTTTGCAATTGTTGTTTTTTCTTTTTCGTTATTTTAGCGTACATCGAAGTACGTTTGGTATGCTATGTATGAGTGATTTGATGCGGACCAAGCCTCACTTCAAATGGCAATGGGGTCCAGCACTTGGCTATGTGCTCTAGGTGTACTATAACACAATTGATATAGAGAATTCTAAACCGCTTTAGAGTTCTTGGCCTATATTACCGTCGGAATCATTCGTAAGAAGCACGGGCTCTGAGGTCTTCCCGACAGCAGTTAGTTTGCATACATATGTCCTCATTATTGGTCTCGATATAAAGTACACAAGAATGTCTGATTTTCCGTCTACAACATTGCCGCCTAAAGAGTGAAAACAATCGGGTAGAAACAAACATATCACCTTGAGAATGATTTGAAGTCCACAGAAAGAGCTCTCAGGTGTATTCCTGCGGGTATTTCGATTGTTGCGATTCAATTGGTCTCTTCGGATTGATTTATGCAACACGTGACCGCGCGCGAATTCGGCGCGTCTGTGGAGATGCGGAGATAACAGCAGATCGATGTTAGATCACAACGCAAACTACATCTATACGGCTGCCGCTATGCTGAATCTATGAAAGGCCTTTGCAGGATTCAGAGAACAAAATGAATGTCTGGTCAGGATCCATTCCCCTCAACTCGGATTCCAAGTTAGAAGGTAAACCAGCCGCGTATCGAATCTTGTTCCTCGCTAACAATTATATAGGGATTCGACTGGTCGACCCCAATTCCTACTGGCAGTCTGAGCTATCCAAAGACTCCCAAATATGTCTCCGCAGCTTTGTCAATCCATCACTTATCCCATTACACGCTCGTGCCGGTCCCAATCTCGAACTACACACATCCGACGCGGGGACATCAAAATGGCTACAAACCAAGCTCACGGGCGCTATCTGGTTAAACGAAGAAGAGCCAGCACTCCAACAATCCTTCCAATGTCCAGTAGGGTTGTTACTGGGTGTTGAAAACAACACCAAATCAGCCGACGTAGCCCCGACGAGCCTGTTAGTCTACGGCGTGCTATCCAGCGCAACATCATGTACACGGCCACCCACCCCTCCACATTCATCGCCTTCCGATATCCAAGGCACCAGCAACCCACCAAACCGAGCTCCCTATGAACTCAGAATATACGCCGCACCTCTATCATCCTCCAGAATCACTCAAGCCCAAGCCTACCCATCCCCACCCCTCTCCGACTCCGACCAACCCATCGCCAACCCGCGCTGCGCAGAGTTCCTACCAGATACAAGCTCGCCCAGCCCAAAGCGCAAACGAGTCGCAACTCTCTTCGAAGTAGCCGCGCAGCACCATCGCCGCGTCCGCCAGCGCGGCGGCGAAGCCGTCTCCCAACTCATGGCATCTTCCCGACCTCTCTCCTCGTCACAAAACCTGCAGACTCTGCGCATCAAGCGCGAGCCCGAAGACGATACCCCTTCCCTCCCATCTCTAGACCGGATCGTCTCGCGCCGATCTCGGTCCGTCTCCATTGGAGCAGGCCTGCAACGTCCAGGTAGTGTGCGCGGCCGCGCAACCCCAGGGATCAACGCCGATCCGCAAAAGCGCGCGCCAACTCCGAACCCGTTCTTGGATTCTGGCCGTCGCGGAACTCATTCGTTCCCGAGTCAAGGTCCTTCTTCTCTCTCTTTGCCGGTGGAGAACCCAGTGTCTGCGCCTGGATCGCCGGCCAAGGATCCGGACACTGTGATTGCAGATAATAAGAACCTCATCACCCGCACGATCTTGACTTGTATGCGGCTCTATGGATTTCACCGCGCGAACCCGCGCTCTGCATCTACGAGTAAACCAACAGGGACTGCTGCTGCTGAGCCTGAACCTGATTTGCCTGGTACGACGCCGGCGCCGGAGACTCTGCGTGCTGAAACGCCTGCTCCTGGCACCACCACGGACGATGATGAGTTTAAGGCCATGTACCATGCGACGTACAAGGCTGCGGCTTTTGCGCTACGGAGATACTTGAAGCAGGTGCCGGGGTTAGCGCCTTCTGTTCTGGAAAAGGAGAAGGCCATGACTTGTATTGATGAGCTACTGAGGCTGTTCTGCGAGGAGCATTAAGGGCAGATAAAGGGAAGTCTGGGATAGTGGGAATGTTCACGAATTTATGAAAGCATATCTGGCGTTTGGGAGGCTGCATTTTGATAGAGTTCGTTCTGAGGGCATTTATTTACAATAATACTTTTTCCGCTTGGTCTTGGTCACTTGTAGATCACCGATCATTTTCGATACACCTCAACCAACCCTGTGCTAGTTGATACTCCTATTCGCCTCTTTGAGACATTTAGTACACATGCTTACAACCTCAAGTCCGCTCAAAGTAAAAGAGAAATGCAAATATGAATTCATGCTATAGCGCCAAATCCGAGCCAAAGAGCGGATGCACACAAGGCATCCCAGTAAGAAGTCATCACAGCGAGAAAATCGAGTAGAATACAGAGACCTGAGCCACATTAAGCAGCCCGAATCACAGTGCAAGGTTGTAAGTGTAGTCGTCCTCGATGTTCTGCGCGACCCAAAGAACGATTGAGCTGGGAGAATGGTTAGCAAGAGATCAGATTAAATATGCAAGATAAAACATACCTCAGCATAACAAGACCGTTCGCCACAATATTCGCAATACCAAAGTACAGCGTTTGGATAGGATAATCCTTAATGAGGTACTTGAGAACCATAACAGTCTAGCGAATAAGTTAGCCACACACTCTAACCCAGTTCCTGAATCAGGACACCAAAACAAAAGAAAAAACTCCGAATACGTACCACACTACCCGCCAGCCCGCCGGCAAGCAATGCAAAGCCCAAAAACAACACAAACCGCGCCTTCCAAGCAACTCCGCTCCCGCTGTAACTAAAGCTATCAGCCTGCAACCGGCTCTTCTCGATCGAGTTGATAACCAGCATGCCTAACGCGGAGCAGATACCGGGGATCCAGTCGACGAATTTGATATGCACGTTTGAGCCATTGCGCGGGCTATGAGAGAATGTCGCGACATCGATCAGGAAGAAGAAGCCTGCTGCGAACTGAGACGAGAAGGGATTGTTAGCGTTGTATTCTTTTGGTATTTTCGATCTTGGTATCGGGTCAAAAAGTTCAAGTCTGAGGTTCATTTCTCATTTCTTCTGTTATAGATTCGAGACACTTCGGCCTTGGACTGTTGCGACGAACAAGCCCGGTTTCGGGTGGAGGTGGAGGGTGGATCGAGTGCTTACCAGTGCGCCTGCGACGTAGACACCGCCATTGCGGACGGCGGAGTTGTTGAGCCACTCTGGCTTGGAGAAACGGAAGAGTCGGTTGCTTGAGACGTCCATTTTCACGGTGTGTGGGAGATGGAGGGTCTTGGGAGAGGGGGAGCACCTTGTACCTGTTGAGAGCTGGAGTCCAATGACGATGGCTGGCCGGAGAAATGCTGTTCCGACGTACATCTATGTATATCAAGTGCGGCCGTACAAATAGATGAAACCGAACGACAAGGTCAACGTCAATTCTACTTTGAAAGAAAATTCAAGCTGGTTTGATGTAGTGAGGTTAACAGCTGCTAATGCTTCCACATCCATAGATCATCCCGATACTTATTTTTCCGCAGGCATTTTGGTGCCAACGCCCGGCGAGCGAGGTCCATTAGTAACTTAGCCATGCTCCGGGTTTTCTGTCAGTCTTTTTTTCTTTTTTGTTTTCCATTGCTCTTCTTTGCTATTTTATTGTTTGATTTAATTTGATTTAATTTTACCCCACATAAGTTTTTTGTATGTAGTTCCGGCCTAGACCCAAGCGTATGTAGAAACGTGTCTAGTGCTTTTGATGGCCTCCATTAGATGTGTATAGTATGTAATTGAAGATAATGAAGTGATATACAATGCACAAACGTGTCCAATCTATTTAGTGTTATTATGTTACTATTCATTAACTATTAGAGATTTGCCTACATGTAAGTTTCAAATACCTACATATATGTCATGCAGTCTCAAAAGCCTACATGTACATAAGTTAATTTAGACAACGAACTTTACAAGTATATGGGGTTACCAGTCAAAACTCGTAATTGCATCTTGGTAGCATTGACATCCAATGGGAAGACCGAGGCCTCTGTATATGTATACATTCAGATATATGCTCAGACAACGGAAAAAAAAGGTTGTAAAAAGCACGCTGATGGAGCTCTAAGGCAACCAAGTAACCAGCGACCAGCGCAAGACCATTTCAAATATCCGCGCATCATACGTCAAGATGATCGCTAGCATCCGTAAATAGTGGGGCCTAGCTTCGGTATCAAGTGCTCAACGCAGTTGCAATTGCAGCCGATTTGCGTGACGCACTGCAAGTCCCAATTCTTGGCACGATGGCAGACCACTCCCATGTGAGACGCTCATTTTTAGCGGCTACCTATGTAGGCATCTTGCTGCTTCTGTATTTTTGTGTATCCTGTGTATCCTCTTACAGTCCAACAAAACCTGGCTCTCTTCATGCCGAGGCGTCAACCGGGTGGGATCGCAGCTTCTCTATGATAGCACCAATGGCCTCCATGTCGGCGGCGTCAGTCTTGTCGGTGGGGTAGCCCTCCGGCAGGCACTTGGTCAACTCGTCCATAGCAGGCTGGTGGTTTCGCACAGCGGAGGAGATGGCGTAGATGGCCTTCTTGCGTGTTGCGGCATTGGAGTCTGTGGTGGCGAGGGAGACGAGGTCGGGCAGGATATTGAGAACAACGACCTGTGGGAAGTGTCAGTACTGTCATCGTGATGATTATCAAGAAACTTGGGGTATTGCATACCTTGTCCTGCGACTTAGGGTTGTTCTGCACAGCTGTGCCTACACACCAGGCCGCCATGCGTCTGATCTCAGCCTCATCGTGCTTGAGCAATTTGATAAGCGGTGCCCATAGGCCCAGTGGCTCGATGTTGTTCGCATTATCAATGCCTTCGATCATCTGCTCAAAGTTGTCCAATGCGATCAATTTGTTCTCCAGGTCAGACTCGTTGTCGTGCGCGACCTCCATGGCTGCGCGCATCAAATCGGCCTCCGAAGGACCACCGAAAAGCGTGCTAATCATCTGTGGGGTCAGATTCGATGTAGCAGCTGGTGCGCTAGGAGCGCCTTCCTCGCTTTCAGCGTCCAAAGATGCCTGAGAGTTGGTGACACTCCATTTGAGGAGCTTGTTCATTTCGGGGTTCATGGTGGGCTGGCGGGGTAGGTGTGTTGGAAGGTGTGGAGGGTGTATGTTTTTGTTTTGAAGGGAAGGCAGAAAAAAAGACAGTCAGGACAGAGTCTAGAATCACAGATCAGGTTTTAGAATTTGCTGTATATCACACGGTAATGTTGCAGTGTCTCTTTTTCAACTATCGAATACCTTTCTACAGAAAAAAAGCCCGCTGACATAATACACGAACGCCGGGGGCTCTGGGCGATTCGGGCGGCGACCAGTGGATTCGATCATGTGACGGGAAGAGAAGTCCCAAGTATGGGGCATCTACTCTGATATTGGAGGCATAGATGGTTCATCCAATAGGTATATTCAATAGGATACTCTGATCCCACAAAGTGGAAAAAGGCAGACAAGAAAGAGCTAGGCACAAACTAGACGACGTGACTACTGTGTTCAAGACACTGACAGCCATACTCATGCACCAATACTTGAACCCTGCAGGAACACGTCCAAGAAACATCGATAGTTCTGCGATTTGTCCCCCAGGCAGTCGAGTCATATACTCTCCTTTATACCATGACTTCAACTGCAGCCTCAGCAATTCGTCCGTGTTTGCTTTGATTGCGGAGAACCCTCACGGGGATGTGGCAACCAACTTCAAGGACTCAGGCTGCCTTAAGAATTGCCGTGACGGAGCTTATATAGGCTAGGCAACTCAATGCTTCCAGCGTGGAGTTTAGATGCTAGCACCCCATGCTCTTAACATACCTATCAAAAGTACATTGAACCATTGCGTGGAGAGATCAGTGGGTGTAGCGATGTCATACTTGAAAAGAAAGACACTACTGTACCACGCAATCGAATATAGAGCCGCTGGTCAAGTCTCATCCGTGTCAATTTCATAAGTAAGATGTTGGAATGACTTCAAGGTTCAGTTTCCGTAGACACGTTAGTTGATGCCACGTGATGACGTGCTAGGTCAAAAACCAAGGTGATGGCTGCTCCGTTATCTTGGAGACTTGGACTCTCTCGGCTATTGCAGCCCTTGAGCGACTTCAATTAGCACTTGTAGGAATCATTGGGCCCCTGGAAGATCAGTTGTGGGATAGCATGGCACATTTGCAATATCGCTACGGAGTACGGAGTACGGAGTACATACTCCGTAGACCATGGCTTTTCCGGTAGTGGTAGTGTCTCATAAGAATATACTCCATACTCCATACCAGAGCCTGTTTATCAAATGATATTGGGTGCTAGGGAAAAAAAATCGAAAAGGGGCTTCGAAATCCCCCTTTCATGGAACTTTGATGGGGATTAGTGGAGATCCGATGGCAGAGTAGTAATCTACCACTGGAATAGTCGAGTGGCTTTTCTATCTTGCCTGGGAGTCAGGGGCAAAAAGAACCCCCGCCCAAAGACGAGAAAGACAGGGGTACGGAGTACACACGTTGTGTGTTGCAATATGGTCACCCCCAGGTGGTCAGATGTCAGATGTGGCAACGTGATGATGCACACGTGACAAGTGACCACCTCACCGCCTCACCGTTGAGTCGAGGGTCTCGTTGCTCTTCTTTTGCGAGCGAAATGGCGGTAACCAGATTCTTGATGGCGTGGCCCCCATCTGACAATTTGACCGTTTGGCCAGAACCGGAAGATTCGGTATGCTCGTTACGTCCGGTCCCAGGTCTGTCCGTACGCCATCCCCAAAGCTCAAAAGTCTGGGTCAGAGGGGTGTGGTCCTATACTTAGAACGTCTACGCCACATGGGTCATTCTGGGAGGAAGCAAATCCAGCGGCCTGGTCTTGGACTACAATTGTATGTCTTTTTGTATGCCTGACGTCGTCATTGTAAGCATTGTAATACACTTGAAGACCCTATCGAAGTATGTACTGAGATACAATGCCTAAGATCGTGTTCCCTCGTACCCAAAAAGGGTCTGGAGGCTCTGGTCCCCAGGTTGTCCACGCAATCCTTTTAGGTAGACAAGATTGCCAGGAAACCAAGGATGGTGAAAAATGAGCGGGAAATTGTTCTGCCTTATTTACAGACCCTGATATATATAAAAAAAAGACCAGTTCCAAGGCCCCAAAGTCGTAAATCGGAGGGGGAAAGTCGAAGGCCTCAGGCAGCGCACAATCCCAGCCATCACAAACCCCTCTCCACTTCTCTCACTCTCTTCCTTCTTCCCTCTCTCCCCTAATCCCAACTATATCCCTCTAACCTCATTCCATCTTTCCTTTCTTTTTTTCTTTTTCCTTCCCCCAAGTCTCTACTTTAATCCGTCACAATGGAAGGTATGTTGTTCTGGATGTTGAGGCCACCTCACCAGCTTCCCCGGAAGCTGCCCCCCTGTTGCCCAACATCGGAATCCTACCGAATTGCGAGGGCTAATACGTATTTCGCATTATAGAGGAAGTTGCTGCTCTCGTCATCGACAATGGGTATGTGATATGCTTTTCCCCCGGAGCTTCTGGCTTGTGTTTGGGTCTGGTCGCCAAACCCCCCGGTCGCGGTCGTTGCCACGTTCCCCCTAATCGGCCACGACACCAAATGAAACCCGTCCCATTGGCCTCCCACCCCCTTTCGCAACCGCCAGATGGCGCTTCGAAAACTCCAAGGACTATGATACTGATAAATTCCGATGTAGTTCGGGTATGTGCAAGGCCGGTTTCGCCGGTGACGACGCACCACGAGCTGTCTTCCGTAAGTCCAACCCCACAGACCGATTTCCCCTCCCTCCCCTTGCAAAGGTCGTTATCCCGCCAACCCTTGCGTCGGATGACTTCACCGCCTTAGTTTGGCTCGGAATACCTTTGAAATCGAGTATCAGATTACTGACAAAATTGAACAGCCTCTATTGTCGGTCGTCCCCGTCACCATGGGTAAATTCTTCCCCCTTTTTCCCCGTCAGATTGGCTAGTTTTCTACAGTAGATCCAGCCAATTTGATCTCAATGAAGCAAAGTATTGACTGTGCGCAGTATCATGATTGGTATGGGTCAGAAGGACTCCTACGTTGGTGATGAGGCACAGTCCAAGCGTGGTATTCTCACGCTCCGTTACCCCATCGAGCACGGTGTTGTCACCAACTGGGACGACATGGAGAAGATCTGGCACCACACCTTCTACAACGAGCTCCGCGTTGCCCCCGAAGAGCACCCCATCCTTTTGACAGAAGCTCCTATCAACCCCAAGTCCAACCGTGAGAAGATGACCCAGATTGTGTTCGAGACCTTCAACGCACCCGCCTTCTACGTCTCCATCCAGGCCGTTCTGTCCCTGTACGCCTCCGGTCGTACCACTGGTATCGTTCTCGACTCCGGTGACGGTGTCACCCACGTCGTCCCCATCTACGAGGGTTTCTCTCTTCCCCACGCTATCTCGCGTGTCGACATGGCTGGCCGTGACTTGACCGATTACCTGATGAAGATCTTGGCTGAGCGTGGTTACACTTTCTCCACCACCGCCGAGCGTGAAATCGTCCGTGACATCAAGGAGAAGCTTTGCTACGTCGCTCTCGACTTCGAGCAGGAGATTCAGACCGCTTCCCAGAGCTCCAGCCTCGAGAAGTCCTACGAGCTTCCCGATGGACAGGTCATCACTATTGGCAACGAGCGCTTCCGTGCTCCTGAGGCTCTGTTCCAGCCTAACGTTCTTGGCCTCGAGTCTGGCGGTATCCACGTCACCACCTTCAACTCCATCATGAAGTGTGATGTTGATGTCCGTAAGGATCTGTACGGCAACATTGTCATGGTAAGAAGAACCTTTCAAGCACCTGCGCAGGACTCCTCGTTAACATATTCTTTTCTTTTTCTAGTCTGGTGGTACCACCATGTACCCCGGTATCTCCGACCGTATGCAGAAGGAGATCACTGCTCTTGCTCCTTCTTCCATGAAGGTCAAGATCATTGCTCCCCCCGAGCGCAAGTACTCCGTCTGGATCGGTGGTTCCATTCTCGCTTCCCTGTCTACCTTCCAGCAGATGTGGATCTCCAAGCAGGAGTACGACGAGAGCGGTCCTTCGATCGTTCACCGCAAGTGCTTCTAAGCTTCTTGTCGCACTTTATCACTCGTCTTCGCTCGTACTTTCCTGGTGTATCAAAAAGCAGGATGGAGGCACTGGTGGATTGCAAGCGTTGTTGGACTCGCATTATCAAGCGGATAGCCTGAAAATGGAACCTCGATTTTAGTGGAATAGAGTCTGTCGTTTTCTTTTTGTTACTTTTTACCTTACTCTTTTTCCTTGATCTCTCTATCCATCCATCTCTGCTTTGAAAGCTTCTTCTCACTTTTACCTTTCCGACTTTTTTCTCTCCATTTTCTCGATATTCAAATCCACTGTCCCACCTCTTTGAATGTTTTGCCTGGGTTTCTGGTGCCACGGCCCGTAGGGTGAAGATGTACAGGGAGTTGGCTCCGAGGCTTAGGTTGTGTTTTCCTTCTCTGGTCCCGATGTCTTTCTATCCATTGCCTTCGACCAAAGTGCCCGGTTATTTCCGTTGTAGTCGTTAACATGACTTTGTTGAAACATTTCAAGCGCTGCTCTCTTGTATGGTTTTGTAGGAAGTTCCAAAGTAAGCAAATCCCATTTTGGAATGTGAAACCGGGGGAGGGTCTCATCCAGGGCGGTTCGAAGCGGCCAAGTGCATAGATACATCTCTCCCTACAGTTACTGATATAACATCAACACTGGGGGAGGAATTGGACGTATATTCTACAAGGTACATTGCTAGGACTAGAGAGATGGTTTCTTCGGTGTGGTCGTATTTGAGCATTATGTATGGATATGAAGGGACGATGATGGATGATCCGCAATGGACCACGAATGTGTAGTAGCTGCATTACTTTTGTTAGTTTGATCGGCTTGCGTATCGTTGCTCATACCAGATTTTGGATTGAAACTCAGAGTTTCCGAGCTAATGGCCAGTCGATTGCTCGTAAGTACCCTTTTGGGGCATTAATTGAGCAGAGCGTGGGGTCAGCATAACCATTTTGCTCGGTATTCGCCGTCGTAGCTATGCTGCTAGTGC